ATATCTTATAAATACTATTTAACTACTTTACTTTACTACTAATAGATAACTACTTTAATCTTATTATTAGTTATATTTACTTAATATTATTAATAAGCTAGTATTAGGATTATAATATAAATTATAGTTAAAAGTAATTATATATATTATTATATATTATAAATTTAAATATAAATAACTTTTAAAAATATTTTAGATTAGCTATAGGTTAGGAAAAAGATTTAAAATTATTTAAAGTTATTAAAAATTAAAAGTTTTTAATTAATTAGTAAGTTAGCTTAAGTAGAACTAATAATAGTTAAAAAGTTATTTATATAGAGTAATTTTATATAAGGGCTTATATATAATTATATTATAATTATTACTAAATAATACTTAGAACTTCTTAGACTATAAGGTTTATTAGTTCTTAATTTACTTTAATACTGCTGTTTAGGTAGGGGGGAGGGTGGGATAGTAGGCTGCTTATACTATTAAAAGTATAGTAGTATATAGCTTTATTATAATAATTCTTGAAGAGCGAGTGTTTAATATAGCTCCTATTTTTGTGCAGGCACACCCCTGTAGTTAGAGGTGGAGGTTAATCTGGTACTTGGGATAGAAGAAGTAATAAATAAAGTAGATAAAAGAATGGAAATTGCGGGTCTGCAGCTATGCCCGGCCACACCCCGCCTACTGATATCTATACTCTTAGCCTAACTAGTCAGCTAACTTGGTCTAAATTACTCCTCTTACATATTGAACGCATCTACCTCCTCCGAAGTAACAACCGTCAGTGAGGCCGTCACGCTAACATCATTCTTCAACAAGATCTGGGCGGCGGTCTTCTGCTCCAGCGCGCCCGCCTCGATGGCCCTCTTAGCAGACTGGTCGATGGAAAGACCGTATTTGAGGATCTCGCCTTCGATCATCTTAGACTCTGTCTCGGCCCTGCGCGCGCGGTCCCTCAGCGTGCGGAGTATCTCCTGCTGCTTCTCTCTGACCATGTTGGCAACCTTCGTGGCTGCCTTGTCCGTGTAGGCAGCGAGCTCCGCCTGCAGCCCGGGCATCGGGTCGTTGCTTGCGGTGCCCTTGGACAGCTTATAACACAGCTCTACACCCCCGAGAATGTGGTCACGGTGCACGATTGAATACATCTGCGCGATGTCCTGGAGCAGGGAGAAGTATGCCTTGATCTGCAGGGTGGATGTGTAAATGGTCTGTTTGGCGATGTCGTCGATCCGGAGGACGCCGGATTTCATGGCACGCAGGGCCGCCTTGCCCATCTCCCTTTCGAAAGTCATGGCCCGCGGCATCACTACGTGCTCTATGACGGTGTTCAGCATGATGAAGAACTGCTCCAGCTTCTGGACCTCGACGATTAGGTCAACCAGAACCAAGATGCAGTCTCGCAGGACCTTCTTTATCTCCTCGAGCGTCTTGCCCGTGGTCTGCAGCTTGTGGAGCTTGCTCTGGATGCTAGCCATAGCCTTTGCCGTCTTCTCCTGCTTATCGACTGCACCTTCGTACGCCTTCTCGGCATTGTCCAGGGCGGTCTGCGCAATCTGCACCCCCTGCATGGCCGTATCCAGCTGTGCCCGCTGAGCTGACAGATCGGGTGTTGAAATCTGGACGTTGCCAAACGGCTGTGGGACGCTCGTCGAGCCCATGGCTTTGGCTGAGGCCGCGAGCTCGAGCACGTCGTCCCGCGCAGTCTTGGTCTTCACCTTCCACTCCTTCACCACCGTTCCCTCGGGCTCGGTCTTTGCCGTCATCTGAGTTTGCTTCCGGAGGTGTTCCTGCAGCTCTGTGGCCACTTTAATGAGGGCATCGTACGCAGACAACAGCTTCTTGTTTGGTGCCGTGTTGGTCACGTCAATGTTTGTCTTTTGTCCCTTGAGGGTACCCAGAATATATGCCAGACCTTGGGGGGCACCGGCGTCGGCGTCGGCGTCTTTGCCCGTCTTTGTTGTGGTTTCCTTGAATTTATCCCAGTCGATGGAGCCCGTGTCGCCGCCCATGTATTCCCAAAAATGGTTGACGAATACGAGGAAGGCTGCGGCGGTAGCATAGGCTGGGTCATCAAGTTGCGGCTTCACCTGAGGCTTGGAGCTGGGGGCGGACGTGTTTGCGGCCGTACCCGCCTGCCCACCGTTGGCATTGATGCCAGCTAGAGCTGCGGCAGCAGCAAGGGGGGCGGTCTTCATCATGACCGCACCGCCTATTATCGAGGGTAGGGCCTGCGCGAAGCTCGTGACGGCCGACTGGAGCACCGACGCCCAGGGGCTCGGGACCTTGTCAATCATGGTATCGAGGTTCTTTTGTTGCTTGTCGACGTTCTTGGCCGCCCGAGTGACCCGCTTCTTGGCGTTTTCAAATGCCTCGCTGGCGTGTTTCTCTTCAATCTTAGCCACGGCCTCGTCTATCCGAGTCCTATCAGCCTTGATGGCCGTTTGCCCCGATTGGTTCTCGGTGGCCACATGCAGCTCGTTAATCATCTGTCCCCACTTGGCAAAGGCAAGGCGCATCTCGGACGAGAGTCTCGCACACGTCTTAGCATCGCTGGAGAAGTCGTCAAGGGCGTCCTTGAAGTCTTCATACGCGTCTGGGTTGCCAGTGCTGGGGCCCAGCCGCTTGAAGACGAGAGGAATCCTCTCATCACAAATGCGCCTGCTCGTGATTTGGAGAGCATCCATGTTCGCGCCGGCAACGGTGAAGGCATTTCTGCCCCCGTTGTTGCACACTGCCAAGGAAGCGCTGCTATCAACCCTCCATTCTCCTCCCAGGGCACGAGGGAATGTACGTACCGTCAACGAGGCATGACCTGAGCGTTGGGTTGGGCACATTGGTCATGTACTTGAAGCCACCCTCCGGCTTGGACTCGGACAGCGAGATCTGCTCAGCCGTTGGGTTTGCAGCCGCCAGCCAGCAGGAGCCCATCAGCGACAAGGCAGTTGGTGCGGCGCTCAGGAGCTCTCCCCAGTTGTACTGGAAGAGCGTAGTGCCCTTGAGCTCCTCGACAAACTTGTTCGACATCTTGGCTCCATACTGCTCCCGGATGGTGGCTGTCTGCACCTGGCTGATGTGCTGGAGAGCGCTGGATACCATTGTGACGTGACCTGTGAGATCTCTGCTCGAAGATGGCGAAGTGGAGGAATCAAAAAGGCAGGATGTACTAGTAGAGCTTCTTGGAGATGCGTGTTGTTGTGAGAGGCAGGTTGGTATCAGGTAGGTTGTGGTAATGGTGGTGGCGAAGAGCCTCCTTCATATGCGCGAAATTGGCCGTCAACCTCGCACCTGTCTGTCCTCATATGCCCCCTTCTCTTCTCCTCCCACTCTTTTCCGCTCCCCGCGACTTTGATCGCGGCATGGGCGCTTATGAGGGAATTCATCACCGCATAGCTAGAAGTTATGTGACTGGCTGAATTTCTGTGCTTGCAGGACGCATTACGAATTCATGACGGACCAGTCAAGGCAGTGCGTCCATTTGGAAGGTATCACCGCCAGAGCAGGTTTAAGCAAAGTTTGGCGTGTGCAGGTCCTCGGAGTTGTCTCCGCCTACCTGCAGCATCATGGGTGCCCAGCGGCTCCCATCAAGCCACACCCGCTAGACCGAGGACACTCTCCCCCTCACTTAGGTACAGTTGCAGCATCGGGTCGACCAAGTTGGTCGTATTGATTCCTAACCATCGGAAGCAGAGCCGAGATCGCCCGCACTTACAGCATCAGCATTCAATCTGAGACCATCTATGACCAAGACACATCGTCATCCCCTGGCCAGCGGTGTTAGCCGCCGCATGCGATTGGCGACCCCGTAACTGCACTGCAGTCTGATTCCAGCTGTTGACCAATCCTCCCCATAGGGGGCAAGATGATTTGAGCGTCTTGCAGTTGCTGAAGTGGGCGGGTTGCGCAAGTTGTCTCCACGCCGACATGCACCAAGGTTAATCGAGATGGGGCACCCTTTGTCTCCGGCCCACCGTGCCAACAAGGTCAGATGAGTACTTCTGTGTAATGGAAAACCCAGCATGTCTCTACCTTACAGGGTACGCTTCAAAAATGAAAGACTGTCCGCCGTGCTTACGTGCCCGTCGCTGATTCCACTCCACTTGATCTCACCATCATCGAAACCGCTGCTTGCTACCTGCTACCTGCCTGAAGTTCAGTCATGGCTGAGAAGATAACCGAATTCCTCTTGGACACAGCCCTCACCCTGGGCGAGGGCATCATAAAGGTGGCCGCTCCCGAGATCATCAAGGCCATCGATGCAACAAACGATTCGATATCGAGCCAAACCCTTGATTTGGCCAAGGCCCTTGATCTCAGCGGGGCCTTTATCCCGGGCAATCCTCTCGCGTTCGGCCCCGCCCTCAAGCTGGCAAAGTCCCTCACATCGGTCATCGCGGGAGATGACCAAAAGGAGGTCATTGACGCGATAGGTGCGCGAGACACCTTATTAAGTTTGCTCCCTCATGAGAATCCATTCGCTGACCAACCCAACCCGCACGCCCAGAGTGGATGGAGAAACAGGCAGCACCTTTCATGAATCAGGCCGACGATGTCCTACAGCAGATGGACGTCATCATAAAGACTAGCGAGCAGCTCGAGCGTGAGACCCACGATAAAGTCCACGAGGCCGCTATCTCAGCCTACCAGGCTCTCGACGATGCCGTAGCAGGTCTCCTGGCCATCCAACGGGGCACAGCTCGTCTTCAACGCGTCGACCCTGGCATCATCAGCAAACTGGACTTGGCCGCGGAGCGCTTCGGCTACCTGCACAAGGTCGGCGACACCAACGCGTGGAAACTTGGCAAGGATGCCTCTGCGCTCATGTCTTTCGGTGACAGCACCAAAACCTTCGCCGAAACGCTTCAGCAGGAGAGGAACAAGCTACAGCGGCAACTCAAGGAACACAATGACACCAGGGGGCGTCACAAGGAGCAGCTGAATGCCCTCAGAGAATCTGAGGAGTCCTTGAGGGTGAGAAGGAGGAAGGCGGTCGCTGAATTGGAGGACGGCTGGAACCAACTCGCCTATATCTTCGATTCGTCTCCTAAAAAGAGATACGAGAGGATGATATCGGAAGCCGATCAAGGCTTGGAGAAAAACGCGTCCTCCCAGAGAGAGGTTAACAGCAAGATCCAGGGGCTGCACCTGCTCGACACGCTGATCGGGTGGGCTATGAGAGCGCTGGATGTCCTCACCGCATCGGTCGCCCGCATCGCCCAAGACTTCCAGGCTAAGTTTCGCCGCATCCTAATGGCCCAGCAGATTTCGGACCGCCTGTTTGCGGGCCTGCTCGGCATTTCCAACGCGATTCACGATACCAACTTCCGCACTTCGCGGGACAACTCACTGCACGTGGTGGTGAATGTTTTACGTCGCTACCACGAGCTCCGGGCCGACCATGGCGCTCTGGATATCCCGGGCATAGCTGAGCGGCGAATCCAGCGGGCCATCTGCGTGAAGCTTGGGGAGGGCGGTGTGAGGAAACTGATGGAACCGCCCGCACCCGTTGACGTGAACGATCCCATAAATGACATGTAGGGGCCTGAGGATTATGTATTATTAGCTTAGCTGCGTAACGTACTTGGTACCTAGGTAGGGACGTCAAGATTATTCAAAAGGATTTATACCACGAGTTAATATAATCCTGAATTATACATGTAGTCCACCACTCAATCAAGGCCCGCTTGAGCATTGCTAAGCACCCGAAAATCAATTTTACAAGATGCGACTGATGTTGACAGCTGAAACCAAGTGGACAGGCGACTTTTCAGCGCGATTTGCTGCGAGACTCGCCGATCCTAAGTCATCTCCGCAGGTATTACTTTACTCTGCAGAGGTGATTGCTTACTTTGGCACCATACCTGCGATAATAGCACTCGCTAATAATAATACGCAGCTACTCAGTGCCGCAATTGTATACTATTGGTTCCACTTACAGCGAATATTTTCTCAATGTTCGCTAGGTCGCTAGACACTTGAGCCTGGTGATCAAGTGACATAACCTCGGCGTCAGATGGTCCTAAAACTTGGAGGGATGGATTGTTATGCTCCTTTTCAATTATATCTGAATTTCACGTAACGAGGGTAACGCGCAGGGCAAAACGTGCTAGGGTAGAAAGCGAGTAGCGAGCTCGCGACAGACACTAAGGCTGATGTGAGATAAGAGTTCCGGGGCGATGATACATGTCAAATGTCATTCTTTGTTTGTGGACTGTGCGGGTACCAACCCGCCTAAATATCTAAAGAGAGTCAGGACGATCTAGGCATCCCTACAAAGGGAAAATGTGTAATAAAACACGACAGGGAAATCCTCACATACCTCCCCACTATTTGCTATCCCTAGCACGGGGCGCGCCAGCACGTCGAATTCCCACAGAACCTCAACAGCAAGTTACTACCTATCTATAGTACGCCGCCCGTGTGGGTAGCATGACGCACGGTCTGCCCGCGATGACTGGTGCCCCACTTAGCGTCCTTGGCAACCTCTCTACCCTGTTCATGGACCTATATGGAAAGGGGGCACGACTCCCCTCCCGTACTGTAGCTGTAATGTTTAGTATTTCGTGAGGCAGCGGTAATAAAGCGTCGCCACTTAGCTGATCGGCTCGTTCGGCTGCTGGACTCGTGGCTTGTTCGACTAGTGGGCCGCTAGAAGTCAGGAACTCGGGAGTCTCAAAGTTAAAATCGCCATGCAGCCAGTCACCCTGGTTGACGAACTTTTACATTTAGGCAGCAATCATTACTCGCCTGCCGATGCTAGATAGCATGTAGCCACTTCTCACAGAGTTTCAATAGGTTTTTAAAGGCTTCTTTGAGAGTCTATCGTGCCTTAGTCAGCCTTCCTAATAAACATCCACGTTAGTAATATATACTAGATAAAGTTCTCCTAGTATATATTGCTAGCACCCGGCATCACCCGCACAGACCCCATCAAGTGCGACCGCATACTCATTTCCCAGGACTACAGCTGCCATGAGACGTGACCCCGCTTTCACTGGGCGGGTGTGCCTAATCAAGACCAGAGCGCAGAGGACGCAACCATGACCCAGATCCACCGGATTGGGTTCACTCGACGAGCCGACGGCTGCGACAAGGGGGGCGGGCCGGACTGAGACAAGTAGGTGATGTGGGGTCAGTGAGGAAAATAACTGCAGCTCCAGGCGATACTGATCCGTTGCAAGGCTCTCATTTTTCGTTCCCTTCCCTGAGAACAAGCAGTTTGTAGGCCGCGAAACTATGCTCATAGGCCTACGAGACGCACTGTTCGACGATGGCGGTTATCGGACTCGGTGGGGTGGGGAAGACGCAAGTTGCGCTGCAGATGGTATTCTGCACCAAAGACAAGCCTGGCTGGTCGGTGTTGTAGCTGCCGGCACTGAGCATAGCCGGATTCAAGCAGGCGTGCACGCAGATAGCCGGGAAGCTGTCCATCCTAACGTCTAGCTAGGAGGATGCGAAAGAGTTAATGCGAAGCTACCTTGATTCAAATCGATCCGGCCATTAGCTTCTTATCGTTGATAATGCCGATGACACGCACACGGTATTCGGGGCGGGGGGCACGGGAGGGATCTTCCGCGGAACACCAACGGCCGCATCCTGTTCACCACGCGCTCGAGGGATGTAGCGTAGGCCATCGCAGATGACGCTAGAGATAAAATACGTTAATGGATTACGGTAATGAATGGTAAGCTGTCAGAATGTAATAAATAACTAGAGTATAAAAGCAAGAAAGAAAATTATGAAGAAAAGAATACAGCTATCAGCAAATCACTAACTACATCCCAGATAGCCAAGGCTGCTGGCTGTAACAAGCATTTGATAATTAATGTTCACTCTAACCTGCAACTTGGACCTCTACCAGGCCTAGAGCCTTCATTACCTAGCAGATTAACGGTAAATTATTCTAGTCCCCCGTCCAACCCAGCCGCATCAACCTCTTAAATTATCAATACCCTTGCACCTGCATTGTAGGAAACCATGTTGTATCTTCATGATTCTCTGTTTCGCGATTGATATTTGCATGGCATGTCTTCTGCCACAACCTCCCCTCGTTATCCTGCCAGCGCCAGTCGATTGTGATATGGTAGCTGCCGTTGTGCTCGTGCGGATTTCCATCATTATTACTATTCTCCAGTTAGTTTCTTGTAGGACGATGAATTAATTAAGCTCCATACCGGTAATGTGGCCTTGCTGTGTCAGGAAACCAACCTGCCCGAAGGGCGATCTCTTTAATATTCCAGAGCCCTTGACGGTCTAGAACCATATTGTATTGGGGTACAGTGGAATGAAGTATATGAATGGAAAAGGCGCCAAAGGTGAATGGGCACTGTGAAGCTGAAAATGCCTTCTGCTAGGAGTGTTGATATCTAGTTCAACCTGAACCTTGCAAGGCATGAAAAGCTTCTATAGCTAAGCTTATAAGCTTTCCTGTCGGCGACGGGAGTACTGCTCCTCGAATGCAACAAGAAATCGCTGTGCTCTCTTTAAAATACAGAACAACCCTTCCATTATGTTCTAAAACAGCGCATAAATGCGGAGACTATAGATTTCAATTGGTAGTACCTATATTAGGCACGTTAATAAAATGCTCAGGCTTGATCGAGATTGGGCCGCATGAAGCTGAGCGCCTTGTATCGGTAATTCCGGTTTGCATGTTTCACTCAGGCTGCTGAAGATCCTGATCAACTGTGTCTCCGGGAGTGTGAGATGCGTAGATGAAGGTGGGAGGGATGACAGCCCATCCTGCTTGACAGGTCAGTCCTCAGGACATTCATGGCCCCCTACAGCAAACAAATCAAACTAGAAGGGGCCTAGCAACTACCTACACCCCTCAACTACCTAACCAAAATCGCCCATTAACAACTTCAAATATTAAATAAAAACTAACTGCTAAAATGAATCCCCAATTTAAATCTATATTACGTATTAAATTTTATTTCTTCGTCTTGTGTCTGCAAAGCCTTCCACGTAACCTTAAATGCGTTGTTGACATCGCTGTCGCGAGCGCAAATTCACTGCCAATATGATTTTGGTGGGGCTACTGGGTAGTTACCGGGCGTGGGTAGTAGCCCAGTAAACCCTTCTAGCCGTAAAATTAGTGGAACATCGAATACGTGGAGGGTGCTTGTTGCTGAATAGATCAAGATGCAGCCATGAGTTGCGCCAGTCGCCAGGTTGGACCGCAAGCTAATGGACATGTGGACCAATGGAGCACTCTTATCTTCCCCCCTCCTAGTCCAAGTTGCATGCTACTCTGTCACAAAAATTTGACCGAGGGAGAATCGAGGACCCTCACTTCTTGCCAGCATCATGATTTCCCGACCTTGGTGTAGTTGGTGTACTTGGTGTATTGATGCCTTGCCTCCTGGGCCCAAACACCACGTCATCCCAACCATCCATTGATGCGGAGTGAAGACAAAGGGCTTTTCTTGTCCTCACTCCAGTTCTCTCTCGGCCTCTTAGAATGTGCCCCCCCTTTGTCTGGCGGTGGGATGGTCAACACTCCATCATGAAGCTTTTCAGGTTTCGAGCTGGTGTCAAACGGGATTGGGTGGCTGCCACCATGTTGTAAAAGAAAGGAAGGGTCGATTCGTGCCCGCAGTTAGGTTCGTACGCTGCGTTCCTACCCAACAGACCCCCCCCCCCCCCCCCCCCCCCCCCCCCGGGAATGTATTCCTCCTACACTCCATTTCTGGGCTGCTTATCGTGTGTCCCCGAATATTGATGGGTGTGTGGCCCCCCTTTTGTGTTGGGTCAAATTTCAGGCAAATTTATACCTAACAAGAGACCGTGGCACGCGGACGGTACGGGAAGCGAGACAACCGCAGGCAAACGGTTGAAACGCGTGGACTTGGGAATGCAGGAGGATACTATGGCGGCCAAGGAGATTTTCGACTAGCGCAACTCATCACTGGGCGGAGAGCTATGCTCCGGAGCGAAAGTACTCCGGCATTTGGCGATGTGACCTGGGTTCCCTGCACCTGCTTCCAGAGCGGCCAGAGTGCTACATTGCCTGTGTTGATGGTCGGTCGAGACGAACATGGGCAGCGAGCAATGAGCCCTAGCAGCTCAATCGTAACTCGCCAATCCCCTCTGGTTATTCGTCCGTTCGGCCTTCATGCTTGGATAGCTTACACATGCATCTTCCTGACATAGACGAAGTAGTAAGGCACAGAGTATGGTTGGGATGAACCTTCCTCATCATATCCATGTCACCCTAGCAGCTCTAGTATTACATCGCTCTCCGTGTTCTCCAGGGCCTCTCTTAACGAATCCAAACACCCCTTCGTTGGGGCATGAGGAACGTGATATATGGCAATCGAAGGCAGCGCCAGCGATCGTCTGCATGAGCATCTCTAGACCAGTTTGACAATTCTTCGTTAGCTTCCGCTACGCTTCTCGGACCAGGATCTGAGACTGGTAATCACGGTGTACAGTGATGTTCCGTTGGAAAAGCGACTCGCTATTCAATCCCGGGAATATCCAATATCGTCAACGGGTAATTCTGTTGGATTCATGTGTACCTGGATTTGGCCCTTCTAAGTTAGGCTCCAGTTAGTGTCAGACTCCAATTAGTAGTCGGGCTCCAGTTAGTGGTCGGCTCTAGTGGGTAGGCTGGAGATGTAAAAATTATCCGCTAGAAGGGCGAGTTTCGGATCAGTGGTGTGTCCGACAGGAGAAGCTATAAGAGTGAATGGTCGCCTTAGAAGCATTGTCTATATTATTATTTCTGCACGCAGCTGTGCCTCTCCCAGGAGATATTCGGCTCCAATTGAGTTTCCACTGGAGCTATAGTCACAATGGCAGATGATCAAGCGGCTATGGGTGATAACTCGTCTGGCGCTCTTCTCCCTGCTGAGGGAACCTTCACGGCTTCTGCACAAACTGGAGATCCCGCGCCACCGCGCCTGGTTCGCGTCCATCAATATGACCCATCTACAAAAAAGATTAAGCCGGAATGTACAATTAAGCTACCTCCTGACTCTGATAGCTTAACTCTCGCCTCTATACGCACAGAGCTGGTAAAGGCTAAGAAATTCAAATCAAACGAGTAAGAATCCAGAAACACGACTGGGTGCCACTTTCAAGAGGACCGAAGCTTCTAACACCAAGTGATCAGTACGAAGCCGTCATTCTGCTCTGAAACAGGAAGTATACTTCCCGACGACATGAGTATCGACGACTACCTTACTTCAATGGGTGAGAGGTTCAAAACTGTAGAGAATAACGACTCGTTATGGTGTTTGAATCTTGTTACCTTTCGGCATGACACTTATATACCCGTTTCAGAGTCTATCTGGATTAGGCGCCAAGAAAACTGTGTGCCTGGATGTGTACTTTAGTGAAAGGGAAGCAATCGTAACTCCTCTTGACGACAAAGTCAAGGAAACTCTCCACAAACCCTTAGTCCTGAAGCCTGCGGTAAGACCAAGTGCCTTATTCAGTAATGAGAGATCTGACCAGAAATAGGAAACACCTCGTCTGCTGGAAGCAAACCCCGCCAAACACCTCGCTCCTTCATACCAACTCATCGAAGGAGGGTCGAAGACTCCATCTGGGCCCGTATCGTAAGTAGAGTGGGTCCCAAATACTAAAGCATTCTCTACTCTCCCCCCCCCCCCCCCCCCCCCCAAAGCAATTCTCTGACCTGCTGTAGATACGTCTCCCAGCTCACTGAGAGTGATTGGCAGTTCATCATCGCCGAAAATCATCTGATGAGGGGATATAGCATTGCCACAGTATCGTCCAGCGGTAGCCACACAAACAAAGTCGCACACGACGGTATGTACTTGCCTATCAGTGAAATAATTATATGACATAAATATCTGGAACGAAGTGGATAACTGTTGTACAGCTTTCAAATTGAAGGAACGCGGGTTCAGACCAGATCAGATTCCTGATGCATGGGGCCGGGGAACCGTTTCCGACGCAAACAGCAATTCATCTAACCAGAAAGTACGTACAACGCCATTCGTTCCGAGTTGCAATGGATTTTAGCGTAGCTAAGTGCTGTCTTCGCAGATGTTCAGAGTTCCTCTATACAGCGTAGATAAAAACTCCAACTTCACCGCTTTCGAGACCAAGAATGCGTTGGAGGAATCAATGGCGGAAAGCTCCTTCTCTATGAAGTCCATAGAGATAGCATTGTAGGTATTCCTGGATCATTGCCGGAAGTTTTTTGAAGGGAAAACTAACATGTAACCGGCGAGCAGGGGTGGTAGCTTACTTGATGTCTCTGCGGGTGTGAGGCTTGGTCTTGACAAAAGCCACACAAATCAGACCGCGAAAACGGACTCAGAGCAGAGGGCAAAAATACATGTGGCTTTTCTTGTGCGATATATTACCCAGTTTTTACCATTCCCATCCCATACTACAGGCACTGACTGGTAACAGTATCCTCGAGTTACGGTTCATTTGGACCCAACCATCCTTGACGTCACGGAAGAATGCAAGGAAGATATTTCTCAAGTGCACGACAGTGAAAGCTGGCAGAAATTCTCCAAAAAATATGGTGCGAATCCAGTTCCCACAGTTAAAACGGGCGTCTAACACTTGGATAGGAGACATCTTCGCCTCTGAAATTCAGCTTGGCGGCAAGCTCCATTCAAAAAGAGAGTCTAAATCAGTCAGTGGAGAAACAATAGAACAGAAATCAGAAGCACTGAAAGCGGGCTTTACGGCGTCGCTCGCATCTCATGGTTTCTTTTCTTCGTCGACCGGAAGCTATGAGGATCAGAAAAACAGCAAGAGTAGCGGGTTGAAATCAGACCTGGAGAACTCGATGAGCTGGAAAGCCACGGGCGGAAACACGTTATTGGGCGATACGTGAGTCACATTACATGACTTTCTGGCAGTTACTTGGAGACATAAAAAAGCTAACCAGCGTATCCCATAGTCCTACACAATGGTGCCGGAGCGTGGGCGAATATCGAAACTGGAGCGTGATCAATGTATGTGATTTCAAGCCTTTGAAACTGTTAAGATGTTAACGGCCCCTCTGGGGAGCGATAGAAAGATGGCGTTCTTCCCCTCTACAAGGTCATCAGTCAAATCCCGGGCTTCGGGGATGTTAAGGAGAGATTCGAACTGAGTGCGACGAGCCGATACCGACCAGCAAGAAAGATCAAGGTCAAGTATAAATTGCTGCAAGTAAAGACCGGGGCGCCTTTGTGTATTCGCAGGAATGACGACGCCCTTTGTACGTAGAGCCCCTTGCTGTGTCTCAAGAATCGGCCGCGTTTGCTAACTCTGGGGGGAAACAGTTCAAGAGATGTCAGATGTCCTCCTATCTCATCATAACTTTCCGTCCTCCGAACGAGAGCAAAAGATTTTGGGCGAAGTCAAATCCTCGAAGTCTTTCTTGTGGTGCGACCAAAAAGCAAATCTCAATGATGAGGGTAATCTGTGGACCAGCATAGCGTATGTACCTAGAGGATCAGAGGATGCGGTGAGTCTTACTTCTCCTCTCCTCCTTTTCCTTCTCGCTTGCCCTGACAGCTGATATTAGTTGTATTATGACGAGCGATATCCCATGGCCATCGCAGACGGAAATGAAGAGGTTGTTACCACACCGTGGTGGTTTTCCAAGTATTTTCTCCACCTGACAGGTCCAGGCAAAGGGTGTGAGATCAAGTTTCTCAAGCAAGGTTATACGGGTAAACGGACACCTATCAAATGTAGAGACAAGGTATACCTTTTATTTCCAACCACACGATTTCCCCTATGCGAGAGTGGATGGAAGAGGGTTTGCGGCTCACATCGTTCAACGGGCTTGGCTATGCGGATTGTAATGATGACGGCGACCTCCAAGAGTTCGAATTTAGGTTGGAAGAGATTGATGAGTGTTGAACGTGGCAATGATTTCGAGGATGAGATGAACATGTCAGAATTAGATTCAGGATTCTTAGGGAACGGGGAAGCGTGAATGCAAACTGCTCTAATAGCAAGAGTGATATCGTTAGATTGGAAAATCTGGACTGGGAGTGGATTTGGCGTACTTAACCTTTGTCCTCCATCTGGCGGCTAGGTATCGGTTTTGAGAAGACGTTTGTCCTGTCGGAAGGGGTGCGAGTACCGATGTGGGTGGCAACGTTGCTTATCGGCCTCGGCGTTTAAAAACTATTATTACTTCTACTCGAGATGAAGGTGCCAGAAGCGGATGTCCTTTTCTTTCTTTTCTTCTTTCCTAGACTTTTTTCAAGCCTTTTGTGTAATAAAAGTTCGAAGTCAGTTCCAGCAATACAACAATTTAGTTTTGTTTTTTCAGTCTCCTCAAATATTCCATAGGTCTGGCCAGATCTGATTCTAGGGAACTAGAGCTTATTCGTTGACCAGCCTAATGTTCCATTGGAAGACCCCCCCATTTGTGTATTCGCCATTGTTTCTGGTTGATCAACTATCGACGGTTCTGTCAGGCAACTTGTAGCCAGGCGACTTCTCTAAGGGTCATGGCTGATTACCATCGGCCCTCTCATTCTGTTCTGTATTAGCCCGTTAAAATTACTACATCTCTCTTATATTTGAACGTGTGTGTTTGCAGACACTGCCGATGTTACTGCTTAACTGCCTTCATATCAGAGACCTCATGACATTTACACGAACTAGGCCTGTACTGATTTAGTGTTAGGATCTTAATACGGGCAGAGCAAGTATTAACTTACAAGTAAATAGAAGATATTTGCGTAGTAAAATATCTAACCTGACCACTTAAGTCTTGCTAACAATAGCTTGATGATGATGTTAATTGCGTCTACTTGGACTGGGAAGGGTGAATGCTTCAAATTGTTTCTGCCGAAGTTAAAACAGCGCCAATACTTTACGGGAAGAAATTAATAGCAATGGTCAAACCTCAGTAAAGCATCGGATGTTCATGAGAGCTAATAGTTGAATTTTACTACACAAGGCGAGGCAAAAACTGGCTAAATATGTGAACCTGGACAAGTGATCAAAAGCAAAAAGCAGCTTCAAAAACTGAAACTGTTCAATCGAGTGCGTGCATGAGCATCTAATGTGTCTCTGGGAAAAAACTGACACGAACGACCTTTCCTGAAACCAATCAGAGATCTTCTTCGACTTCTCGCATTTTGACGCCATTAACAAAGTCGTTCGTCGCAGACCGGCTCCTCATATGTGAACCACTGCTTTCAAGATGTCAGTGTATGCATGACTCCAGAGACAGTTGCGAAAGTACATTACCTCCTCTGGCTTTGCCACCGGTATGTTTGGCACCTTTCAAGCCCTTTCTCCAACCTTGTCTTCTCCCCCTCAAGCCTTTCCCGTTTTCGCGGAATCTCGGGAGGCTCTCCAGCCAAGGCCTTGATGGAGGCATCGTCCATCCTGCTGAAATGTAGCTTCCAGTCGAGGATCTTGGGAATGTCGCGGATAAGCTGCTTTTCCGCTGCAAGAATAATTACGTTTTCGGTAAAGTGTTTAAGGTGGTGCTGCCAGTGTATATATTGTTAGCCTCAGCAGGTCCTGGGTGGGGTTCAGGCCGAGACTTACGTCGTAATACACGATCATATTGTCAATTGTCTTTTCGAGAGCAAAATAACTACCATCATTGCCATCCTTTCTTAGGACATTCTTGAGGTACCTAACATACTTCCGACCATATTCTGGTTTGGCGTGGATCTCTCGCTTCATATCAGCGGAAGCAAGAGACATCTCAGGGTTGGGCTTCTTCGAATATTACTCCACTTCCAACTTCGAGATCTGGTTGTTAAGTCGAGTTCTGTATCGAGTGTTGGTATCATGCTCGATTTCGTCCTCCATCGCGATCTCGTATTCACTAGAGGAAGGCAAAATCTCCTCGAGCTTCCTTCTCAGAACTTGCTCCTTTTGCGCGAAGAATAGAGTGACGTAGTTAGCCATTATTCTATCAAATGTGGCAGGATCCGACCCTAGAATATGACGGAGGAGCTGTTCGGTGAAGATTGTTGCCACATGAACCAAGAGATGAAGATGATCGGTCGCCAGGCCCTTCCACGCGGTCGATTGTTCTGAGAACCTCCCCAGTATGGCAAAGGGGTTCGTCTCCCCTGGAAATTCCTGGCCGCGGTTCTCCACTACTTTGGATGCCCAGTGCTGCTTCAACAAGGGTTCTGTAATTTCTTCTGGGTCTTTGAGATGAATGTAGAACTTTTCGATCAGATCCGAGTTAATATCTCCAGCCGGTGAGTAGTAATACCCATTCGACGTTGGCTTTCCGTCATCCCATAGAATAGAGAATTTGTGTCCTTTTTGTATGCATCACCGCAGTGAATGCTCGGTTTAATTCGCGGACAAGCGCGCGCAGTTTCCTCACGTCCAGGCTCCCACTATCTGGATGGTCAGTCTGTTGAGTTGGAATTTGGAAGAAATCCCTGTTCAAGTAGCTGCCTTGAACCGCCTGCTCGGGGGTGCGTTCGAAACTCGTCACGTCGTGGAGATAGTCTCGGGTATCCAAAACGTCGACTGGTGATGGTCCAAGTTGCTCAAGTGCCGCAGTTCTGTTCGCGATCGCTTCCTCAATGTCGCTGATTACGCCTGGGATCGAGAGGGAGATGTGCTCGAGGAGGAGTCGGTTGAGCTTCTTGCGAAAGTTGTCGATGCCTTTGTGTTCAGCAGAGTACTCTCTCCAGGCGCTGTTGCTCAGGAATTCGGACTCCTTCCGATCCCTATCATCGTCTGAGCAGCCTAGTCTGGCTTCCTCCTCTGACAAGTTCCTGAGGACATGCCAGCCGAGTTTGAGGATGAGCATTTTGTCCTCTCCTTTCGCAAGTTGCAAGTATAATTGTGTTGCTGTATGGTCGTTCTCGATGCGGTCTGCTTGAGTGACAACACCAAGGACTCGCGACAGACTGGGGTCAACATTTTTCTTGGCCAACACGATAGCCCCGTCCATCTCGACGTTTGTATTAGCAGATACGACGGCAAGGATAATGCTTCTCTTCTGACTCATGTACCTCTCAGCCAGTTGGAACGCAACCCGCCCTCCTTCTCGAGACTGCCTTAGACTCTCGCCGGTATACAGCCCCGGAAGGTCGACTAAGGTAAGATTGGGAACATTAGGAGCGAATATCTCTATTCTGAGGACATGGTTGTAAATTTCTCGTGTGTTCTCGTTTATCCCAATCTCTTTCTTGGCCTCTTCAATTGCCTGTGGGGTCTCATCCTTGTTGGATCGAGTGGGGAGCTTTTTCTTTTTCACATCCTCCGGAATGATGGAAACCTCTATCCTCGTCTCCTGGTCGGTGCGGAGTGCCAATTCCATTGGGAATCTGGTACAGACAGCAGAGCTCGTGGGGAACGGGACATGGGAGAGAGCCGAGAGCACTGAGCTCTTCTCTGAGGATTGGTTTCCGGCTACAATTATTTGGGGGAGATCGACGATCCTACCAATGTGGAGGGAATGGAGATCGTCAATAGTATCGAAAAGCCCCTTTTGCTCTAGATGAAGTTCCTGAAGTGCCGGAACTGTTGAGCTTGGCACGGGTCCTGGGGACTCTAGGGCTGTCAGAGAGAGTGGAACAGGGCTCGAAAGGGTAGAATATACAGGTAGTAACTGTATTTGTGCGAGATCGACGATCAAAAATGTGAACGAATAATAGAGAAGGAGAGAGATTCTAGAGGATTCAGAGCTCACGGATGAACAGGACAAATATACCTTTTTGAGAGTAGCATTTGAATCTTTGATCAATCCTCTATCTCTGCGGGCATCCATTTGCAATGAGCACAACTATCCACCCCGTGCTCGACTGGGCTGTGAAGCCAATCACTGTGTGGCAGAGGCCAACAGAGCGAGCAGAGACAATACCCTACTTCTTTTGCAACACAAGGGGCTGCGTTTACATCCGGTCTTGGCCAGGCCCACTCGCCCTTCCAGGACACCCGCATGAGTGGCATTGCTGCGAGGAGGAGGAGCATCAATCTCACGAAGCGCCGGCTAGGGGAATTTCCAGAATTCCTAGTCACAAATGGAGGATATTCTAGGGCCATTCAATAAATTAATTTATTCCTCGTCTATGACGCTCTGAGCATAGGTCACCCATGACGGCCGGGCCAGACCGGGCAGAACGGTGCATGCGCTGCGCCTTGTTTCAGGTCATGCATGTTGGTTCTCCTGTCACGTCGACGCGGACAGCGTGCCAGTGGTTGAATCGCTCTATCAATACAGTCGGCAATGAGTTGCGCTTACAGAATAAGAGGTTGATATGGGGATCTTATTCTAGGAGACCTGGCTCACATGTATAGGGTTAATAGCTTGTAAGTAATGAATAAGGAGTTCACGGCGAGGCCAAGGCTGTTCAGGATGAACAGGGCTGCGCTCGGTAAGGACATAACATCTAGTGAACAGCAGCGTGAAGCGGCCGGTCAGTACCCGGATTATGATATTCACGGCACCAGCTTCCAGGCGTGGCCGCCCCATGCCCTCCCCAAATCGCCAGTCTCACCTCTCTGAGTGCTTACACTCGTTCGACCACACTCTCACAGCAGTTTCTCCAACGAGGCCACCTCACCCGCGCTTTAGCCTTGCCTGGCAAGGGATCGCCGAGAACAGGCAGTGGGTATCACACCGCACGTTGGAGGTCATGCCATGTACACCTCTCTCGTCAACAATTTGCTCGATCATTTCAAAGAGAAAGAGAAGAGGATAATCTGATACTGCCTTTCATTTTTACCCCGTTAAGTCGCTGGACCAGAGGACAAGAAAAGCGCGCAAGATGAGAAGAAACCTTTGACCGGAGAAACTTAGCCTACTTCGCAATATTTCAACGCTTCAGATTGTTTGACTCATCTGATACGAGTGGTTACATATGATTTGAGTTTTCATAGGTGCTTACGCGGTTGCTAGTGTACCCGGCTCGAAACTTTTGTCACTAATCCTAATGGCGTATCTCTCGCCCAACGTGAGCCCGTTCAAGTTGGATCACTATTGCGGGGGAGGGCAGCCCTATTCGAAGGCAAAGAGAATCTTTAGACGACTGTTCAGGCCACCAGAGATGTAATCCAGAATAGGCTCAATGTAACCATCTTCGTCGTAAACAACAACGGCTATACTACCATAGCTTCGATAGAGGCTGCAACGACATGCAGCCGTAGCAGTATCTAAAGATGATATATTATAAGTTTATAAATTTTAATGTTATAAACCTAAAGTCCAGAACAAATACTATTCACCTAGGTTCAGCGAAGTCTTCTTTCATTGTCGATCTTTCCTCGTCGGCAGTACGACTAATAAGATATTTAATAGAGGTGACCTGGCTGGCCATACTGCAAAATTTATTACCGCTTTCTCATGGCCGCATTAATCGCAGCTAGATTATAGTATCAATCCTCTCCTGTCAGGTCGATGACGTCGCCGTCAGTGACTTTTCGCTTTACTCCTATGATAGGAGGTAAACTGATAGAGCTTGACCTCGGAAGCTGCCCCGAGGACGACGGCAAATCCCTAGACATCGGGTCTAAGGAGTTAGGCACGAGAAGCCTCGAAGGAGACACCTTTGGGCGTTTTGTGCTAACTGTAGAACAAGCTTGGGTGAGCACTTCGAATCTTCTGATGCTATTATAGCTATCGCCAAGGAGCATCCTCAACTTGGTCTGGTTGAACGTCTTGAGCATCTGCTCTGCCTTCCCCTTCCGGCTGGTCCACATCCGCCGCTCTTGGTCGTTCTTGGCGAAGGTTTTAGTGACGACGAGGGTATATGGTGATCCCCGCCGCTCCGTATTAGTCGAGCATTCTCCGCTGCATAACTTCGAGCTGAGATGGTTACGGCGCATCTCATTCATAGTAAATCGGCCAACCTTCTGATTGGGATCGCAAAGGAACCTGTTCAGAGAAACACAGTCGGCACAGCGTGGTTGGCTACACCTCACGGCGGGCCGGACGAGGTTGGTCTCTTTTGAAGGTTGAGCCCCCACGTACTTTGTAATGTACGAAGTCAGAATCGCCGTAAACATCTGCTGGAACATTGGTGTCGAAAGGGGGATTGATCCAGTTTCGAGCAAAGGGACAAGATCTTGTAAGAATGGGACCCAGAGCTCGTGCATCTCCTCGGCTGGGATCAGTTCTGTAGTTTCCAGTCCGAACTTAAGGCAAAAGTGCTGAGCAATATCAACTCCCATTTCTGGCATCACTAGATGACTTACAAAGTCGACGAGAGAGCAAAGAGTGATGCTGTTGCTGTTCGAGACAGATCTTGGGAGCGGCGTGCCGAAGTTGTATGTATAGGAACTATCCATCTTCGGGACTTTCAGAGCAGGCGGGTTGCCCGAGTTGTACAAATTGCACACGTTCATGTCGTTGATCATCTTCGAGGCAATGGCTTTCCAGTTTTCCAACATTGATGTGCGCAAGGGCCATCCTGCCTCCATGTGATGATAGAGCTCATTCAGAAATGTAATCGTGAATGGAACGTCTGTCGATTTGGTCTCGACCAGAGGGATGACGCTAGTTTTGCACAAAAAAAGAAAAATTAGCTTCCGAAAGACCAGTTGACTTCGTTCAGGAAAGGGAGATGCCACCTAAGGGCACCTGACATACCTTTGATACATAATGGAATCGCTTGATTGACAATAGGCTTTCACGCATTTCATGACGTGCTTGCCATCGTCTTCGCAAAGAATGGTTGACCGCGCGTCATACAATGCTTGGCGCAATACACCACACGCCCACTGCCGAACCGGGACAGCCAGCGAGGCAGCAGATGGTGGCGGCGCGACGACCATGAGGGACGAAAGCCGAGATTCGAGCTGTGGGTTAGATAGGATGGCGTAAGCAAGGCTACGAGACATTAGCGAGATCCACTGGTAGGCGGCGCTTGGTAAGGATTCATACCCGTCCTTGAGCCGGTCAAAGGAACCTGGCGCTATCTCGATGCGATGACGCACCGATTCAAAGAAAGTCGGAGGGACGCCGTCCAAGTGCGAACTCGACAAACAACGCGCAATATCCTCGAACATCCCCCATTCCTCAAGCTGAATCGCAATCATTAGAATCGTCATCATAGATGCTCCACTAATACGACGCATAGACATCTCTTTCAAGGCATCAAGACCCCATTGTTTTGAAGTCGGTTTCTTCGCGGCCCTTGCAAAGTACGAAATAGTCGAGTGAGTGTTATTACCAAGCTCAATACGGTGGTGGTTGGTAGTACAGCCCCAGAGGAAGCTGAAGGTAGCCGCACGACGGACGATGACCACAGCCTTTGGAGACGTAAGTCTATGCCCGGGTTGCCAGATGATGGGGCGGAGACGATAGAACTTACCGCTCTTCGATACCAGTTAGTCTCCGTAGCTCCCTTTTTAATGATTGTAAGTCACATGGTTACTAAATCCCTGGAGCTGCGCTTCCGTACTTACCTCGTTACCAGTGAAGCCGGACTCCTCGACATCGTCAGGCTCGTCCCCAAAGAAGTCGGTTTGTAGCGCAGAATCCTCGACCATCTTGACACCAGACAATACTTGGTTTCCCGATAAATCCACGAGCTTCTTGATGGAATATATAGACTCGATGTGATCTGTTGTACGATCGGGAGGGTTCGCGTATGCCTCAGAGTCGTCGGAGTCATCATCGTCGCGCTCCTCGAAGGCATATCTGTAATGGTAATCATCATAATCCCCATAAACCCCGTTACGCTCCTCTTTCTCGAGAACGGCGAGGAATATGTCAACAGGAAGAGATTTAGATACAGTGGAAAGAGCGTGGACTCGTGCCCTGTCTACCAACTTCATCGCAGCAAAAGATATGCTTTCTTCCGTGTATTCATGCTCCAAACCATAGTAGAAGTGGTCAGAGTCGCGGTCAGGGTCTAAGCTGAGGTTGAAGGAGTCATCTTCACACGCCATATCCCCAGCGTGCAGGAGCCACCGCCGTATTGCATGGCGGAGTGCTCTTTCTTCTCCAACGGCGAGTCCGGCCGTTGGCCGCGCTGCCTCTGGGGGTAAGGTGAGATTGTACGTCAGAACCCATCGATATCCAGAGACGACCGAGAGCACTTCGTGGGACACGTCGGAATACCAACAAGCAAAGGACTGTCGTGCGCTGGAGGAGCTGAACGTCATTGTCTGGCCCGCATGCTTCACGACGATCCGGCCACCCCGATGAGTAGATGGAAGACAGATAACAAGGGTCCCGAACATGCCCGTTGCTTTAATGGTGCTTCAGAGGGCCCATATTAGTTCGGGTGGGTGAGGTTGAGTGTAGTCAACTTCCGAGGACGATTACTCACTCAGTGTGCCGCTTAAACATGGCTCCAGTCTCGTAGATTAGCATCTTATATAGCTGAGCTTCGATCGGGGACTTGATGCCGAGCATCTGCTGAATAGTGCAGCTTAGTCGCAGCAGAAAGCGGCCCCACGAAGGATTCTTGAACTTGACCATAGCTGCATCCAACTCCCAGGTATTTCGCACGGAAGTGTCGACAATTGTCTCGGTGCCCTTACCGAACGGCGCCTGGCGTGCCTGGGCAATCAGCTGTCGGGCCTGTCCCTCGTCAAGCGGGAGGTCAATGGCGCCGACACCTTCCACCTCCAACTCGGGGTCCTCAAAGTCGTGATCAGGGATGGCCCCAAACGCAGCAAAGTTTCCGGGAGCCTTGATGTCATCTAACGCGTCGAGGAGGTCGGTTTTGAGCCCACCGTAGAAGCTTAATGTGCTCAAGTCGCTAGTGGCGCTTCCCCGACGGGATCGTTGTCCAGCGCCGGAGTCCGCAGCTACTTCGCAACCGATTGCAGAGTCCCCCGGACCGCCGGAATGAGGCAACGACATTCTGTACAGCCTGCGTGCTATTGTTTACACTTTGTTTAGGAGATTGCAGTTGCAGAAAGTAATCGATAGTGATTTTTACCTAAACGGAACGACTTATTGATCCTTACGCGTTCTAATACGCGTCGATTTTCAGGGGTCCCTGGTGAAATGTTATCTCGATGAAACTTAAAATAGTTAGCGCTGGTATAGGTTAAGTGGTGTCTGGACTAACCTCATCCAATACCTGTGTATTACCTAATACGTCCTTATTCTATTTCTTGTCTGCTTCCTCACGGCGGTTGTGCTTGTGAGAGTAAAAGTATATCTAATAAATGAATGGCTATGAAAGAAGAGACGATAGGTTACTTCTCGACTTAAATCTAACTGGTTTCGGGAAAGTAGCCCTCTAGAGATTTAAAACCTAGATAATATAGAACATTTGTCATTAGATCCCTGTGTACTGACCATGAAGGCCGACATGCTAGCTAGGAGCCAGATATTATATGAAGTTAGTAAAGATAGTTATATAGCTCCAAGAGTGTAATATATTGTAGCTATATAAATTAACTAATAGATGACTGGCTTCAAAAAGAAGGAAGAGTATCAACTTAAATACTAGACGTTTGCAAATATTAGATCCAGGTTCCCCGGAGTCTGAGGTTGACGCTGGAAGTCTGTACTTACATTCTTATTCGAAATTCGGGCTCTTGGTTAGACGTGTATGTAATGCGCATGGTTTTAAAGCATAGTCCAATCCCCATATGTTAATAGTGGACGGACAGATAACTATAATACAAGATCAAAATACGGTTACAATTTCACAGCAACTATCTTTTCCCTGCTCCTTTAGTAGGCACCTGCGTTGTTGGACCGCTTACAATTATCCTCTCTGGGAATGGCTTCCCCACATCTGCTTCTAAGCAAAAGTCCTCGCTAATGTTTTTTGCGTGCGTCAAATTCCACTGTAGCGCCAACCGAATAGACCTAATTTTGCTCGCGACTTGTTTAATATAACTCCTCGCTGCGGCGAGATATTACCCCATCCATCATTGGCATTCTATCATTTGTCAAGGGAGTGCCTTTTCGTGATGACCGACTTTAGTTTAGACGGTTTACTGACTATTTCTGGTTGTTTTATATATAGTCATCTTCCTGATGCTGTCCTTGAGGAGATAGTAGCCAGGTGAGTCGTGGTAATAGTATTCCTCCGATAACCACAGCCCTTACCCTGACTTTTGCTTTTCCTGCTCCGCTTCTACTTTCTATTTTCCATTTCTTCCAGAGTTATTATAAAAATATCTTGAATATTTTTCGCTGGAGGATTTTCGATGATAAATAGTAGAGATAATTAACAATCTGAGAAAGCGGCTTAGAAGTAAACTTGATGAGAAGGCCTCACCGCAACGTATTTAACCCTCCAATGTACCACTACAAGTGGCGAGTAGGCCAACGAACCACAGGATCAGGTATTATTTTAGCCATCTAAATTCTAAAGAACTCTCTCGGCCCGGTCTACTCCTTCGCAACAACTAGGATATCCAATGTTACGGCTTCAGCTTGCTTTTTCTTTCCGTGTAAGATAGTATATAAAGGAATAAAGACACTACCTTATCCTAGCATAGTTCCATTTCTTCCTGGATGGATTTTCCAAGATGGGCTCAATGAGACAGACTCACATGAAGTCATCTATTTGTGTGGTGGCCTCCTTAATTTCAACCTCACGTGTCTCCTTGTCCAACTGGTCTTTCTCACAACCCTCGAAAATGCCTCCCTGCACGCGTTCCTCGCCACCGCCCCAGAAAGCGTCGACTTCCCCAGGCACTTCTTCTCCAAGTATTTTCTTCCTATCCCTCGTCTCCCATAGCACAGGGTCATCAAACAAATCCGGCTCTCTTTCTGCCATCTTATCCACGATCTTCTTTGCCTTCTTCTTCTGCTTCTTTTTAGAGTTCGAAGTCTTACTGACCGGCTTTGACGTGGGCAAGAGAGCCGTGTCAGTGGCTGCGCCGCCAGTTGGGAGTGGACCGGTCTTGGCTGTGCGGGGTGGAATAATCTTCGTTTGCTGCGTCTTGTTGATTTCGTTGCTCTTTAGTTTGGACGCCCCTTTCTTCAAATTTTTGTTACTCCCACAATGAGGCTTGGCGAAGATATCGTCGAGGAATGGCTCGTCGTAGTCTACATCTTCGTCATAGTCGCCCGAGAAATTGGCTTCAATATCGAAGACATCTGAGTCGTGCCAAGACTTCATGTTGTAGACCGCGTGCAATGAAGACCTGAACTTTCCGGATTTAGATAAAAGACTGGGTTTCGATAGCGAGGAAATCCTCCTCGATAGTGTCAAGCTGACCCTTGAGCTTGGCTGTGCTCACTTACCTTTTCAGAGTCGGGGGATTAATAGAATAGACTGTTACTACAAAATGACGGGGTATTCTTGAGTTCTAGGAACTTACACAGAGTAGTCCGCATGTCGTCACCCTGTTGTCTTCTTCTCCCTCTTCCGATGTCGGAGCGCTGCAGCTTCGCATAGGATTGAATTGCTTTCTTCTCCGACGCCGCGCCGAGAGAGTGGTCAGGTGCCGGTTAACGCCGGCGAACTGCTTGGGAAGCAGTCCTTGGGGTACCAGAAGCGACCCGCGCGCACAGGTGAGGCAAGACAGGCGTTCCTCAACGGGAATCATAATGTCGGCCATTGAGTTTGGCCAGACCGCACAGCAGGAAGTCTACTGCTTTGAGGGCTTTTATATTAAAAGTCCACATGTTTTGAGGTTATTGACCAGCGGTCAGCGTGGGCAGCTCTTGAGAGTAGTAGACTGGCAGTAAAAAAAGGATGTGTGCACTCTGGTGTTCTGGGCCAGGTGGCTGGAAGCCAAGATTCTAGTTTGTGGTGTCTCAGATGAGCAGGTGTCAGACAACAACTCGAAGCAACTGGCCTTCCTGTGGAAGATCTATTATGTGGCGGTGGCTGCACGTGCCTTCAAAGGCGGACAGTTCTAGAAGTTGAAGGCCACATTCAGACGACACTTACTAAATTACTGTACTTCATCGATGAGCTCGTCTATTTGAAGCTTTTCTATTCGTACGACGCTGGACTGTTTCGTATCTTATGTATTCACATTCAGTATATTTATAGATACTTATCACTGTACATCGCGCCATTATTTTCTAAGAAGGATATGATAGCCTCCAAAGGTATCCCTCTCCGCATCCCGGTTTCGTCATCCCACGACGAATGCAATCCGACCAAGTTTCCAGAATTCCAATCGACTAGAGGTGCTCCCGAATGCCCCCAATACGTCCAGCAATCATGCATCAACGCCCCTATTTCCGAGTTGTCTTGAAGGTCCTGTTGGGCGTATCCCCGAAAGCGACCGGCGCTCACGTGTAGGACGTCATAATTCGTCTGGATCCCCGGTTCTGAAGCTTCGAGGTCTTCACTTCCTGGATGGCCTATGCAGGCTAGCCGAGAATTCTTGGTGGGCTGTACGGCGCTGATGGGAATGAAGGGGAAGAGGATGTCATCGTTCTCTCCCAAACACGCAGAACCGTCCATCTGGGCAGCGACGACATTTAGCAAGGCAAGGTCTCGTCGGGAATCCCACGCCACGCAGGTCGCCTTAACTACGCCCCCTGACTTGAATAAGAGCCAGTGGGGCTTGGAGGAATCTAGCTCTTCGGGTGTCTCGGCTACGCAATGGGAGCACGTTAGGAGCAGGCCCCCGGACGTGATGCAAACTGCCGTACCGCCTTCTTCTTGGGCGAAAACAAGCGTTGCATCAACTATCCGCGAATGTCTTTCGAAGCCTTTTGGTATAAGGAGGTCATTTGTTTTTAACCACGACTGTTTCTTGAGCAGGAGACGATGGTCGTCGGTGGAGAGCTTCGTGATAGTACCCGTGAGTTTAGAGGCGAGCGGAGTTACTATGCATCCTTGGGTTGTTGTTGGTAGTCGGGAATCTCGGCTTTGGTCACTGTGAGTCTCTACGGGGGCTGGCTCACTGGATTCTTTTGCCGCTTCCTTTGTCTGAGATCTTGTTCGCCTCGGGGAGAACACTGATTCGACCGACGTTCGTGTCATTTCTTTACAGCCTGTCGGGGAGTGTAGTCCAGGACTGCGGGGGCAACGACGCGAGATTGCTAATTGCCTCTTCAAGGGTATTTCTGAGTATTTTAAACGCATACCTTCGTATATCGCATACGGCTTAACTACATGTTGCCTTTCGCTAAAAAAGTTCCGAGGAACACCTTACAGTAAGATGCTGTCCAGACAGACGCTAGAACCTCTAATTAATTGATATCAGTATCGAGAATATTAAAGCGGGATACTACCCGCCCTGAAGAATGGCCAATAGTCGGCACTCCCAGAAAACTGTCCAAAGCTCCTTGGCAGAATAAAGAAAAGCAAAGGACACCCTCTTCTATCTCCTTGATCTGGAAGTTCTCCAGTCCCCACGACTTTAAGTCGATGTTTTAATTAGGGAAGAACCGCCCTGTGAACCACCCCAGACCAAAAAAAAAAAAAAAAAAAAAAAAAAAAAAAAAATGGTGACCGAAAAAATGCCAGGACTGGAAGACCCCTCCATTTCTTCTTCTCCTCCTTCTTCTTCTTTCTCTTCTTCATCTTTTTTTCTAATTAGCCTGTGCTCATCCTCACTGCCCCTTGCATCTTTTGCTCCTCCCATCAATTCGCACGCAATTGGTACCTTTTCGTCAACCATGAAGACCGACCATTGAGACACTCTCCCTTGACAACTACACAACAATGTCGCCAGATTGTCAGCCACTGCAGGACAAGCCCCCAGTATCTCCCGGTGATGGCGACCAGTGGCGCTTCAATTTTGCCCTGGAGATGGCTCCCTGGAGATTGAGCACATCTACGACTACGAGCCTGGTGGACACCACCCTGTGCGCCTTGGCGATACGTTTGGCGATGCTGGTCGATACCGAGTCATCCACAAGCTGGGGAGCGGCGGCTTCGCCACAGTCTGGCTGTGTCAGGACATGACGGTGACAGAGACGCCGGGATATTGGGCTTTGAAAATTGTTGTCGCCGCGCGCCGACGCATCTAAAGAAGACTCCCCGGAACTACGCATGGGTAAATCAATTAAAACCCTGCTCGGCACTCCGGACATTCACGATAACAAAATATCATCCATTCTCTGCCTTCCCTTTGACCATTTCGAGTTTAGTGGGCCCAATGGCTCTCGCTATTGCTTCGTCTACCCCGTCCTCGGCCCAAAAGCGTCGCTCGGGATGTTCCAGTCTCCGAGGGAGAAGAGGGATCGCACGATAAAAAACATCTATTATCAACTTGTCCAGGTTGTGGACTTTCTTCATCGTCGAGGAATATGCCATGGAGGTAGGTTGCAACTCGACCCGCCCTACTCGGCGTGTTGGCTAGGAACTAATTGTCAATAGACATTACCCCGAGAAATGTCCTTCAGTACATTCCAAGCCTCAATGGTTTATCGAAGTAGAGGTGCTTCAGATTTTGGGCCAGCCTTCCCGCAATCCTGTCGTCAAAATAGACGAATCTGGAGAGGATGACTCTTCACCTCCGGAGTATCTTGAATACCCTGTCGACTGGAATCGTGTAGATGTGCGATACATCACTTCTCAACCCGGTCTCATCGACTTTGGCGAGTCTTTTCGCGTATCCAAAGCCTCCTCAGTCTCTCGGTACCCCACGGCCATATCGCTCCCCTGAGTTAATGCTGGACATCAAAGCTAGCATTGGCTCGGACGTATGGGCCCTAGCTTGTACACTTTTCCAGATCGGCACAGGCCGCAAACTATTCGAGGCCTTTGATAATGAAGACGACGACTACCTCGATAGATCGTCATGGTTCTCGGAGTTATGCCTGAGCCTTGGTGGTCATCGACCTGGAGTAAACGAAAAGGCTATTTAAAGACGAGGGTGGCGAGTTTGGCCGTGTCATTCCGCTAGTGGAGGAGCCCGAACTCCCGCCGAATGTCTCCATCCACCCATCAGTGGCTCCTGGCGCCCGGTCATTGCATGACAAGCTTGCGCCTGGTGTTTGGTATATGGACTCGTTCTTTCCTGATGACGATTGCCACCGCGATATTCCGCAGCGGGAAATTGAACTTTTCGCCGACTTGCTAGGGAAGATGCTGCAATACAGGCCCGAGGACCGGATTAGCGCAGCAGATGCACTGAACCACGAATGGTTTATGATGTAATGCATGTTAGGGTATAGCGTGTTAATTCGCCACAAATATGTTAAGCATTTCACAACTAGGAGAAATGAAGAAAAAACTATGCTCGAGCCCCATTTGCCCACGACTGGAGTACAGTTGACACATGTGCAATAAAATGGAAAGCCAACAGGAGTGATAGCATTGTTTTACCCTTGGCTAATCCGCGATCGAAATGAATAGAGAAGATCAAAGACGGAGCCAGGCTAGAAGAGGCTAAAGTCAACATTGAATTATTATTAGCAAAGACTAAACAGCGCAACATCTAAAACTCTACCAATACCAGAGGAGAATGTATAAAGGAAAGGGTAAGCATAAACATTGTAAATAAAAAGAAACGGAAGAGAGAAAGCAAATGAAGAAAAAAGGGGAAGGGCGTGCCAAAATTCCAATCACCCAAGCCTCCTCAGAACCATCCAAACCCTTAATCCACTGCTCCCACTCAGCTCCTCGGCACATCTCTGGAATGCTCTCACAATTCGCCTCGCTCCCGCCTCGCTCAAGGCGTCTGTCCAGTAAGCGAATCCGGCCTTGATATCGATGTTGGTTTTGCCGTTTCCACTTCCGTTATTTATGATCTGCACTCCCACGCTCATGTCGTACTCGTTCGGATCGCGGTAGCCGAGCAAGCGGAGCGAAATTTGCTTGTCCTCGCTACGGAGTGTATCTTTTCGCGGCTTCCGGGGGACGAGATTTGCGTTTTTCTTTGTGTTGTTGATGCGAAGTGGTGCATTGTCGGCCCTTTTCATTCTTGGTGGTGCCGTGGCCGCTCTGCGATCTTCGCCGATACTCGGCCCTGCTTCCAAGTACTGCAGGCTCATGACGGAATTGCAAAGCGCCAATTTCCCATTTCTCGACTGAATGGTCTCAGAATCATTTATTTCCATCTCTTGCAGGGCCTCCGCCAACCCCGAGTGATGCTGCATTGCCTCCAAGACTTCGCCCTGTGTCCTTCGCAAGAGTTCACCCACCCGCGTGGTCGGGTCGAACTTAGTCCGACATAACAGCATGCTCGTCATCGGCCCGACCATGTCTTCGGCTCCGGGTACTGCGGCGTCCCGGTTCGCTGTCATGTACCCGAAGAGTGGCACCTCTTCCGAGCGCATGACACACTGCCGCAGCACGAGACCCCAAACAGTCTGGAAGAAGGTCGCGATCGTGACGCCATGGAGCCGGCAGAAGATTGGGATTGCTGCGATGAGGGCGGGATTGAGAGTAATGTTGAGCGACCTATGTTCACCTCGAGGTCTGGACACGGTGCAAAACAGGCGTGATGAGGAGCTAGCGAGCAAGTTGCGCCAGTAACTTACAGAGGCGGGCGTGCTTTGCTTCTCTAGCCAGGCGACGTAATCACCAAAGTATGGGGCAGGGCCCGATTTGGCGGAAAGTCGTCCGCCATACGCGCGGACCAGATCGCGGAACAGGATTGTGGTTGACATGCCGTCCACGAGCGCGTGGCTAATCTCGAGCTTGCACGCGACTTTCCTGCCGTCCGCCGTGACGAAGAGCGTAAAACGCTGGTGAGGTCTCTGCTCGCTAGTATTTCTAGCACTGGAGTGATTGCCGAGAGATTTGTAGCTCTTGATGCGGTCCCGTAGATCGCCTTCATCGGCGCAGGTGATGACGGGAATGTCAGGGTCATAGGATGAGAGTACGACTTGATCATAGCAATCAGGTCGCGAAGCGCTAGGGATAAAGACGGTGCGCATGATGGCGTGATGATTCACTACCTTTCGCCACGCCTGCTGTAGTGATTTGACATCAATTGCGGCTTTGAAGGGGCCTGTTTGTCCGGCTAGGATCTGTTGAAATACGTCGACTTCGTACAGGCCTCGCTTCGGACTCTCTTCTTGACTGGCGAGCATGTGTTGTTGGAGGGGCGTGCAAGGGTAGATATCTTGCACATTGTTCATATTAATTCCGCCCTCAGCGAGGGTCTTCTCGACCGTGGCCAGCCTCGCCTCGTCCAAGCCTGGGAGCAGGGGAAAGTCGCTGACGGTCCGCCTCCGGCTCATGCAGTTCAGAGTTTCGGTAGCCCGAATTATGGCGTCCTGCGCTAAGGTAATCCACTGGTGGATCTTGTCCTGGTGGCTCATGTTCTTGTTGTAGGTAAAGACGACGCGGCCCCGACCATGAGCGACAACCACGCTTATGTCGATAAGAGCAAACCGCTCCAGCTTACCACCAACTTGATTTAGAGCAGCCGAATCTCCGGCCAAATCAACCTGGCTGAAGAATGCATCCTTCGTTTCCAACTGTTGATACTGTCCCAGGTAGTTGAATAACAGCTCGAGGCGAGAATCATCTCCGAACTCCTGTCGACCGTCTTCTGTCAGAAAGCGGGAGCTGAAGTACGGCATTCCGTTACCAGGTATCTTGTGCCGCAGGTCTTTGATCATTCGCACATTTTCGACAATTTGCGGCGAAGGCGAACTTAGGTAAACAGGGCTTATCGTCGTGAACCAGCCCACAGTACCATTCGGATCAACGTCGTTGTTCCATGGCTCGCGTCCATGGCCCTCGCAGAACACTGGGGGCATCTGCCGATCAGAGAATACGTCATGGAACGAATGAACGATGGCGGCCAGGATAATGTCCACTGGCTTGGTGTTGAGCGCCAAGTTGCTAGACCCAAATAACTTCGTTGTTAAGGTCTCGTCCAAAGTGAAATCTTTTGTGGTGACATCGCCAAATACGTTAGGCCGACCCTCCATTCCCCAGTATACAAAATCGGCAGCCGGGGCCTTGAAGGGCAAGACCTCATTCGTCTTGAGTGACGTGGCGTGCTCCTGCTGTAGACGCAGCCACGTCTGGAAGGAAAGCGGGGGCGCCGACGACAAGGTTCCGGTGGTAAGAAGTTCTTGGAGATCATTCAATATAATCCGCCATGATACCAAATCGATTACCAGGTGGTGAGCACCGATAAATAGTAACTGCTCGTTCTTCTCTTGGGTGATTTGGAACAGGTGGGCAGCAAAAAGAGGCCCGTTTCGAATATCCATGTCAAGATCGTTGCGTTTCTCCAGGATTTGAGGCACCTGGCTCCGTCCATTGACCTCGTCCACTCGGAAGCTGTATGACCCTTCAATCTCAGATATGATCGTTTGAACCCATGTACCGTCGGAAGCCTGGCTAAATCGAGCACGCAGCATTGAATGGCGGGACACGAGAGATCCGATGGCTGTCTGGAGGTGCTGTGCTGTTACTTTTTGGTTTATCCTCAAGACAAAGCTCTGGGTGAAGTGTTTTGTTGACTGAGCTGTGTTAAAGAATAGCTTCTGGATGGGGGACAGTCCAAATGGCGCTCCAGCAGGCTCCGGCGAGTGCGTAGCTAAGTCGGGACTGGTAGCCTGGGCTCTTGCGGCTAGAGCCATCAAGCTCTTTGATTTAAGAATATCCTGGATGGTCAGATTAATTCCCTGTACTCGAGCCCTGACTCGGAGCTGCATGGCAGTAATAGAGTCACCCCCTAGACTCAGAAAAGAGCGCCCAAGACTGGGGCTTTGAAGGTTCAAGACCGAGCTGACCAAGCCTTGCAAGACTTGCTCCTCCTGGGTCGATGGGTGCGTGCGAACATCCCCATCTGCATTACCTTGGAGTAAGAGCTCATAAGTTTGCTGGCCCAGTCCTTCCAGCCATTCATTGACAGTTTTCCTATTAATTTTCCCGTTCATGTTCAATGGGATGGCCTCGACACTGATCCATACAGAAGGGACCATGTAGCTGGGAAGGCGATCTTCCAAATCTTGGCGAATGTTGGAAACATCAACGTCTCCGGCTCCTCCCTCGAGACTTCTCAATGGAACCAGTTTTGTGATACTGCCATCGAAATGCTCGTTGTCGGTGTCGGTACTGTTGGGTTGTGTTAAGAGGCGATGGAAGCTTAAGGTGGCCACGAGCTTGTCCTTCAATGGTCCGGCACGAGGAATCCGAGCCACAGCGTGACGAACATGCGAATGTTTTAGGATAAGATGCTCGACCTCCCCTAGTTCAAGGCGTTGACCATGTAGCTTGACCTGATTGTCCTTCCTGCTGACATACCGCAGGACGCCATCCTCATCATAGCGGGCGAGGTCACCTGTCTTGTACATGCGACGAGGCTTGTCGCCACTATCGCCCAACCCCTTTTTGGTGATCCACTCGGGGTCCAGGATGTACGAGGCGGCTGTCTTGACTTTATCATTCAAATAGCCGCGGGATACCAAACCGCCTTCGACGACGATTTCTCCCACACACCCAAGAGGAGTAAGCTTGTTGTGGTCTTGAGGTTCGCAGAGCCACACGTGGCACGCCATGGTGTTTCCAAGTCGCGCTGGCGATGTCTCCATAGTTGTGGGAGGTGTTCCAGTGGCGTATATGGTAGTTTCTGCCGGGCCCCAGATGAGAATAAGTCTCAACTTGTCAGACCATGTCTTGATATTTTCTTCGGTCGGTGCCTCTCCACCCAGAACAAGGGTGCGGAGTGTAGGGACCGAACCGGGAGAAACCATTTGCGCAACCGTAGGTGTTAAAAACATCCAGTCCGCCTTATATTTCGTGACTGCGCCGGAAAGATCGTTGATCCGTTCTTCTTCCGAAGGAATGCAGACCGTTGCCCCGCGCTGTAAAGTGGTGAAGATGTCGGCGCAGCTGATGTCAAAGGTGTAGGCGGCAAATTGGAAAACTCTAGTGCCCCGGTTGATACCTAAATGGACTCCATGGGCTCTGGAGCTGGTACAAAGGTTCCGGTGTTCGACTACTATGCCCTTGGAGCGGCCAGTGCTGCCAGAAGTGAAGAGCACATACACCGCGTTCGAAGGCGTGACCTCTGGTAGTTTCGCCTCCCCCTGACACATATGATCACGGATGGCCTGTTCATCGACAACCACCGTATCGATAACACCGTTGAATGACGTTTGTTGTTGTCGTGACGTGATCACAAATTTAGCGTTGGTGTCTTCCAAAACCTCCCGACTCCGGCTCAGTGGTTGGGATATACCTAGCTGAGCTACGGCTCCTCCGGCCTTGACAACGCCCATCGCCGCAACAATGGCCCACTTTGACTTTTCAAAGCAGACGGGAATGATATCTTCTTTCCTGACGCCCCGTAATACCAAAGACTTGGCGAGATTCGTGGAAAGATCGTCGAGTTCCTGATATGTCATATCGCCATCCCAGCCCGAAATGGCCGTATCCTGAGGGTGAAGGCGGACCTGCTCAGCAAATACTTCATGAACAGTTGACTCGACACACTGCATGTCGTCCTTCTCATTCCAAGATTGGATCTTTGAAACATCTTCGGGACAGATCATGTCAATGTCGGAGAGCAGCATAGTAGCGTTCCCCGTGCAGAGTTGCCGGGCGACGTGGCTGAACTGACGGTATAATCTCTCCATCTGCCAGGCGTTTAAAACAGTGTCATCGTATCGAGCTTCAACAGTAACTGTTTCATCATCCCCAATGACGCACTCCATTATGACAGCATACGAATCAAAGAAACCCTTCAGGAGTTGCTTGTCTTGAACCTCAACAAGGAAATCGTCTTGGTTCTTCTTGGAGCCCTCCTGGACCTCAAAGAGGTTATTGAACTCCAATGAGCCATATACTTCGGAGCCTAGGCGCCTGAGGGATTGAAGGCCATGATGTTGAAAAGGAATTAGGGCCGCAGAATCTTCTTGGACGCGGTTCAAAAACTGTCCCACAGATTCGCTATGATCAAGCTGTATCCGGATGGGCACGGTGGTGAAGGTTGGTGCCATCATGTCCTCGATCCCTGTAACAGGGACATTGCGGCCTGAGAGTGTTTCTCCGTAGACGATATCATTGCTTTCCATGTATCTCGCAGTCTGCCGATCTGAAATTAGAATCACAAAGGACAAAGATAGAGGGAGAATTGATGCCAACTTACAACCAAGCCCCATGCAGCTCTCAGTATGGTTGCTTTTAAAATGCCGGTTGCCTTATTGTGTGGCATGGTGAATGAGTCGATGAACTCTGAGTTCGGTTGGGCTTGATACGCAGCCGATGGGAGATGTGGGAAACTAGAGAGCGAGCCACTGCTCAGCTTTTCACGCCAGAAAGCATCAGACTGGCTTGCATCGATGTTTGCGAGATAGTGGATGAATTTGGTGAAGGTCGGACCAACTGGGACCGGCTCCCCACGGTAGAGCTTTTCGACCGTAGAGAGCAGCCGCGCGGCGCTGAATCCATCGTACAAGGCGTGGTGAGAGATCCAGACGAACTTGCGTGATCGAGTGGAGATGGCGTATGAGGCGAGCGGCTGTCCGTACTCGACACGAGATAGACCGAATTGAGCCAAATAGGTCTTGACGGAACCGTTAATTTCACCCCAGCCCAATGGTTCACTGAGGACTACTTGGAGAGATTCCAAATGTGGTCCTAAAATTATTCTTGTCCTCAGTATCGGGAACATGTCCACTGCCTTCTCCCAGGCTCGTTTAAACGCATCTAAATCGACACATTTGGGAAGAGTGAATATTCGAGTCGCAATATAAGCGCCAGGAACGCGCGTTGAAATCGCCATCAACCCTTCTTGAAGAGGCGTGCAAGGATAAACATCCTGGATCATGTCCTTCTGGACACCGCACTCTTCGGCAGCATGATTGACTATCGTGGCAGCGTCTTCGCGGACGAGGGAGAATGGAAGGATTGGCTGGTCCACATCAGTTCCATCACGTTCCAAACGCGTTGCCATTTGGTGCAGACACGGGTATCGGAAGATGTCTCCGACCGTAAGGCACCTCCTAGCCCGGCGAGCTGCCGATGAGAGCGCAATGGCTCGAATGGAGTCACCGCCCTTTTGTAAAAAGTTGTCATTTGCCCGGATAGACTCTGGGGAAAGACCAAGTACTTCACCCCAGAGAGCCCGTAGTAGCAGTTCCGATTCCGTCGAGCAAACTGTCCCGTGGTGGTCTTCTTCGACACCTGCGCCCACAAGGCGATATTGTTCAAGCTGGCTTGGAGAAAGATGGGCGCCCGCTTGCCGAAGCGTCTTGCGGTCTCTCTTGCCAGTCTGTGTGAGCGGCATTTCTCTCAGGGCGATGAAGAGAGATGGCACCATGTAAGGCTGCAGGACGTTGCACAGAGCCAGACGCAGGTCGAGTAGGCGACGCTTCTCTTCGGCCGAAAGCTCAGTGGACAGCTGAAAGTCTTCCTTTTTCTTTTCCTTGCTGTCACTAGAGCCCAGATTAATAAAGGCTGCTAAAGCGGACTTGTCCTCGTCCCCGCCTTCATAGACTCTTTCCACGACAACAGCATCAACTGGGAAGCCATTCGCCACAATGTGGTGTTCGACCTCGCCGCACTCGATTCTTTGGCCGTGAATCTTGACTTGGCCGTCTTTGCGTCCAATATAGAACAAAGTGCCGTCAGACTCGTAACGAACTAGGTCCCCGGTCTTGTATATGCGCATGTCGTCAATGCCTAGCCGTTTCGCGAATTCCGGATTGCCAATGTAGGCCTGAGCCGTGATGGTGGTATTGTTGTGATATCCTCTTGTAACAATGGGTCCCTCCACGCAGAGCTCTCCGATGCAGCCAATGGACACTAGTCGGTTGTGATCGCTCTGATCAGTAATCCACGTTCGGCAGCCTAGGCCTACTCCTATGTTCTGAGGTGAGACACCGGGCACCAGGCTTCCCATGGTCGTCAAGACACTGCACTCGGCCGGTCCGTAGGACTTTTGATAATGTTAGCGTTGTACCCTTTACAGAGAAGGGGTGGGGTGGATGGACTCACATTCATCAATACTACGCGGCGACTCCACCGTTCGTACAGGTCGGGGCGTATGGCCTCCCCACCAAGGGATAGGTGCGTAAGGTTAGGAACCTCATCCGGCCTGAGTATTGCGGCGGCGGTTGGCACCATGGTAGCCCAATTGACCTTATACTTGTTAATAGCCCCGGCAAGATTACTGAGTCTTTCTTCCTCCGAAGGAACGCAAACGCACCCTCCTCTCATCAGGGTGATGAAGGTGTCTGCGTTAGATATATCGAACCAGTGGGCCGCAAACTGGAGCGTCCTTGTCTTCTCCCCTATTGTCAATCGTGGTGCTTGATAATGCTGCATGGAGCAGAAACCGCGGTGCTCAACCGTTACACCCTTTGGCTTTCCTGTTGAGCCGGAGGTGAAGACGACGAAGGCTGAATTATCAGGGCGTGTGGAGGATCTGACAGGATCTGCAGGAATTGGAAGTCGGTCAATGGTGTTCTGATCTACAATCACAACGTCCGGAACGACTCCTGCTAGTAGCGGGGCATGCTGAGGCGAACAGACGACAATTCTCGCGCCGAGATCACCCAAAATTCCCTCCATCATAGAAGCGGGATATGAGGGATTTAAGTGGGTGTATGCGCCACCTGCCTTCAACACAGACAGCATGGCGACGACGTTCCACTTAGACTTCTCGAAGCAGAGGCCGATCTTGGTTTCGGGGCCTACTCCCAGGCTTTGAAGGTGAGATGCAAGCTTAACAGAGACATGATCTAGCTCCTTGTATGTGAAGTTACCATCCCAGGCACACACGGCGTGAGCACCTGGTCTCTTCTCGGTGCGGGCGGCGACGACGTGGTGGATGCAAGCGTTGATTGTCTCTGGAAGCGCGCCGTTCCATCTCATGATTTCGTTCAAATCCCCTGGGTTAACCACACCAATCTCTCTGAGTCTTGTGTTCAGACTGCTACTACACATCTGCCGAAGTGTAAAGTCGAACTGACGGATGATTCGCTGCATCTGTGTTCTCGGGATGATCGACTGGTCATATTTGACCTCCAAGTCGGTGGTACCGTCGTCGCTCATGCAACATGACATTACCAACGGGTAACTGTCAAATTCGTCGAGGTTTCTGGGGACGACTTCCATACCATCGAAATTTTCTTCATTACTATCCGAAGTTGAAGGTTGTATGACGAGCAAGTTTGCAATATTGTCGATCGCGGCGCGCGCGGTTTCCCCTTGTGATCGAATGTTCTGTAACCCAACCTGCTCGAAGGGCATGATAGATGTGGCCTGGCTATGCAAGGTAGAGAGGAATTGCTGGATAGTTGTTTCGCCGGTGACGTCGAGTTCAACTCTGACGGGGACCGTGGTGATGGTAGGTCCATTCATACTGGAGATGCCGGGCACTGGCGCGGTGCGACCAGACAAAGTCACTGCGAAAACAATGTCATTGGCTTGGCCGTATCTCGAGATGACGGAGGCCCAAGCCGCGCGAAGGACGGTTGAGGCAGTAATATTCCCCCCCTCGGGAGTAAGGCCCTTCACCTTGGCTGAAACTCGGCTTCTCAGTGTTTCATGAGTTTTGGGGATATACCCCATAGGGACCGCCGGGAAGCTTGTTGGAATGCCCTTCTCATCTGGGAACTGAGACTCCCAAAAGGCCCTCTGCTCACTCGAATTCCTCTCGGAGAAGTACTTGATAAACTCCTTGTACGGGACGTGCTTGGGTAGACGTAGGTCATCGGCCAAAGCACGTTGAACTTGGTCAAACGTGATCGCAGCACTCCACCCATCATATACAGCATGATGGGCAGACCACACGAAGTAGCGCTCCTTGGGGTTATTGACCAGAGCAAGTCTCAAAAGTGGACCACCGTACGTAATTGGAGTTTTCATGTCCTTGTCGAGATACGTGTCGAGGCTCTCATCCGTTTCACACCACTCGAGATCTCCATCGAGAACCGCTTGCAGTGTCCCGGCGTCATTAGTGTTGACAATCCGCGTGCGGAGGATCGCTTCTGACGCAGCAACCCTGTTCCATGCATTCTTGAAGCGAGAGGTATCAAAATCGTTACTCGTCAAGCGGAACACCTTTTGTGCCTTGTATGCACCCCGGCCGAGGCGAGTAGAAAGAGCCATAAGGCCTTCCTGTAACGGCGTGCAGGGGTAAATGTCGATAACTTGATCATCATTTACGCCACATTGTTGCGCGACCTCTCTCTTGACACGATGCAGTGACTCGGGGCTTAGATGGGAGAGAAGATCAAAAGGCTTGGCCTCTGTTGGGTCTGCGCCTAGGATTCCATTCTCCCCTCCCTTGACAAGGGTTAAGGCCATATCCGACAGCTTCGAGGACTTGAAAATGTCGGGGACGGTGATTGTCAGATTGCGCATGCGAGCTGCGGCAACCAGCTTCATAGCGCCGAATGAGTCACCGCCGATATGGAAGAAATCGTCGTTTGCTCCAATATTTTCGATGGGCCTGCGTAGAACTTCACTCCAGAGTGCCTGAAGAACCATCTCAGCTTCCGTCTCGGGCTCTCTCTTCACGATATCCTGAAGCGAGTAGCGCGCAATTTGGCTTTCAGAGAGGTTCAAGACCACTTCGCGGATCCGACGGCGGTCAAGCTTTCCGTTTCTAGTTGGGGGGATTGTGGAAACTGGGATATACATGGAGGGAATCATGTACTTTGGTAGCCGGCTTTGCAGGGAGCTGCGTAGTGTCGCATGCTGGAGTGATAGCTCGTCACTGACGTCTAGTATCAGAGACTGGGGATCGGCCGGGGACGCTGAAGCCAGCGTTGATTGCGGGTAACATAAAAACGCAGCGAGTGTCAGGCTCTTGGAGTCGGCCTTGAGCGGAAACCCATCAACAACCACTGCTGCCTTCTTGCCAAGATGAGATTGAACTTGATAATTGATCTCGTCAAGCTCTACACGCTGTCCATTCACCTTTATCATCGTGTCCCGTCGACCTTTTTCTCGAAAGTTAGCAAGGAACTTAAGAGGAAACACCCTGCCCCGCGGGAAGGGGAAACAAAAGGAAAAAGTAAAGAAATAGAACGCACCCATGATGCTCAGGGTACCGTCAGAGTTAAAGCGACAGATATCGCCGGTTCTATAGAATCGACGGTTTAAACCAGGAGTCATCGCTTGCGCCCACTTGGGGTTGTGAACGAAAGCTTTCGATGTACCTTCCGGGTTGTTTAGGTAGCACCTTGCCAGTTGGGGGCCCTCAAGTAGAAGTTCTCCAGCGGCCCCGAGAGGTACCAATTTGTTGTAGTTGCTCACATCTACAACCCAGGCTCGACTGCCATACGGCCTCCCGATGTTGGAGGAGCTGGAATTAACAGTCAATGGCGTGCTGACAGTCACCGTGACGGCGGTTTCAGCTGGGCCATAGCCTGAAAGGGGGAGGTAGAAGAATAACTGATTAGCATCTAGCGCGCATAAATAAGTGGGAGGGAAGCAATGAGCTCAGTCGCCATACCATTCACCAGATCCCCAGCTCCGGCCCAAGTTTCAACCGTCTCTCTGTCCATGGGCTCCCCGCCGCAACTAATGAACTTCAAGGATGGAACCCGTTTGGGATGCAATAACTTGAGAACAGTCGTTGTCAGGGCTGCCCAGTTAGCGCGCAATCGCTGTATGGCACTTCCCGGGTCATTGATCCGTTCGTCTTCCGATGGAATGCACACGCACCCCCCACGCTGCAAGGTTACCAGAACATCGTGATTCGAGACGTCATAGGGATAGGCTGCAAACTGGAAGACGCGGGAGTTTTGATCCAACATGAAGGGAGGACCCAACAAGTCTGCCATAGTTGACATGGACGAATGCTCAAGGGCAATAGTCTTAGGTTTCGCAGTTGTCCCCGAGGAAAAGACGACGCATGATAGATTGTACGGCCTCACCTCGGGGCATGGAGGCCCATCCTTGGTTGGCAACCGACGAGCAAAATCCGCGTCGATAACCACAAGCTTTTTCACTCGGTCCATCCCCTTGACGAGGTCAGCTGTCTCGGGGCTAACGCAGATCACCGTTGCGTTGACATCAGCCACGAGATTCTCCAGACGATGACGCGGGTGAGTCGGGTCGAGACCGACGAATGCCCCTCCAGCCTTTGTGATGGAAATCATGGCTATAGCGGCCCAAGCCGATTTGTAGAACACATAAGGAACGATAACTTCTGGACCAACGCCTACGCTTCGAAGGTGGTGCCCAAGACGAGTCGTAACATCGTCAAGATCTTTGTAGGTCCATGAGCCATCCCATGCACAGATAGCTTCAGCTTCCGGTTGGATGCGTGCATTTTTCTCAATGTCGGTGAACACGAGACGGTTAGACGTGGGGAGAGGCTCCCCGTTGCCGTTGAATTGCAGCATTTTGTCGACGTGAAACTGGCTTACCAGCTCTGCCTCTCCAATATCGATGTCGGGATGGTGAACGATTGTGCTGAGTGCCTTGTCCAATGCGCTAGCAATACTGCGAACTTGTTCCCTCGTCAAATGATCTGTCCAGAATTGCATCGTGACAGCGAGGGTACTCTTGAGAAGCCCAACGTCCAGACTCAATGCATACTCGGTCGGGTCGTGAGCTTTAAGGCTCTTAATTGCAATCCCTGAAGCATTCAGCTCGGGAACATCATCATCCCGATGGAAAGACAAGATAGTATTGAATAAGGGACTGTTTCCCAAGTCAAGAGAGCGTTGTATATTGGCCAGTCCGCAATATTGGTGAGGCAGGCTCTTGATAAAATCTTCAGCGGTTTTCTGGAGCACGTCGGAGAGCTTGCATTCGGAAAGGTCGAGACCGCACACCAGCATGGTCATAAAGGCACCTACTCCGTTCTCGATACCGGGCAAACTGGCATCTCGGCCGGATGATAGGTATCCAAAGGAGACCTTACTTGACTCGGTGTATACTTTCAAGACCATTCCCCAGGCTACTTGAAAGAGACTAAGTGGCGTAATATTAGATCGTTCACAGAAGGCCTTCACTTCTTCCGCAGAAAGACTAATGTCAACTTCGAATTGGCCCACTGCCTTCCCACCGACGGGGCCTTCGAGGGGGGCCAGTGCTGGAAATAGACACGGTAATTGGCCTTTGAGCTGTTGTCGCCAGAAATCCCTTGCCCCAACGTCGGGTTTGCTCTTGATATACGCGATGTAGTCGCTAAATTTGAAGCGTGGCTGTATAGTCAACCCCCCTTCGTAGGCTAGACATAGATCGCGGACGATATTTGCAATAGAGCTCCCATCAACTATTGCGTGATTGATCTCCAGTTGGCAGACGAGCTTGTCAACAGCGACGCGGCAAATAGTTAGACGATGCGGTGGTTGCTGGCTGCGGAAAGAAATCGGCTTTTGGCTCTGGAAAGCATGGGCAACATCCCGTTCATCGCAATCCACAACAACAACGTTGGCAGAAACGGATCTGAGAACAAGTTGATCGAAGACACCATCCTGGGCCGAGCTCTCGACGAAAACGGTCCGAAGAGAAGAGTGCCACTGTACCACTCGCGTCCAAGCTTCGGCGACGTGCTCAGCATCGATAAGGTTGTTCGAGCTGTCACGGGGCACGATTTCCATTTGATGCCGGTATTCATAAACGCCGTCACCAGACAGGCTCTGACTAACCAGGAGCCCGTGCTGCATGGGTGAGCAGGGGTATATGTCCTCGATGTTCTCTAGATCCTGGAAGCCGGACTGAGGAAGTCGATGTTCCAGGAGATTGCTCAGGCCGTCGTAAGTCATCGACAAGAGGGGAAAGTCAGCTAGGGTGAAATCGATGGGAGCAGTGAGCATTCCCACAACAAGTTTGTTTAATGCCTGTTTCGTAGCCTCGATCCACGCTTGGATCCTGTTTTGATTCCTCATGTGCCTGTTGTAGACGAAAGTGTACCGCATCTCTCCGTCTATCACTTCCGCTGTAATCTCGATCAGAGACAATCTGTCGACGTTCTTACCGATGTCGTCAGATTGCGGGAGGAACGAAGGGCGGACCTCCTGTCTCAATATCGCCTCCGGGCGATCAAGGGCTTGGAACTGTCCGAGATAATCGAAGGAAATCTCGATTGAGTTGTGATCCTGGAACTTCTCGGCGGTGCGTTCGTTGTAGAACCGCGAGGCAAAGTATGGACGTCCATTACCGGGCACTCTGTGGCGGACATCCTTGACCTTTTTCAGTGTAGCAACCAGGGCATCCTCTGCACCTGTTGTTGCGGTTATGGCTAGAGGATACATCGTTGTAAACCAGCCGACAGTTTCGGACACGTCCAATGCCGGATCCCAGGGTTCTCTCCCGTGACCCTCGCGAAAGATGGCGGGGAGCTCTCTATCATCAAAAACTTGAGCAAAAGAGTAGAACAAGCTTGCCAATAAGAAATCCAGAGTCTCGGTACGTAAAGCTCTATGCGGCTCGCCGCCGAGGAGCAGGGCCGTCGACTCCTTGTCTAACGTGAAGATCCCTTCACTGGTTTCAGACAGAGGATTAGGCTTCCCGTCCATTCCCCAATATTGGAAGTCTGGCGAGGGAACTTCGAAAGGCAGTGCTTCATCCGGATCGCCGTGTTTAGAAGCATGATCGGCTTGCAGGTCGATCCAATTCTGGAATGGGAACGGGCGCTCCGGCCCAAGAGAACCAGTGGCGAAGAAAGTCTCTAGATCGCGAAGGAGAATCCTCCACGACACCCAGTCGATGATGGCGTGGTGCCCTACCATGAAAAGGTATTGCTGGTTGTCCACATCTAGCAAATCGACGGAAAATACAGGCCCTTTAAGCCCCAATGTTCGCTGAGATAACATGCCAACAGATCCCGCATCCTCGATTGATCTGAGATCATGAAATTTGAAGCGGTAGGATCCTTCTGCTTGAGATAGAACCCTCTGGGTCCAAACCCCTGATTCCGACGAGAAACGGGCTCTAAGCATCGAGTGCCTCGAGACAACGGCATTCAGCCCGGCTTTGATGACTGACCGAGGGATGGTTTTGGTAAGACGGATGAAGAAGCTTTGGTTAAAATGGACCTCCGGTAGCTCCTCGTGTACCGAGCGGAGTTTGCTGGCATACATACGCTGGATAGGAGATAGTTGGAATGGGTGATCGAACTTTTCGTCATATGAGAAGGTTGATTTCGTCACACGACCTGCGCTCAGCGCAAGTTCTGGAATGTTTCTGCTTCTCAGGATGTCTTTGACTGTCACAGAAATTCCAGAGTTCCTGCACTGGGCCATGACTTGCATAGCACTTATGCTATCCCCGCCTAGGCCGAGGAATGGTTTGTCAAGTGGAATAAGGTCAGCCGATATGTTTAAAACGCGGCCGAAGATGTTGCGAAGTGTATGGCCAACCGGAGAGAGTTGTGCATCATTCGTCTGGATGTCGTCCAATCCAATTAGACTGTGATAGACATCATCATTCATATCCGCTAACCAGCTCTGAACATATTTGCGGTCCAACTTGGCTGAGGCCAGGAGAGGCCAGGTTTCAACGACGATCCACATCGACGGAATCATATATTCAGGTACGCATTGCGCCAGATGGTTCCGAATAGCCTCCGTCTGAGACTTGACCCTCGAACCGGTCAAGATGTTAAGAGGAGGGTTGGCAGCGCCCGGTTTGGCCTCCTTGGAGAAGTCTCGGAGTGACAAGACAGCGACGAGTCTGTCTTTGCACGGGCCATGCTTTGGTAGGCTTACGGCGATGTGCTTGGCATGTTGGTGCTTAGATATGCTGTGCTCAATCTCCCCTAACTCGATCCTTAATCCTCGAAGTTTAACCTGCCCCACGGGATGTATTAGTCTCCGTTGCCGAAGTCGTATCCCCGATATGCCAGGGCATACTATGTGTCACGGCGCAAAATACGTACCTGGGTGTCTTTGCGGCCAATGAAATGGATCGTGCCATCCGAGTTAAACCTGGCCAAATCACCAGTCTTGTAGAAATGGCTAACACTGGCGTGTCCTTTGGCCCAGTGCTGCGTCCAGCCGGGATCCTTGATGAAGTGCTTCGCCGTCTGCTCCGGATTGTTCAGGTACCCACGAGCGAGGATGGGCCCAGATATGAGGAGTTCACCCACAGCACCAATTGGGACGAGTCTGTTATGATTATCGGGTTGGACAATCCAGGCAAGCCCGCCAACACTCCGGCCAATATTTGCAGGATCGCTATCGGGGGTAAGATGGGGATCACCAGCTGCGGCGATAGAACACTCTGATGGGCCATATCCTGCATTGGGAATTAGCAAGGGTAACACGCGGCAATGAGAGCCGAGTTGATTGTTCTCGCAACATACCGTTAACCAGCTGCAAATGTGCAGCCCACTTCTCGATGTCGGCCTTGTGAAGTTTCTCTCCTCCCAAAATCAATGTCTTAAGGCTAGGAACTTCGTAGGGTTTGACGAGTTTGACCAGCGATGGCGTGAGGAACGCCCAAGTGATCTGGTAGCTGTTTATGATAGAGGCGAGCCCCTGTGTCATTGCCGCGCTATCGGGAGTGCAAACGCACGCACCGGAGATCAAAGAAGTCAGAATCTCCAACACGCTCACATCAAAACTGTAAGATGCTAGCTGCATGACTCGAGTTCGCGGGCCCAGATTCGACTTAGCAGCATGCTGTAGTGCTCCGGAAAGGAAGGCTTTGTGGGTGATCAGGCAACCTTTGGGTTTACCGGTGGTCCCAGAGGTGAAGACGACGTAGAGGAGATTCTCGGGCGAAACACCAGTACGTGGTGAGGCGCCAAATTCTCGCAGACAGTCGATCAATTTGCCATCGATGATGATGGGTCTTACACCCATGCTCTCCCAGGATGCCGCGTGGTTCGAGTTGGTGAGGATATAGTCGCCGTTGAGTTGGCTCATAATTTCTCGCCTGCGGTTGGCGGGATTTGCCGGATCAATAAATACCATTGCCCCGCCGGCTTTGATGACGCCCATCAGCGCGGCGATGGCCCAGCATGACTTGTCGAAGCAGAGGGGTACCATGGACTCTGGGCCGACACCTTGGGCAACCAGGTGGTGTGCAATCAGAGTAGAGATACGGTCAAGTGCTTCGTAAGTGAAAGACCCATCCCAGGCGTCCACGGCCGTCTCAGTCGGCTGCATAGCAACCTGGCGCTGGAAGAGTATATGGGCACAACTATTGATAGCCTCTGGTGCTTGGGCCTTATTCCAAGTCCATAGCTATTTATTTGATATCCATGGTCAGCTATAAGCCAGTATGTTGTAACTTGATGGGCGTGATTTATATTGGAACGGAGTTGGGGGATGGAACGGTCATGGATATTATATATACCTCTGCTTTGTCGTGGTCGCTGACGATATCAACCGAGGCCAGCATCTTGTCTGGCGTTGACAAGATAAGATCCATAACATGGGCAAACGCAGCGGCCAATCTCTCTGCCTGCTTTCTGTCGACAACGCCTTGGTCGAATTCCACAGCGCAGTCGAGGGATATTTCTGGAAGACCGCAGACTAATCCGGTCAAGTGAGGACCACCTATGGAGGTTGTGCAACACGGATCACCGCTCTTGAACACGGTTACCGTATTCAGGAGAGGAGAGCGCTGCAAATGCAAGGGATCAGCATCGACGGTTGAGGTTGAAGTACTTACCTGCTTCGTGCCACTCTGTACGCGTTGAAGCACTGAGGAAATCTTCGATGTCCAGTCAACGGATGCTTCGCAATGCTGCCATTTCTGGCTGTCATCGGTGATACTCAGCGATGGGAAAGCGATACGTTCCTCTCCCGTATAGCTCCAAAGCACAATGGCCCAGGCGGTGTTTACAGTGACCATGAGATCGAGGCCTTTGCTTCGACAGAAGCTGTAAACATGGCCAATTGGCCAAGTGCGAGGCGATCGACAGGTACTATACTCCATGATGAAGTGGTTTGGATGTATTGGGAGCTATGCTGATTGGAAGAATGAGCTGTAAATGCCCGAGTAATTGTAAGCTGTAATAGCGATGGAACGGTCTTAATAATTTAGTGATGAGAGCAAATGCGTTATATTCACAATTACCAGCGTCAGGGCTTTCGGATGCTATAAGAAGCTTCTTGAGGGATTGAAAGGAGACATGTTGCAACGTCAAGCTCTTATCAGGACAATATAATTCTTCACAGTCCAGCCTTCCCCATAATAATGTCAATTCGCTCGTTGTCGCTGGCTATATTTAGATTAACTAGATGCATGCTCGTAGGATTTAATTTAGTAACCACAGCCCGTATCATTTCTAGTACGAGCTGCCGTCGGCCTTGAGGGATTCTGGAAGGATCAAGACAGCTCGCATTTGATTTGAGGTGCGGTTGTCAGTGGCTGGGAAGGTGGTGCATGATGCCTTGCATATCTTTATCTTCACATCGTTGGTTAGCATCAATCCCGTAAGATCTGCGCCTCTGTCATGAGTGGCATCTAAGCTTGTTGGGCCCGTTGTGGCAGTCGGCCCGTGGGGATGGGGCTTGGGTTTTAAGCCCTGGTGCAGCTTCATCCCTCACAATGCAACCCGAGCTCTCAGAAAGTCAGAGCCTTCTGGTTTTCCAGGGTCCCGCCACATTCTTTTCCACATTAAGACACCTGAAACAACATAAGAATTAGGGCTGACAACAGAGCCCGGGCGCATTTCCGGCCCCCAACATCACGTAAATGTGCCGATTCGGAGCTGAAACGGAAAATAGTAGTAACGAATCCTTGAATCCTCTCGTATTGTCGAATCCAATAGCCCGTAACAGGAATCAAGAGACGTTCGGATGCTGAATCCTCCATCTGCCAGATCACGGCATTGCCACAACGCCGCAGCGGTTGACGTGAGGTGGATAGAGGTTGGCATCTCACAGATGACGTTCAGACATTGATAGATATAGATTACTTGATATGCACGATTTCAAGGTCTAGACTTCCCTGCCTGCTCCCGAAAGGCAAGCATTAGATCTCATGCATACCATGCAGTCGCCTACTGAATTTGTCCTTACAAGAAATTCTCGAGAACTAGCAAATATGGACACACTTCAATCCCCCAAATCCGCGATATCACAAATGAGTCCAAGCCCGCCGGCTAGCAATAAGAAATCTGGACGTCCACCCAACGAGGCTTACATCAAGCTCATGAGACCCGACGAAGACTGGAGAACAATGGCCGACGCTGCTGAGCGGAGAAGGATACAAAATCGCCTAGCCCAGAGAGCGTATCGTACGCGATCACCTCCTTGGTAAATTTATCCGTTTTCGTCAGTCACATGAAATCTAACATTTGTAATAAGGGCGCAATCTACGCGAAAAGAATAGGGAGGTGGAAAAGCTAAAGAAGCAACTCCACAAACTTCAGGGGACGACAAAGCCCCAGAGGAGGGATTCCGCAAAATCAGATTCTACGGGGCCTGTTTTGTTTGAGTTAGACATGGACAACGGCGCAGATAGTGCAGAGTCTGGCTCGTCAGCGGGTTCAGAGGCGGCGGGCTGGGGGAGTTACTCACTGTCCACGGCTATCGATCTGGTTGAGCCGAATGCACCCAGCGATATGAATTTCATGTTTTTCGACTTTGCCACCGACTTGGATGGTTCGAGGTCACAATCGTCGGGAATCCAGTCTAGCATCGATGCTATGGAATCGGAAGCAGCCAAAGTGACCAGTCGGAGCAACACGCCAAGAGGACATTCGCCTCATACCGCGTCATTCGAATCGGAGCCAGAATTAATTACATCCTATCTTAGCACGCATCTTGGCACGGAGATCCAAGGGCCCCTCAGCTATTCCGGATCAAATTCAGGCTCAGTCGGCGAGTGCTTCTCGCTGGCATATGCAAGCCCTGGACTTGCGCCTCTACCATCGCCACCTTTCCCATCATTACCCAGCATAGGGTCTCAATCTCCAGACCCTGACGCATCCATGAACCTGAGTTCGTTGGGCATCGAAACTCTGGGGGCAGACGCAGGCCCGCTCTGGTCGCCTGACGCGGATGCTTCCCTGCTCCATTTTGCCGTGGCCGGGGGCGATATTGAAACCCTACGACTTCTGCTCAAGCACCAGCCTAACATGATAGAAATACGCGACTCTGGTGGATATACGCCAATTCAACGCGCTATCATGATCAGACGTCCGGACATGGTGGCACTTCTCTTAGAACATCGGGAGGCTCTCGTTGATGGTGGCAGAAGTTTGCTGGTGTGTACATAGAGAGGAGAGGGAACGCTGAAAGAGTAGGATTTCGATGTTATTGGCAGGGTAGTAATGATATTAAAGGGAAGGTAGTTGAGCTCAGATAGGCAATGACTGGCGGGCATGTAGGGAGAAGAGAATTAAGGTATTATATCTGGCGGACTAATATTTTCAATTTTCTACAGCTTAGGTAATATATCCTGCCGTTCGTGTATTTTCGTATGGATGACGAGTATCCCCAACATTGTCACACCCTTTTGTTCCTCTTTTCTTATTCTACATGTTCGACTTCTTCGTCCTTGGGATTTTTTTTTTTTTTTTTTTTTTTTTTTTTTTTTGGGTGCAAATATCAAGTATGGCACCTGGAGAATAACAATAACTCCTCATGTCACTAAATACATAGGTAACTGCTCTCTAGTTATAAGGTTAGACAAGGAAGATAGTGTGCGTATGAGAGGCAAAGGAGAAAAGTGCATTGAGAGTATATCGTGTTTGAGTTTCAAATACAAAGCTCAACGATCAAGTGTATATAATGCGTGGATTCTACTATCAAAACCGAGGGAGTGGGCAAGGCGAAATCTGATGTCTCAACAAACCACCACCCACATCCTGTTGAAACGTGCTCGTCTGCCAAAAGACAACTATAAAGCCCGCCCCCTCCCTTGTTCCTATCATCCTGGGGGCGGGTGCAGATACGAAGGTATGGGGCTGTGTATCCCGCATTCCTCCACGAAGAGATCTCGACTTTGTCAGTCCGAGACTCCGACACACATCAAACTAGGAGCCCGGATTTGAGGGCTGAAAATCATGTGCATCCTCCTCCAGCACGCCGAATCTCTTCCTATTTTTAGATCAAAAGTCACGTGTTCCTGATACTCTCTCTGTTCTCTGTGAGATTTAAAGGATGGTCTTGAGAATCTATTTCGCACCCCTAATTTCATATTATGAAATTCTGGCTCAATTTTCCAGTTACTAAAATTTTCCTAAATTTTGCTTGATATTTTGGTTCCTATAGACCTACGGTTTAATACCGCGTGTACTTCAGAGGACGGGATCGACTCTACTAACGAAGATGCACTAAAACACTAGAAGCTCCAATTATTTTCAAGACGCGTTGTTTTCCATCTCATTTGACAAAATCGGCGGAACCTATCCTACCCCTGCCAAGATGTAAGGTGCGCAGAAGGGTCAACGCTACCCAACCGCTGCTTTGTGAGACGCTGACTTGTATTTTTCGGACCTAAACCCTTTGATCCCAGCGGAACTGGTGAGCCCCATCGAACCAACACTCCCTCCAGATCCAATTTCCCCCTTGTCCTACCAAGCAGTGGATGAAGCCGTGCACGACGAAAGCAATCCAGATCGGCGACGCCACAAGGTATGACGCCCCAATCTTCTTTCGCCCGCAGTATCACAGTCCTCCTTTTCCACGACCGGGATCCTGACTGCATGGTCTTTCTACATCGGAAGCGCTGTTTTCCCCCGCAATGCCACGCCATTTACGAAGTACGAAGTACGAGGCTCATGGAGTGGAGTCCGTGAGGACGTAAGTGCACCGTAATTTCAGGCTGGATTGCTGTTTGCTGCATGGAGGCGCAGGCTCCCTTGTTGGTTTGACGATCATGCTCACTCCACCAAATCGAGATTTCATTGGTTGTATTACTGTGTTGTCTGATCCCGAAGGATTCGGGCTCATCTACGCCTCAAACATAGGTCGGGGCTGGACTGTAGATATGGGGGTGGCGGGCGGCTCGCATTTCATTACTACAGTTACCAAGTTTGTGTTGAGTTAAATGTGACAGAGGTCAAAGGTGGTGTAGATTTTTTCGCCGATCGAATCCTAACATATATCTTCTCATCCTGCAAAATTCCTATTCCTCCATTGTTGTTAGTTCCCTCGTCTCTTTTCTTCTTCGACTCTGCCCAACGGTCGGACTTCCCATTCTCAAATCCGGTTGCTTCTGTTCTGTGCTGCTTCGAAACTCACGCCGCCCAATTCTCGAACGCAATCACATTTCTCTTTGAAGCCTCCATCCGCTCTTACGCCCGCCATGGTCGATCTATCATATTTACCCGAGCCTCTCCGCGACCCCAACAACTGCCAGAAGGATCTTATCCCCGGCTGGTCATACTCATATGGTTATCGACCAAGCTTGATTGCCGGAATCATTTTTTGTGCCCTCTTTGGTATCGCGTTGTTGGGTCATGGTGTGCAAGTCGTTCGTTTTCGACGATGGACGTCGATTCTTCTTGCAATCGGAGCTTTGAGTACGCTTGTTCTTGCCTGACGTGCCAGTTGACCACCCATCCAAGATGACGCCGCTAACACGTGTGTTAACCATTCGTAGCCGAATTGATCGGATGGGGAGGCCGCACTTGGTCTGCCGAATGCCCATATAACCAAAATGCCTATCTCATCCAAATCACCACGCTTATTATCGCGCCGGTGTTTTTCACGGCTGCTCTATATGTTTTGCTTGGCATCCTAATCAAACTATTTGGGAGACGGTCGAGTCTTCTTTCGGCAAGGATGTATACCATTATATTTTTGACGTGCGATGTCATCTCCCTTGTGGTTCAAGTGAGTTGTTTCCTTACAAAACATTTTTCTTCGTCTGTATCCTCAGAGCTGGCGACTAACGTGTGAATCCAAACTAATAGGCCGTCGGTGGCGCAATGGCATCCATGGCTTCAGGTGACAGAAAGGACCCCCAAGTAGGCACCAATATTATGATCGCAGGTGTAATCTTCCAACTAGCCGCCATGACTGCCTTTGCCGGTCTTGCGCTGGACTTCGTGCGCCGATCGTACCCGATGGGAATCACAAGGCAATATCAACTTGCTCTCGTCGGTTTATTCATCTCTCTTGGAGCCATATACGCCCGTAGCATATTCAGGGCAGTTGAGTTGTGCGAAGGGTGGACGGGATACCTGATGCAGAACGAAAGGTTCTTTATTGGTTTAGATGGCTCTCTTATGGTCATCGCTGTTGGCGTCTTCTTGGTCCTCGATCCTTCTCGGCTAGTCCCCAAGGACGCCACCAAGCTCTCGAGGTCCAGTTCGATGGAACTCAAAGCTCCAGAGGCATTTTAGCTCGTCTAAATATCGTTACAGAATCGGACCGGAGTTCATATACTGAAATTTCGGTTTGAAGCAGCACATTGGACTTATGGACTCCACGGGCTCTGTCGTATTTGGTAAATTGTGGCGCTTTGGTTCTTTTTATTTTCACTCCAGTTAATATCAATATTTATTAAGGGCCGGCATTGAGAAGCACTCCGGAACAGGCGATAGTACGTGATGTTCTCAAGAAACAGTAAACGAAGATAGTGTGAATGCTTAGAAAGGAAAGAAATACGAAGGTAGAAGAAGAATGCATATATGAAAAGTCCCCAGTAGAAGGACCTATTTACGGAAGTGAAACGTCAATACGGCTACAACACAGCACTCAGCGGTGCACCATGCAATTTTCTTCCACCCGAAAGTCTATAAAATCGTCTCTCTTTGTCCTTTAAGCCTCTATTTAAATGATAAAAACATCCAGAGGTGTTCGCAAATAGTCCAAATGATTGGGAGCCGCGGAGGTACGAAAATAGCATCATGTCTCTTCAACCTATCTTCCTGCTACGACCAAAGAGTGGAGAGATAAGGGAGAAACGAAAAAAAAAAAAGAAAAAAAGAAATTAACGGAGAACCAACCCAGAGGGGAGAAAAAAATCTAAAAAGACCAGAAACATCAATCCCTAAAACCCCGAACCGTTCGACTAGTAACTCTCACGCCTGGAAAACTGTAGCCAAGGCCCATTCTTCTGGCCTGCAATGTGGTCTCTGAGCTGATACTCATTCTCACGGTGTCGTCCATATTCGCCACCCTCGGTGCCCCGCCCGAGACGTCCAAGCGGGCCATCAGCAAACTTGAAATCGCCCAAAAACATCAATGTCGCCATCACGAGCGTTATTTCGGTGTAGGCAAGCCCCTTTCCAAGGCAACTTCGGATGCCGGTGGAAAAGGGGATAAGAACGGACCTTGCGCGGTCGATGCTCTCGCGCGCGGCATGGGTCTCCAACCACCTCTCCGGTCTGTATGTGAACGGGTCTGAGAAGCACTGAGAATTATGGTGGATGGCATAGGTACCAACACCAACCTCCATTCCGGCCGGAAGGAACTGCCCGTCGACGGTAGTGCCTGCGGATGATACGACCTCACGCACAAGGGCTGAACCGACAGCTGGAGACATGCGTAAGGCCTCGTCGATGCAGGCACGAAGGTAGACGCATGACGACAGATTAGCGGCCGTGATATCGCTACGCGAAGATACCTTAGCTCGCACTTCCTCGGCAACCTTGGCGTATGCCACGGGGTTATCGGCGAGGTAGAACAGAACAGAGGCGATAGTGCAGGCCGAGGTGTCCGACCCCGCGACGACGAGTGTCGTACTCTCACTCGCAATCTCATGAGGTTGGAACTCGCCCCCGGTCTCAGGGTCCCTGGCCAGTTCGAGCCTGGAGTATACGTCCGAAAGCTTTTGCGGGGCTGTAGAGGTGGCACTGCGGGTTGCTGTCCTCTTTCCGTAGATACCACAGACATTACCTTTGCTCAATTCCATGCGGTCCTTCACCAGGCGCATGACGAAATTCAGAAAGCGGTTGCGCGCCCATATGGCTTCGGGAAATAGGTGTTTGTCTAACCTGAGCCATGACAAGCCGGGAAACTGAACGAGAGCCGCCATGCGCACGTTGTTCTTTTCGATCATCTCGGGCACGTAGCGGAAGCGCTCATTTCCAAGAAGATCGTAGTGGGCACCAAAGATGATGTCGGCCATCATGTCAAAGGATAGATAGTTGCACCACTTGGACATGTTGAGAGGTTCACTCCACGCCCCGTGATCCTCCGGCAGGACAATACGGCAAAATTTGTCGACGTGGGCGGCAATCCTTGGTTCGTACTCGCGCTGAGCTTGGCCGGAGAAGCCCTGAGCCATGATGCGACGACGACGCAAATGGTCCTTGCCCCCACGGTGGGTGAATGTGTTGGCGGCCTGGTGGCTCATGATGTCGTAGTGCTTGCTCTTGAGAAATTTAGAATGAGACCTGGCACCGTAGATGTCCCGTACGCCAGCCGGTGTATTGACCAAGAGCTGGTTTGGGCCATAACGAACGTAGTCGCCTAATCACGTCTGTCAGCCACCACCGTGAAACAGATTTGCGTAGCAAAGTCACCGACCATATTTCTCATGACATTTCCACATGTCAAGGTGGATGTCTCCCTTCCAAGCATGGTAGGAAGCGCGAGCAAATGTAAATTTGGAAATAAAAGGGCCGGGATACTTGGCGAGAGGATGGAAAAAGGCCGAGTAGATTGCCTTGACAAGTATCTAAGTGATGAGCGACGATTAGCATACTGGCTTCTCGATTATCACTACTTATATTAGCATTCTAATAAGGTGCATCTTCTTTCACTTACATAGAGTAATGCGGCGGTCGCCGGCCCGAGAAGAATGAAGTACATGGTGGCTTCACGATGCCGTGCTCTCAGTATTAGAGGTGAAGGTGAATTATTAATGCCAGATTAGAATCCTTGCTTGATCAAATATGTGTTATTTGGTACTTGGTGTTTAACGTTGTGTTTTGACAGTGGCCTTTGTGCATTTATCAACAATTCAAATGTCCATCCGAGGGAGAGAAATGACGGCAAGTATTACAGTAAGACTTCGCATTCTTGCAAACCAAACCGCCAAGCCCCCGAGCTCCGTGAGCTTCATGGAACGAGGTTTCTGGCTGCTGTGGCGCATGCGGTTTGATTGAAATATTCCTGTCATGCATTCTTACTACTATTATACACGATCCTACGCTACCGTAGGGTCACCCGCTTGATGTCATTCAGATACGGCAATCGGAAGGAATAAACTCGTCCGATGCTGTATTGCGGCTCTGGGTTAAAGATGCAAGAAAGTCCTGGACTGACGCACATGTTGTCGAGTTTTATTGGAATAGTAAGCACCATCACAAAGTAATTCCCAGTTTGATTGTAAGTACCCCGCCTTGTTGGCTTTGAGGTCCTCTTGGGCGCATCAAAGTGTCCCTTGTGGAAACACTGTTAGTGCGAGAGGTGGCGCAGAGAAAGGGGAAAGAGAATAATAGAGGATAACGAGGAGAGGAACTGGATAGTAGAACGAAACCACGCCCCGCCACGTAACCTTCGCCGCTACCACCCGATCAATCTGGACTGCCAGAATGATACCCCGAGTTTTGGTGACAGTGCTGCATCGACCACCTAGAAAATCTTCTCAGACAAGCGTTCAACCTTCCTCCGCACATAGGCCAGTGTCGTGATTATTATAGATCCTATTACTACTGCAATTATCGATTTCTTTCGAGCGAGGCAGTGTTAAAGGAACGAGATGATTATGGGGCTCTTCGTCTTGATCTGCGAGGGATTTGTGGGTATTATTTATACTTGTAGTAAGATAAGTCTACAGAACCTGGAGCTGGGCTGTGCTAACTACAAGGCAACAGGACTTTCCATGAATAGCAACGGCAGTTTTCAATATAAAGTATGCCATCTAAATTTGATGTTTGAATTCGGTGTATCGGCCTTGTCGTTCAAGTCTCTCTTAATTTGTCTCGGAATCAAACTCAAAACTGTCGCCATCTTCAATGTACTTCCCTTCACCGCAAGACTCTACAGCTTTCTACATCAGCCTCCTCCTTCGCAAGTACCAGTCGAAGTCTTCAAAATGGTTCCACCGAGTCCCCAAAAGAGTATAGGTAAGTAGGCCGTTGCAACAATCGCCAGCACGGACAGTGCTGATGGGAACTATCAATGTAGATTGGGCCAACCTGTCGCCAAAGCAATACCTTCCCCTCAATGGTCATATTGAAGCTCGCTTCCGAGCATCCACTGGCCAGTGGACTGCTCCCACACTAGTCGCCGGCACTGAAATTTCAGTATCTGGTCTCAGCCCTGGGTTGAACTATGGCCAGCAGTGCTACGAAGGTCTCAAGGCATTTCGCACCATCGATGGGCGCATAAACGTGTTCCGACCCCAGTTCCACGCCTCGCGAATTCGGCGTTCGGCCGGATCCGTGTGCCTCCCACCACCGCCCGAGGATCTATTCCTAGAATGTATCCGACGTGCGGTGGCCGAGAATGCGGAGTACGTGCCACCATCCGAATCGGACGCTTTTCTCTACATCCGCCCGGTTCTTTTCGGTGCCTCGACGGGCCTTTGGGGTCCATGTGACGAGATCATCCTGGCGGTCTTTGTTCATCCCGCAAAGCCTCAGCACGGCGCGGATGCGGTCGCAGGCGTTGTTTGCGATGAGTTTGACCGGTGTGCTCCGCGAGGCACGGGCAGCTTTAAGGTCGGGGGTAATTACGCACCAGTGGGTTACCCTCAAACTGTCTGTTTCTCCCTCTCTTCCTCACTGACAATACTTGAAAGGTCTGGAGGCATGTGGCAAAGGCCGCATCGCTGGGATATGGTATTATGCTGCACCTTGACAGCGCGACGCATTCGTTCGTTGAAGAATTCTCGACAAGTGGCTTCCTTGGTCACAGGATCGGGGAAGATGGCCAGCACATCCTTGTCATCCCTGCAACTGAAAATGCCATTCAGAGCACCACGAGCGATAGTTTGGTGAAGATCGCTGAACAGGCAGGATGGACTATTGAGAAAACCAGGGTGAGTAGCGAACCTTTTAGAACCTCCGTACCGACAAAAAAGTTGTGCTCTTCGAAAATAGGGGGAAAGAAAATGAATTACGCTGACGAATGGTTCTCAGCTTCCCTTCTCCTCGATCCGCGACCTTGACGAGGTTATATCCTGTGGCACTGCTGCCGCCGCGACTCCGATCAAGTGTCTTGAGAGGCCATCTACAGGAGAGAAATACGAGTTTGGGCCCTCATATGAGAATTGGAAGCTCATGCAGCTCGCGAACACTTTGACCAGCATCCAGCGCGGGAGGGCAGAAGACAGAGAAGGCTGGTGTTGGGAGATCACCGGATTCCCCAGTCAAACAGAGGCTGGGGATGAAAATGCTCAGTTAACTTCCACCAGCTGGTCCGGCCTCAAGTGGGACTTGATTTCGCCGATCAAAATGCTGCTCCCTGTTGCGGGACTTCTTGGGCTGCATCAAGGGATCAGTGCAGATCTGCGTCGCTTTTGGAAGTAATGGGGTTTGGGAAGGGTCGCTTGGGTTGGCTTATCTATCGAGCTTTCATTGAGGTTTTCTTTGTTTTCATGCGGTCGATGTACTTCTTCTAGTTGATAATACATTTGAGAAAGGTTGATTCTACGAGTACCAGACAAGACGCGTCCACCAACCACTGAGGACAGATGAGGTGATAAACGAAGACGGAATAGAAACCAAGAGGGAGGGAAAAAAATAGATAAGGATAAAGGAAAGGACATATACGGCATTCACAATCCACCTGTGATTCTCTTCCAGGTCGGGCCTCTGATCTTCTCTCTTGGCGGTCATCCGCGGCAATTGCAGGAATCTGCGCCCTTCAGCAGGCCCCGAAAATCCGACCTCACACGACCATCCTCACTTAAATCGAGCTCGAGACAGTTCAACGTAACATCACACCGACCGTTTGTTCCCTTAATCTTCCTTTAATTACCAGCCACAGGCTGCCCCCAAGAGAAGAAGTGAATTCAAATGAAACGCTCATGGCCTTCCGCATCCACTTTCCACAACCCCGAACACATCGATTGTAATCTACAATCCGCTAAAGCCTACGAAGTACTTCTATTCCAATTACATTCAGCTTAGCCACCCTCGGAATTCAGGAACATCGATTCACACATTTCGCGACCGCAATGCTCATTGTTCCAAATTAGTCTCGGCGTCCTTCGGGTAGGATTCTACAAAGCCTCAGGCGCAAGCAGTTACCCAATGACCAATCCAACGAGGTCAGCCGTAGGATTTGGTGTAAGGATCGTCGGTCCGGCCTTTTGATTACATTCTTCCTATATAAGTCACCCCTTTCTTTAGTAAGGAATTGTTGAGCACAGCCTTGGGTGAATGTGTGTCTGTCCAGACACGCATTGGCAGACTAATTCAACATTTGGAATTTGATCCAAGGATGCTTTATTTGAGCTCAAGTGGCAGACAATCAATACCGAATTTCAGATTCTATGAAGCAACTTATGACTTCTTTTTTTCCTTCGCCCGGTTGGTGATTATTGTCTCAATGGCCGCCGATTCTACCAAGTGCTCGATCACCACTTTGGATGGGTTCGGTCCCGCAACAAAATGCCCTGGTGCCTTCGATTTCACGTTGTTGTTCGAAGAATCTATCCTTACGATTGCACCTGCTGTAATAATTGTTGTAATAACGAGCATCTTCTACCTAAAACCGCTATTATTGAGCGACCGGAAACTATCGTGGACATGGCATCTCAAGATCAAACAGGTGAGGCAATTTTTTCGTCTGCGAAACTCCCTACCTAGCCCCTCATAGCGCGTCGGTTAGGATCCAGGTCAGGCTTAAGACTAATAGTTCCTTAGATTTCATGGACGCTGTTAATTTTGACGAACGCTGTTCAGCTGGGTAATACCGCAAACCCAGCGACACCACGGACCAAAGTGTCGATACCTGCCTGCGTTCTTGTTCTTGCCGCCCACATAAATCTCGCAATACTGTCCCATCTGGCACATTTACGCAGCGTCAGACCTTGCTCACCGATTCTACTCTTTTTGCTCCTGACCTTGGTGTTCGATGTTGCTCGCTGCAGGACGCTATGGTCTGCGGAATCCAGCCAGCAGACGGTGGCCATCCTCGCCACCAGTGCGGCGGTCATGAAGGGGGTCCTCCTCACGATCGAATCGGTAGAGAAACGGAATTTGCTACTCCCGTCCCGCCGAAACGTCCCACCAGAGGCTACGGCGGGAATCTTCAATCAGTGGTTTTGCTGGTGGATGAATCCTCTCCTTCTCTTCGGTTATCGCGGCGTGCACTCGTTGGAGACGCTTTTCGAAGTCGACCAGGACTTGTCTGCCGAGGGGAATTCGGGCCTGTTTGGTCGATGGAACTCATGTTCGTCTGCCCCATCAAATTCTTCGTTTCGTGGATCAACTGTCTCCGGTTCCAGTTTTTGTTAACTCTGTACGACAGGGAAATCAAAGCAAAAGGCTCACTCGCTGCTGCTGATCACCTTGCTTGACAACAAACGGACCATGGGCAAGGCCATCATTCCACGATTATTTCAGACAGGGTTCACTTTTGCTCAGCCATTCCTTGTTCGACGAGTCATTGAGTATATCGAGGATCCGAATGGCTCCAACACCTCGACCGTTGGGACTGGTCTCATATTCTCATATTTAATAGTCTATGTCGGGATCGCCTTGGCAACATCGTTGACGCAGAACTGGACTGTTAGGCTGGTTACACGGATGAGGGCCGGTCTTGTTGGCCTAATCTACTGTCGCACACTCGAGATTAGATCCCTCGCCGTGGACGAGGCGGATGCAGTCACACTCATGAACGCCGATGTGCAGCGGATTACCACGGGTTTCCAATCTTTTCGTACGTGTTTGCACGCCCTGTGAATTTTCCAGAGGTTAGTATCGAATTCGCTAACGGCTTTAAAACCCATAGATGAATTATGGGCGTGCCCCATAGAAATAGCGCTGTCCATCTGGCTGCTTTCAAGCCAGTTACGGCTTGCGGCACTCGCACCTGCGGTGGTCACAGTGGTCTTCACAGGCGCTGCCATCAGTGTGGCCTCCAAGGCCGGGATCACTCAAAAGGCGTGGCTAGATAAGATCCAGTTGCGAGTTGCTGTGACCGCTTCTCTTCTACGCGTGATGAGCTCTGTCAAGATGACAGGTCTAACGGAAACACTCAAGCGAAAGGTCGATAAGCTCAGGGATGCAGAAATCGACGCATCGTTTAGTTTCCGAGTGGTCCTGGTTAAGATCGTCTCTCTCACGTTCGCCTCCACTGCTATGACGCCGGTTGCGTCCTTTGGCATGTATGTCCTCCTGCAAAAATACCGTGGTTATGCGATATTAGACACCGCCGGCGCCCTGACGACACTTGCTCTACTGCAACTTTTACTGGCACCCGTTTCCATACTCATTGATACGCTTGCTGGCATCATGGGTGCGGTTGGTTGTTTCGAACGAATTCGGAATTATCTCAACACAGAGACGAGGGTGGACAGCCGGGTCTATGGGAGCTGTCAAGGAACATGGACCAATTACAACTACTCGGGTCGTTTGATGCGATCTCTCTCATCAAGAAGACAGGGCACCATGGAAATGGACGGGATTTATTCGTCCTACGACCCTTCTATACGAGACTCTGCAGTTAATGACATTTATGCGCTGGGCTGTTCCTTGCAGCGCCGAGGTGCTGTTACATCTCGGAATCGAAGCTCGATTCAAGTTCACCAGGCCTCAGCCAGTTGGAAAGACACTGCCCAACCCGTCTTGAAAGACCTAAACTTCAAGATTCCCGATGGAAAGCTGACCATGATTATTGGCCCCGTGGGGAGTGGGAAATCGACTTTATTGCATACGCTGCTCGGAGAGACTCGGAGTAACGGGGGTTACATCCACGTTACATTTGAAGATGCAGCGTACTGCTCGCAGCGCCCGTGGATCTCGAACACCACCGTACGCCAGAACATCCTTGGTGGCTATGAGTTTGATCCTGGATGGTATTCCAGCGTGGTTCACGCGTGCTGCCTCGTGAAGGATCTGGATCAGCTGCCAGATGGCGACCTTACATCTGTCGGAAGCAACGGTACTGGCCTCAGCGGCGGCCAACAGATGCGTGTAGCGTTGGCACGCGCCATCTACTCAAAGAAGAATACCATAATTATGGACGACGTGCTGAGCGGCCTAGATTCGACGACCGAGGAAGCCGTGTTCTCGTCAGTGTTTTCAGCCAGCGGTTTGCTGAAGAAACACAATATAACCGTCATCCTGGCGACGAACGCCGTGCATCGACTGCCAGACTCGGACCATATAATCGTACTAGACCAGAATGGAACCATAGCACAGCAAGGCTCGTTCAGAAGACTTTCGTCGCGGCCAGGCTACGTCTCCAGGCTCGACCTTCAAAAACGGCCTGATAATCTCTTTCAACAGCAAGAAAAATTCGTTTTCCCCGGTGAAGTGCAAAAGGCTTTGGGCAAGTCCCTCCCGGAGATACCTACGAGGGACGCTTTAACCGGGGACATGAGTATTTACAAGTACTATATCGAGAGTTTTGGTTGGGCACGATGGTGGATACTCATCACGATCTGCTCATTCTACGGATTTGGCGTTGTCTTCCCTCAAGCTTGGGTTCAGTGGTGGGCAGCGTACAACGTACGCCATCCAGGCGAGAAGATTGGTTACTACGTCGGAGTATATTTCTTGCTGGGAGCTCTGGCAATAGTGTCTCTCGCGGCGAGTTGCGGGTATGTACTATGATTTATCGTATCTGCTGGACGGCTTATTATGATTTGCACCAGATTTGCTAAACTGAAAAGCAGGTTCCTCGTCATCAGCATTGCCCCCCGGGTGGCAAAAGCGATGCATTCACGCGTATTAAACACCATCATGAATGCACCGGTCGCTTTTTTCACTCAAACTGACGCCGGTTCGATCACGAATCGGTTCAGCCAAGACTTGGACCTCATAGACATGGAGTTACCGGTTTCCTTAATTCACACACTGCTTACCGGATTCATATTGATCGCACAGTCTCTGGTTATTGTATCCACTGCAAAATACGCCGGCGCGGCCTTGCCAGTCTGTGCTCTGGCCGCGTATATGACCCAGAAGTTCTACCTGAGAACCTCGAGGGTGTTGCGCCTGCTAGATATAGAGGCCAAGTCTTTGTTGTTCTCCCATTTCTTGGAAACACTTAGCGGGTTGGTGACCATTCGCGCCTTTGGATGGGGAGATGGTTATCTCAAGACCAACGAGCATTTCATTGACATCTCCCAGCGTCCCTTTTACCTTCTTCTATGCGTCCAGAGATGGCTAGGGCTCGTCTTAGATCTCCTAGTGAGCGGTATTGCCGTAGTGTTGGCTATCATCGCTGTGAAATCCCGAGGCGAGGTCAATCCCGGCCTTATGGGTCTGGCTCTTCTTAACATCGTCGGCTTCAGTTCCATCCTGAAGCAGCTCATTGCCAACTGGACTTTGCTGGAAACGTCGACAGGGGCCGTGAGCCGAGTCAAGAGTTTCACGAAGAGCGTTGCCTCCGAGAACGCCGAAAGTTGTGAAGGAGGTGGGGACCTGCTTTGGAACTGGCCATCATACGGACGCATCGAATTTAACGACGTTACCGCCACCTACAACATTCAATCGGAACCAGTCCTGAAAGGGGCATCTCTTAGAGTCGAGCCTGGGCAGCGTATTGGTATCTGCGGTCGGAGCGGGAGCGGTAAGAGCTCACTAGTCGCCACACTCTTCCGTATGACCGAGATCACTCGTGGATCCATCGTCATTGACGGTCTAGATATATCCACCTTGTCCCGCAATGACGTTCGGCAGCGCCTCAACGCACTGCCCCAGGAACCCTTTCTCCTACCCGGTACGATACGCGAGAATATCGACCCTCTTGGTGAGCATGATTCCAGCTCCATTATAGAGATACTTCGGGAAGTTGGAATCTGGGAATTGCTCTCAGATGTCCCTGGCGGTTTGGACGCGACAATGCCTAGCAATCTGTTATCACATGGACAAAAACAGCTCCTCTGTCTGGCGCGGGCTATGATGCGACGATCGAGCATCATCGTGTTAGACGAGACTACATCTTCTGTCGACGTCGAGACTGAAGCTCTGATCCAACGCCTAATCGATCGGCGGTTCCAAAACCATACCATCATCGCGGTCGCTCACCGCCTAGATACGATCCTCAACTTTGACCGTGTGGCAGTAGTGGATAAAGGCCGAGTCATGGAGTGGGATGAGCCGTGGACGCTACTGCAGAGCGACTCTATGTTCCGACGGCTTTATATGGATATGAAAGGAATAAGAGACGAGGAAGATGTTTCTTTCTTGGATTAGGCAACGCAGTGCTGATAATACGGCAGTCGGTCATACCAGGGAGTCCGTGTCCAGACCGGACTGCCTTAGTATAAGACCCAAAAGAGTGTGGAGTTCCTCCTTAACAGGCCAACAACAGACAATGAAATGCCGCACATCTATAATTAAAAGAGTATAATTATCGCATTTTAAACCGGGACCCTGGTATCTTTAAATTTCAAATTGTTCTCATCTATATAGAACCGGTAAAAATATAAATCGTCTTAAAGCACTACCCCCAGGAGGAAAGTGGTAGCTGGACGAGAGGTGCAGCGAAAAACAAGGGGCTCTGACTCTCTCGTAACGGCCGCCGTCTCTATTCGTGTCGCGTTAGGATCACGATACCCATTTTGCCGCCATCCTTTCGTTCAAAAAGGGGCATAAAGTATTGGAGTGAAGTGGTGATGATAAACTACCCAAGCCCGGATTACCACATGACCGCGCCCTTGAACTGCTCCATCTTCTTGACGTTGATGCTCTCCCACATCAACGTGCTGGCCCAAGTGATGCTGTAGAGGGAAGTGGCGGCAATCAACATCAACTTCTGTGTGGCGCCGTAAGCTTTGTTGATTCCGTCACGTGTAGGGGTTCCGACTGGGTAAGATGCTTGGACGTCGATGCTGCCGTAAATGGTAGTCAGATCAGGTTGGGCCTCAGCAGGCAGATATTTGGCTAGCTTCTTGGGGAAGATACCGGTCCACATGGCCGCCGCAACTGTGGAGCCGATGCTCTGCCCCATAGCCGCCACCATGCCCTCCATGGCGAGGATAGCTGGAATGTCGGAGTGCTTGGATACGGCCATGACGGTCATCTGCTCACAAATGACGAGAGTGCCACCGCCGAAGGCGATGAAGATGAGGCACATGACGGCGTATCCGATATTCACATCAGGTTGGCGGAAGTGAATCATGAGACCCACGCCGAGAATGGTCATGGGCACTCCGAAGAATACAGCAGGCCACTTTAGGCGACCGTTGTATCGGATGAAAACACCAAACAAAAGAGACCAGAAGGTGCTGCCGACGGTGTAAACGTTCATTATGTATGTGGCATCCTGGACATCGGTGCTGAACAAAACGATGAGAACCGAGAAGAAGTAGTTATCCCAAAGATACCATGCGGTGTAAAGAGAAGCCATCATAGTGTAAGTGAAGAAGACGGTCCTGTTCTTGATCAAGCGCCAAGGAATGAAAGTAATGGGCGCAAAGAACTTTTCCCAAATGATGAAAAGGATGATCAGGAGGCCGCCAAAGATGATAAAGCAGATGATCAAAGGTGACTTCCATTCCTTTTCCTGGTATGAGAACAAGCTGAAGGACAGAAGAAACAACCCGATGCCCGCAGCAGCGAGGATAATGCCGATGATATCGAACTCCTTGGCATAAAAGATGATGTTGGCGATGGGCCCGCGACCATGAGGTTTGACGTTAACGAGGCCTTGCTTCACGGCCTTTCGCTGATTCGCGTAGAAGAGATACCAGAGAGGTGCACAGACGACGGGCATAATGATGGCGAAGATGCCGTACGCCCATCTCCAGCCGATGCCACCAGGGGCAATGATCTTCTCACAGGCCAGACCGTAGACCCACACCGTAATGAGCCAGGGAGACGAAGCGTATGCGATCATGAAGGCTCGGTTCCTGAGTTTTGACGTGTCTGCAATGAAGATGGTAATGGTAAAGTCGAGCCAAGAGTATCCGGTATAATAGAAAACGGTGGCTGCCGCATAAGTTTCGACGTTTTTGCAGGCAGCCATCATGATGAGACCAAGAGTCATGGAGCCAACGGCAAGGACGAAACCCTGCGGCCGTCCAATGTTGTCGATGAACTTGGCATAGGCCAGTTTAGTCAAACCAGGAATAAGGCCGGAGATGATACCCGTCGTGGAAACTAGCGAGTGTGCGCCGAAGGAGCTGGTGACGTAGGTGGTCAAGGTACCAGCGATGCCAGACGAGAAAGCGTTGAGAAAGTTGATCAACCAGATACTGTTTTTGCGAGAAGTTAGCAACTGTTACGGCGCCCAGAGCTCCACGAACAGAACATCTTGATAAATGAAATCTAAGACAATAATAGTCCAAGGGCTCGAGAAAGGCAAGCGGACAACTCACAAGAGATAGGCGGCAATCAGATGGTTCCTCGTCCATACCTGAAGCGTCGCTTCGGCAGCCTGGACACCAAACTGCAGATCCCGCTTCTCGCTGGTAGTGGAAGTATCCGAAGTCTCGCCGCTGTCTACATTCTGGCTAGCATTCTTTTCGCCGTCAAAAGCGGTCGATTGGCCTTCAAAATCAGTTTGTTTGTCGGCAATCTCGGGCTTGTCGCTCCCTGCGAGCTTCGGCCCAATAATGCCACGGAACTTCAGACCCATTGTCGAGTGTTCTCCTGTGTATACCAGTGATTGACAATAGGGGATGGGAGGATAAGAGTGTGAGAGGTGATAACCACAGGAAACAAAAGGACAAGAGGATGGGATGATCGTCGAGAGACACTGACCCTAATAAATGCATCGAAAATCAAGGGTCGTCGATCTGCACCCACCGCCACCCCAACCAAACGCTGCCCCCCAAGAGGTTTTTACCACACATTGGCTATGTCGCATTTCTACTACTAGTTCACGCTCACCACGGTGGTCTTTCCCAGTCTGGAATTCAGAGCCACTTGCCGGAAATCCGGCACTCTGACCCACCGTGGGGGCAAAGACCGATCAAGTGGGTTCCAGTGGGATGAACATGCTGCAAGCGACCCTCTTTCTAGAAGACGCCGGGCTGGCCAAGACAGGAGGAACAGATGCAGTGGCCCAATGGTCGGGCAGACGTTGTGGATCAATACTTCGAGTGGACGTGGACACGCTCTGCGAGTGAAAAGATGGCCGGACCCAGCAAAATGGGTTACACTGACCGAGAATGCAGCGGGCTCATCCATGATTCCCTCTGCGTAAGGAAGGAAAAGAAAAGGAGAAAGAGCAAGAAAAATACCTGTTAACGCCGCGTGGCGTGGTTCCGATGGTCGGAGCCATTTCAGATGATCAGGGTCAGAGATGGATCTAATCAGATTGATTGAACACAAGAAAATGTTTTCATGGCCTAATTTCTCGAGTTCTTGCGGGCAAGACCCCTCTTCGGGCAGGGCAGCTAGGGTAAGTGGTGGAGTTGGTGGAGTTGGTGGAATCGACGACGTTACATAGTACGACTACACAACTCTACATTATTGATCAAAATCTCGTGCACTCCGTAGGGTAGTGCACGAAGTAGTGAAATGTAGTGAAGCGTACACTACCAGGCGTGATAGTAAGGGCATCTGGTGGTGCTGTAGTGGAGGGTAATGCCGTTAAATGCACTATTATAGGGTAGTGTCCACCTCACTAACTTGGCTAACTTGGTCACTTCAGGGCATTTGATCTTGAAATCTGATAAGATAATCAGTACTACGTGTCCCCCGCAAGGACTCAAGTTGTGAAATTTGGTACCCACAACGACACGGGACCGGTCTTTTGATGACAAGTACATGTGTACTTTTTGGCAGAATGCTCATAATAATTGTACCTCGGTACCTTTGTACAATTCCGCGCAACACAATTTGAACAGAGGCCAATCGATCTCTTCGTTGTCGCACGTCAGCGGACTCAAAAGACGGATAAGCAGTTCACTACTGCACCCCCACGTTTCATTTCCGCGAACGTAACGAGATCGCGTCCAAATCACTCAACAGCGGCGTTTTCGGCATTCGATCGGGAGTCCTGGGGTCTCTGGGAACACGCTGCCCAACTCGGCCCGGCGGAAATGCACCAAGAGACGAGCCAGTCTTGGGTCTCGCCTTGCTAGTTTATTTCCCGCAAAGTGCTGCGTCACACCAGTACACTCAAATTTGACCAAGTTGATGAAGCTCCGGCATCTCTTGGAACCCAGCAATATTGTCCGTTCCCAGCGCAGATAGAGATACCCTTCTGGAAGGGAGGGGGAGCGTCAATAGGATGTGCTTTTTATTAATACAAAACATTAGGTCACGGGGCCGTTGGCATCTGCGAGGTCCAGCTCTGGAACTACGCAAAATGGAATTTTGAACCTAACATAGGTATTACCCCTCTCTTAATTGGTCTGATTTGTTCGAAATCGATCCATATTATGTTGAAGACGCGTATCGCAAGGGTTTTCCCCGGGCGCTTCATTCGATACATGGTGCAGGGGGCCAGGGATCGCCAATGCAGGCCAAGAGCTTACCTATATACATGTAAACGCAAGTGGTTTCGCGATCGGGCCTTACCACTTGCACTCGACTGCTGAGAAAGTCAAGATGATATACGCGTCAAATCTCTCGCCATTACCTCTCCGGTTTCTTGAAGCGGCAGTATATTCGGGATTTGTGGCTTTCCTATACTTTGTCGGGACAAATGTTTGCTACTGTTTTAAGATGTGCTTCGCCTTAGGCTAAGGATCTGGATCGATCTCTGCCAAGCAAGCCCTCATACTTTATTACGACCTCCTAAACTGGTCTAGTATTCCTGAAGTCGTCATCATCTCGTAGCTAGCCCCAATTGTATGATTGTGTGCCGCGCGGAGCCATCAATCGTATCTCTATCCTTATGTCCGAAGAATCACTGTCCACAAGGATCTGTGTTCCAATCCCAATAGCCCCCCACATATTTTTTTCATCTTTTTCCGCCCCTCTTTTTTCTTTCGTTCCACCCGGTATATCAACTCCTGGAACAGGAAACAAATCTTTGAAGGCGGAACCGTAAGGGGTTAGGGGAGTCGCTGTTTCCGGTTTGTGCAGAACCCGGTTAACAACGAGATCCCATTGGGCTATAGTCTATGAGGTGTTAGAAGCAGTCTAGAAATTCAAAGACAAATTGATGTCGTTTTTGATCTGGGCCCTGAGCTTATAAAGAGCGCCGAGGTGGCTAGTAAGATGGTGTTATGCTATGGCCCTGGCCATACGATTTCAGGAAGCCGATTGCCGCTTTAGAGAGATGATCGGGGATGAGATAAATTTTAAGCACTTTGACATCACTCTACGAATTTATCTCCATTGGAAACACAGCAGTATATTCAGTGCACGGTTAAGTGAAGCATCATGAGAGCCGAGTCGCCCATGGTTCATTCAAGCCGAGAAATCCGTCAAACCGACGTGACCTGACCAGTACCATTGCAAATCTCTTCATGTTAAATAGGGATGTCCAAGATTCACAGGTGGGAATGAGGGAGGCTCGGCTGCAAGAGAGTTTGGATCCGCTGGTGGTATAGCTGCCTGAAATTATGTTTCGTATAACACGCTTTGAAAGCGCAAAGCTTTGTCGATGTGTCAACAATATCTAACTCTGTCAGTCCACGTGGGCTAGCAGGAATCCAAGCAACCGTTACAAAGGTACGATATCTACCAAAGAGGCTATTGAGTCTCGAGATAGGTTGCGTATGCATCGAAGGCTATTTTTCATCTAACGACCGTCTGTTTTGATGGACTGTCTCCTGCTCTTACTTGTTTGGTGCACTAATACCGCTTTTGATTGGCCACCTCAACTCGGGACATCAGGACATACCGTTCCGGTATAAAGTTCACTAGACGAGGTGCCAGAGCGAATCTTGCGCGCACATGTTTGTCTGTTGAGATTTATTCGCTTAATAGACGAACTGATGGGACCGCCCATCCCCAAACACCATGTTGAGGGCACGGAAGAGAGATATCATTGAAATAAATCCCCGCATCAGCTTCCTTACCTGGTCCGCTTTCATCAACACAGAGATACCTAATACGAAACTCAAACACCTGGTCATTCTACCTTTCCCGCTACGATGGTCACGATCTTTACCCCCGTCATGGGCTTAATATGCGCGTCCAGCGTTTTGATTCTGATAGGTGCCCGTGCCGAAATCCACCCTCTTGTTGCCGCCAATCGATATAGTCCAGAGCAATTACACCTTATCGAGTTCGATGACGAGGCCGACACCCTTAGTCTCTCGAGGACCGTGGATGCGGGAAATACGCATGTCTGGATGTCCTTGAAGGTAAGACGTCTGGTGCTCGACGTACCTTACAAGGGCCGTATCCGACGTCTGGATGGACATGCCTACAATGACAACACCCGAGGCTTGATGTGATTGCTAATTAGAGTTACGCGTAGCACGATGGGCAAACGCTCTACGGTTCTTCAATGGAAAATGGGCGACTGGTTAGCTACAACTCATCCTCACTCGAAGCCACAGGAATCGTTGAGACTTGTGGAGCATGCCAAGGAAGGAACTCTGCGTACAATATCCCCAGTCCCAGACACCCCTACCCTGTCTTTTCTGGGTCCCATGGAAAATCACCAGGGTGCGCGATGTCCTTTTCAACTCAAGACGACGGATCGCTTGCTGGGCATATCGACTCATGGCCCTACGAGATTGCCTCTAGTGCCCATGGATTGGCTCTTCATGAGGCAGACGGGAGACAGCTTCTCTACACAGCAGACATGGGCACGGATTCCATATGGATACACTCAGTTGACGAATTCGGACGCCCGACCTTGGTATCGCAAGTCAAACTCCCTTGGCCAGGAAGCAAGCCACGGCATTTAATAGTTCACCCTCAGGGGACATTTGCCTATGTCGTTTTGGAAATTGACAACAGTCTCCTGGCTATGGAATTGGACAGGTCTGGCTTTCCCGTAAAAGACATCGAGTGTGAACCTTCTTCTCTTATTCCCGAGGGTGAGTTTCCGTGTCCAGAAATTACGTTCATCTTCGAATACCTGACGCTCGGTTCCTATCAAAGATGCACTCAGCTCTAGATATTGGTCTGCGGGTGTGAGCTTATCGCCGAATAACAGGTACCTGTGGACCACCACTCGCGGCCGAAATGGCACTATGGGCTACGTATCGTGCTTTCTTCTGGATTCTAGAGGTGGGCTTTTGAAAAGAATGTTTACGGTCTCTTCAGGGACCGCAGGTACCATCTCCAGTGCCATATCGGCGGCTCCATGGAGTAATGAGTACGCCGTCGTATCTGATGCACCCGGGGGTTATGTCGAAGTGTGGAAACTGGAAGACCCAAAGCAGACTGACCTTGGAATTGAATATGAGGCGGGACGTCCAGTCGCTAGAATAGATATCCAGTCTTGCTGCGGGCATGCGTTGTGGCTTCCATGATTAGATCTTGGGAATAGTCCGACACTAAGAGAGATTCCATGTCGGTGAATTGTGTCTTATTTCGATTCGCGGAAGCCAGTGGCTTTTGCTGTGATGAATCAATTACGAGGAAGACTAGGCCCTGACGAAGTTGGTGGGCTTTCCGATCTTAAAACAAAATTCAGCCCCCATAATGCAATTCCATTCTTTAACATTAATATCATCTTTTTTTGCGTCATCGTTTCATCCATAACTTCACATTTCGAAATTAGAAAGGCACCGCGTTGAGGCGGTCTTCGCCCGTCTAGGCTGACCGACATCCAAGCATTAGTAGTTTTCGGCCGGGACAATACCACTCGAAGAATTTAAATAGTGATCAAATTATTTTCGATAGAGCTAATGGAGTATGAAAGTTGGGACAGTTCGCCAATAGTGCTTCACTTCGGGATCAGCCCCAAGGTGCATGTAGCCGCTAGGCTATCACACCCTCCCTGAATATAACCAATCTAACCTCCGACATCAAGATGTCCCTGACCTCATCCGTGCACCCAGTTCATGTGCATGTAGTATTCAAGGTAATGCATGACCGCTTCTTTCCAGGCCTGTAGCCTCCATGGAAGCTTAGGCATAGTTCCCTTGTGCAAATGGAACTTGACTGCCGTTATCGTCATCCTTCTTGGTCTCGAGTTGTGGTAACTCTGTTCCCACCATGGCGGTAGATGAATAGTCATCCTCGCCGCTCAACTCTTCCAAGGTCCTGCGCGCGGTTTCGGGAATGAGGAGCGTAGTAAGGCAGCCGAGGAGCATAAATAGGGCGTAAATCTCGAGGACATGATCCATCCAGGGATTGGGGTTCTCCGGGGTACCGCCATGGGTGCGGAGGACGGAGATGGCGCCTTGGCCGATAATGGAGCCAATCTTCCCGGAGGCGGCAGATATACCGTGTGAAGTGGATCGGTAGCGGGTCGGGAACACTTCACCGGGGACGATGAAGGTTGTCGTATTAGGCCCTAGATGAAAGTTATCAATTAGCACGGGAACTTAGACACTCATCTATGGGATTGGGTTCGTAATGAGCGGAGGCTAACCGAAGTTGAAGAAGAATTGTGCGAGGACGTAGATGGCAAGCAAGCCATTCGACGAAATGTGGTAGTAAGCAAAGCCCATAATGATGAAAAGGACTGTGAGAATCAAAAATCCACCCATCTGGATCTTCTTTCGTCCCAGGGTATCAATCGTTGCGACAGAGACCCAGTATCCAGGAACAGCGCCGGCTAAGACGATGATGACGTTTCCGACTGCCGTGTTGTATAAATACTGGTACACGTTATGCGCGTGGCTGGTCGAATAACCAATAACGCTGAGAATGGTACCGTTATTCAAAGAGAGTCCGTAGAAAGCAACGTCAAGGCAGAACCATGAGCCGGCGGTCCCGAGAAGGAGAAGGTAGTTCTTGCGTTGGCTATAGTGGCGGACGAAATCAGACCAACTGGCTTGAGGGATCTCGAGGGTTTCTTTTGCGGCCTTGTGCGTTGTCGCACGAGCAACCTCATCTGAGTAGCCCTCGCGTTTGCCGCTTATATAGGCCTTGACGTCTTCATTTGCCTTTTCCACGTCACGGGCGACATCAAACGTGTAGCGAGGCGTTTCCGGAATAGTAAGACGATCTAGTTCATGGTAGTTAGTAGCAAATCAATAGCAAGGGAAAATCTCAGGTCCACCTAACGCACAGTAGAGGGCGATGCAAGCAGGGACAGCGCCGAAACCAATCAGCGTTCTCCACATCTTGTCTACAGCGACTTGACAAGAGCCAGTACAATCGATAGTCTTGGCAGCAGTTTCCAGCTGAGACTTGAAGCCAAGGGTTACGAACAGCATCACTAGAGCAGCGACGAGCTGTCCAAATCCCTGCATGGCGAAAACAGCAGCCATCATAGCTCCTCGCCATTTAGTGGTGGCAAACCTAGAATGTAATGGGATATTCTTAGAGTCGTTGTCATAGATGGAACCCGTTACATTTTCTACTCGGCAGGCACTTACTCCGAGGTGATGATGGAAGACAGAGGATAGTCACCGCCAATGCCCACACCCATTATGACTCTCCAGAAGATGATGAGGCCGATGATATTGCAGGAGGGTGAGCCGCTTGTCAAAGCCTGAGCTAGTGTTGCAAAGATGATGATGATGAGTTCCAAGCCGTACATGCGTTTACGACCAACCACATCGGCAAGCCAACCGAAAAGCAGCTGGCCGACGACAGTACCGGCGGACGTCGATAGCTTAATTGCATTGTCTGAAGAGGTAGGCATGCTACCCTTCCCGGGGAAATAGACAATCCCAAGCATGATGGTCAACATGGACACAGCAAAGATGTCATATGAGTCGGTAAAGAAGCCAACGCCTGCGACCACACAAGCGCGGACATGGTACCAGCCAAACGGAGCTCTGTCGACTTCTGCGAGCGCAAGTCGACGGCGTTCGTTCAGGTCGGCAACGTGGGCGAAATCGTTATGGAAGTTGTGAAATGCATTGTTTCCACCAGAGGTCTTGGCCACAGCTGGCTTAGCCTTTGTGGACATTGCGCATGTGCCTAAATGGAATGAATAGAGGGCTAATGAGACAATGAGGTAAAACTAATAATAAAAAGTCTCACTGGGGAAGAAGCAGAAGGAGAAGAATGAGAAGGATATTAAGGAGACCCTAAAGCATCAGGTCAGATATAGAATCGAAGTGATATGAGAGATTGCCAGGCAAGGCGAGGGAGGTAGACCCGTTTTTTTGTACGAGGAGGCCTTTCAGTGATTGCCTGGATGTATATATCTTCACCATCTCCTCTTCAAATTCCCCTTTACCCTTGAAAAGCGCACAAACCCACGTTGGATTGGAAAAGCCCTTCGTCTTGGCTGAGGCATGCTGAGCCAGCATTGCTATGTTGGTACAAGTGGATGGTGTGAGAGTGACCACCATCTTAGGCCTCAGATGTTGCTTGCTAACCAAATGAGTCCACCGAGAGCCTATTAAAATTGGGTCCAGTTGACAGTGAATGGGATTTCGTCTCAATCATAGATGGATGGGCGAACATGGTTTCGGAAACCGGCACCGAGGAATACATTTCGAGATCTTCCTCTCGCCAAGCATTCGCCAAGCATTTTAAGGCTCTGGCAGCACGTGTGTCCTTGCCGTGCCTGGAAAGAATATCTCAACTAGCTCTCCGCAGGAAGGATGGGGGAGGATGCAGTGCCGCCTCGTGCCGCCTCTGCCGAGTTGCCCAAATGTTTTGCTCTCCAATAAACGTGGGCACATGAACCCCTACCATTGGCTGGTTTAGCAGTGGAAGCGCTCACCAGAAAGCTTGTTTTTTTCCCAATTGCATGGCGAGTGGATCACTAATTATCTGGTGTTCGCACCAACCCCAGAACCACGCGTCGCTAGTCCAGACCAATACGAGCATGGGTCCCCCGAGCAAATTGATCGCAAGATCAAGTACCCAATTCAGCCACCGAGCTGCCACAATATCCCTCGCCGAAATGAGGAAGTTTTAAATCTCGTACCCGGGTAATGACGAAATTCAAGTCTAAGCGAATCGTACAAGTCGAGGCTGTGTGCCTCCTCCGAGACCTCTCTATGGACAAGCACGGATATCGGCTTTTTATTGTTTTTTGTTCTCGTCAGCACAGGCATCTTGGTTTCTCACCCTTTCTCGTCCTCCCTCTTTCGTTCTCCCTCTCCCTCTGTTAATTTTTTTTTTAAAAAAAAAAAGATTTCCTTTTGAGCATACAAAATCACCAGAAAGAGAGTAATGGCCATCTTCGAGTCGATAGGCACTTCCCAGACGGCAGCAACTTCACTGGATGGAGCGAACGACATCAACAAGATTCCCCCATTGTCTTTCCAGATCATCACCGACGAGGATGAAATGATAGCGGCCCTACATCTGGTTGCGGACAGTATCGCAGAGCAGCGACAGGTAGCCGCCTCGGCGATCATATTTCATCCTGTTTGCGTGACGATACTCCTCGTGGTATACACCGCCGTCTTCGGTCGGGATTACTTTCGGCGCGATCTTGGGACACTGGTACTTGTGTCCAGTGGCATCTTGATGACGTACTTCCTGGCGGCCAGGTATATGGCCGGTTCATACATTCATCTTGCCGAGAATTTTAAATGGAGAAGCTGGCTCATGGGCCCCGATGGCATGGACACTGTTATCACTGCGAGGTTCGGCAATGAAGTGATCGGGACTGTGGTCATTCGGTTAGACCCACAGGGGTATATGGATGAGAGAGGAAATCGCAAAGGCAGGGGAAAAGGCATCATTCGAGCATGGACTGTCAAAATGCGGTATCGACGGCGAGGCATCGGCACAGATTTACTCACCACGGCCATTCAAGTAGTCGAGGGCAGATACGGATGTCACAGCATTGTCGAGCTTGCGAAGGACCACGCAAATAGCGATATCCCCATTCCGGGCCTATTTTCCGGACCGTTCATAGCACGGGAGGCCAAAGCCGCCCTGATGCTGGAGCGCCTACAGGCAGTTTCGAAGGTTATCCAGGTGCCGACAACCTGAAGAACACCTGAGACACATGGAAACTTTGAGCGCATTCTTACTCTCCGTCCTACCTACTCAGATTCGACAATGGGAAAAGCGAATTCGAAACATGGGAACAAGAGAGGGCCGTTTATCAGGTAAGCTAAGCTCCGGAAACTCCCAAAGCCGTCGAGACTTGGGACTTCTTCTGCCCGAACTAACTAGCATTGGCTAGCGATCTTAACTAGATTCTCCTTTACTGAGAATCCATTCTAAGTATTACGTGCGACCACCATTACCCTCGTCGAATTACCTTCATATTGTGTATACGTATTAGTCAACGATGGAAGAGTACGACACCTTTCTATTATTAGTGCATACTAGGAGTTATACCATATAGTATTGGTGGTGTTAACACTCGCCTCAGTTGGTCATATTGTTCTATCCCTTCTTTGATGGTAGAATTTAATATAGATACTCCGAAATATACATCTATTTATAGGATAGAGCGTGACACACGGGCTTTTGGTCACGGCTTCCCTGTAGCAGGCCGTTAGTAACCAATAGTCTCCCCCTAAAGTGTGATATTACGGTCAGAGCTGCACGGATCTGACTCAATACTTTGAAGATAGCATGTGTTAAAAGGGTGGAGTGAGATTTTCAAGTCGCTAAGACCGGGGTTATAATATGCGTTTGTTGTCATGTTATAACTATACGATATAAATCCCTCCCTCGCTCGCTTTGCCTGCAGACACATCTTCTGCTTCTCTTGAGTCCGATTTCTATCTTACTCGCGCTGCAGTGTCAGCACGCCAGGCCGATATGGCAGTTTGCCATAGTCGCCGCCACCAGAGCTAGGGGATCGCCCTTGGTAGAGCAACTCAAGGTTACATGGATCAACCGTCATTGTCTGGTCAGGGTTTCGGCGAAGTAAATCACCGTGACTGATGTCGTTGGTCCAGGTAGCCCCGCTGTTAGCCTTGCCGGCGAAGGGCTGGCTCTCCGATGTGGCCTGCGGTGTCCACTCCCCGCCGAGTCGATCGGCCGTGAAGGAGCGGAAATACCGCCCTTGTCCTCCAATAGACTCGACGATCATCAGATATTTCTGCTGTCCTTGTAGCGTGTAGACCTGAACTGCCTCGAACAAGTTGTTCGTCGTGTCGCTCAGGATCACTTTCGATTCTCTGCCAAAGTCGCCAGGGAAATTTTCGATGGGCATGCTAGCTCGGTAGATCTTGCCATTGTCCCCTGCAAAGAATAGATACATGGTTGTGTTGTCACCAATAACTGTCTGGTCGATGCAACCGGTACTGGATCCGGTGATGGTTCCAGAGAAGAGAGGTTTCACCGCTGACCACCCATTCGCATCGGTTGGGTCGTTTGACGTCTTGTAAGAGAATGCGGTTGGGCCCCATTGATAGGCGAGCACCCAAATATCCTTTGGGGAAAAGTAGAAGAGTGTTGGCGCGACTGTAGCCCCAGTCATCGCGTTTTGTGGCGCCGTGGCCATGTCAGACCAGTTGCCGAAGAGGCCAAAGTTCATGGAGCCCCAGATCGATCCCGTGTCGTGGAAGGTTGCATATACGAGTATCTGGTCGTTGTAGCCGACGGCGGTAAAGTCTTTCAGCGAAGCCCATCCCGTCTTCGGCTCGCTGAGAACTTCGGTCGATGTCCAACGGTATGTCGACGGAAGATCGCAAGTTGTCTGGGCCGCGACGACGGCCGCCGATACTATCAGCCAGAGGCTGGCTGATAGCAGATTGACCCTGGATTTCATACCAAACATTATGCTGCAAGGCTTTCCTCTCTTGTCAGAAGGGCACCCGGAAAGAGAGGGGCTAGCTATGACGGAGAGGGGTGTGCGTCGGCCGGGGTGGAGACCCGCGAAGTTTATATATACGTCTGAAGCTAGTTGCCTCCGAAAAGATGCCGCACACACAGCTCTCGGCTTGGGCAAGAGTTAGTTCAACACAGACACATTAGATCAATAGAAGCTGAGCTCTAGTCCTCTTTCTTGTCTGGTCGACCAGCTCTTAGCAACTCGGCGGATGTTTTTTCGGACTTAATACATTAATGAAATATGCTCCAACGACAATTCCATATGCGCACCAATCCGATATCTACATACACTAATTCAATTCCACCGTTGTGCCGGGATTTCGTTTAAACTATCGCCGTGGAAATTGTCAAGAAACACATGCAGAGCGCAATTTCCTATCGGGATGGTTCTGCTCGAACATTTGTCAAGTAATTTCTATCTAATCATGTCGATTCTCGACCAATAATGTAATAGTCCCCAAAATAATAATATCCGCATCCTGTATCTAACTGGAGCGGGTTTGACCGTTTGACAGCCGTAATAGTTCCACGAACTGGATTCATTTGCAATGTATGGGTATGGAGTAATGCGGGGAATTGCTACCCAGGTTCGGGCTCTTGTTTGTAAAGTTACCTCAGGGAGGAGGAAGTTGACCAGTTTGACTCCCGGGCCTGCGTAAACTCTGCCGTTGTATTGCCATCGGTGTAGAATATGGAACTCTAGCTGGTGGCTGGAAATGATGAAGAGGGTTCGAGTCTATCCCGCCTCCCAAAACCGTTCCAGGTGGCAAGAGGTCGGAATACATCACGGAATTCAAGACTTCGTTTTCCAGTCAATCTGGCATTCAGAAGATGCGTCATCCGTAGTCGGAGCTGGTACCCAAGAGTAAACATGATACAGATCCGATGTTACTGTTCACGGAAAAAAATATCCCTTAAATATTAATTAAATCTAGCCTTTACTGTAGTGTCGAGATCTATTCTGATATGGTTACGGACCGCTTTCAACACGCCCAGAGTGGGAGCTAAATGCAACTTCATTTCCCCCAGTATCCGTCAATCAAGCCCTTCTCGACGGCTGCGATTTCCAATGCAACAACGGAAGAGTACTGCCGCGACCAAGAAAAGGTACCACACATATACCAAAATCCCGGAATACCTGTCGGTCGCCACCACTGCAGAGAAAAACTCGGTTAGCATGCGATGAGTATTTTATGATAGAAAGGAAAAGTTAAAACTTACGCCAAGGCGTTCCAACTCCTCGTCAAACTCCCCAAACTTGGATGCCTTCTCCCATACCTTGTCCCCCATGAGTTGCTTGAGTTGTACAGTGGCTGGCTCAAATCCCGTGGCTAGAACAACCACGTCGGCATCGACTTTCCGCCCGTCTCCGAGAAGTAGGCCCTCTGGACAGAATTCCCTGACACCTCCTTCGCACATATAGACCTTGATTCGGCCGTCGAGAATCATGGGCGTAGCACCCTGGTCAACGTAAAAGTGCCCACCCTTGAAGAACAGGTAATCGATAAAACTCGAGCCGTCCTCGCCGCGTTTCAGAGACATCCCTGTAGCTTCAAGCTTGTCCAAGAGCTCTGTGTCGTGCTTAATCATCATTTGCGTCATCTCGTAACCAAAGACTCGGGCGACGGCGGTAGGGATGGAGCTGAGGATGAGGTCTGCTTCTTCGGTGCTGACGCCAGGGGTGGTAAAGTGGGACAGGTGGTACTTCTGAATGGCCTCCGAGGAGAAAGACCATGTTGGCTGACGCTGGATCATAGATACGCTCTTGGCACCATGGTTTACAAAGTCCTGGGCCATGTCATGGGCAGTCGTGGCGCATCCAATGACGGTGACGTTCTTTTTGTTAAGATCCGGGATGTTGCTCGCAGACTTGTGTATGCCAGCATGGTACGCCAGACCCTTAAACGAATCGCGACCTGGGAATTCGGGAATGACGGGCTCCTGGCCGAACATGCCGAGGCACATCACCACATGGTTCGCTTGTATCACACGCTTGCCCTCCTTGTCCTGGACGTGAACAGACCACTGGCGGCTCGATTCGTCATATTCGGCCTTTTCGGCAGCCGTGTTGAGCTGAACCTCGATACCCATGAGCTTCTCGTAATGCTCCATCCATCTAGTGATGTGTTCCTTGTCTTGCCAGTGAGGCCAGTTGCTGGGGTACTTTAGGAAGGGGAAGTGGTCTCCATGCATTGTTGTATGAGTGCGGACACTGTCGTATCGCTCCAGCCACGCGTTACCTACTCGAGGACCCTTCTCCACGATCATGCTCCGCACCCCTAAATGTTTGAGATGTGCGGCGAGCGAGAGTCCACTTTGGCCTATACAATTGAAATGAATGTTAGCGCCACGGAGGGCCAAAATGAACGGAAAGAAAACAATGAGAAGGGGGGGAAGGGGAAGAAGAATAACAAAAGCTGATTCCAGCTCCTTTTCTCAAATTCTTACCTCCGCCAACAATCAAGACTTGTAGGTTGTCCTTCGCAGGCGTCGCAGGTCCATTGCCATTTGTCGCGCCGTTAATCTGAGACTGTACAGGCGCTTCCTGGCTCTTCAGTTGCTCCAGCTGGGTCATAACGGTCCAAGCTCTCCATATCGATGGGGCAATATTTGCTAGTCGGACGAGTCCTTGACCACTGCCATATTTAGTGTCGAAAGTAAAACCTGCTTGTATCCATTGCATTCCACCCTCTTCTTCCAGCTTAGGCGCCAGGCCGCCAGTTTTGATAGCTTTCAGATGGCCAAGGTCCGTCTCGGACTCTTTCAGAAACTTAGTAATGGCCTCTAAGCCGCTCTTGCTGTGGAAGTCCCACGACAGAGCGAGGACGTCCCTCCACCAGGACTCCTCAACGAAGAGATCCGAAATATCAGAAAGGTTCTTTTTCTCCAGTCGGTGCTGCAGGGACGCCAGCCAGATGTCGACAATCACGGGAACGGCCTTCTCGTCAGGCCTGACCCCTTCAGAGAGGGATAGGGACGGAAGGGCCGCCGCAGGAGGGAATTCGGACATTGTCGAAAACAAAAAGTAAAGGCAACAAGGGAGGGAACTTTAATCTCGGAGTCGAAGGTTTGCGTGCTTCGATGGCGCGACGATAGAAAGTAAGAAGCTGTTCATGCGGTGTATATAGCTGCATGCATGTCGGCTAGCGGTAATATTCGGCAAGATTAAGTAGATAAGTGCCGGAAAAAGAAGAGATGATATCCAACATAAATGAGCATCGTAATGTAAAGTCTCTTAACAGATTCATACCCTCTGCCGACTTAAGCCTCCTCTTTGGTACGGAGCACGGGGAATGTTCCCCGCTGCGGGGTTGGCCGAGCGCAGTTGGAGCATCGGCAGAGCACTCGAACCGTTTACAATATTACTATTATTCGCGGCTTACTCAATCATCAGTCAGTCCGATTGCGAATACAACGTGAGACAAATGGTACGACTGGCATGTATTCCGAGGGTTACTCCGAAGCGAGCTTCCAAGACATATCGATAATCCGATGGGGGGAAAGTTATAAAACGACGCTAGACTCCCTCGAGTGGTCGAATTTCCAGTTCAAACTCCGAATCCAATTCCACGGACTGGGAATTATAGGAGGCCAATCAGGGAGATTGAATTCTACCCCGGATTTCAAATTTAGGAGCCGAAGCGTGGGTCGATCAGAGCTGGCTGAGCCCAAGCTCCATGGGAGTGGGCTGGAGCTGTCCTGAAGTTGTGGAGTGCACGGAACTAAACCCGTACTGGCATGGCACACGGACACGAACCCCGCAACCAATAAACCCAATCAAGTAAGGCTGTCTTTGACCCCGGATTATAGGAGCCGACCAGGGTCTGAGTGTCAGATCTTACATTGAGGAGGGTTGAAATAAATACCCGGGACATGTTGCATTTCCTTTACGAAGGAGCTTCTTCACGCGAGTCGATGGATCTCACTTGATTCATCAACTTTTTCTAGTTGCCATCCGGCGGTATTGCCATTAACCACGCTCAAGATGCATCCTGACGAATCCCCTGGTAGGCATTTGGTGCACAGGTAGATGCTTATTACTCAACTCTTCATTATTCGGGAATCGGGGGCTAATTGGTAACCCAAGCCATGCTACTGAGGGCGATGTGCCCGGTACCGTGAATTTGAAGGCGGCCGGTAAGTGCATAGTAGCCCAACACTAACACCAACTCTTGAAGGCAGAAAAGCTGACCCGACTTGGTTCTAGAGGGCGATGACACTGCCTATGGGCAGGCCCTTTTCCCCGTCCCTGCGAATGATCCAAACGACCCTCTCCAATGGCCCTCGTCCAAGAAGCTCGCCATCCTAATCACCTGCTCTCTATACTCGTTTCTCTCGAACTCGGCGTTGCTTGGGCCTTCGGTCTATCTAGGCATATATGCTGAAGAGTTTGGCATAACACCAAATAAAGCCGCCGGTCTTATCAACTATCCTAACCTGGCTTTTGGTTTTGGTTCGTGAAAACACAGCAGATTCGGAGTGTTAAAGGGTTTTGCTAACGTCATCCAGGGTCCCTTATTTTGGTCCCACTCTATCACAAGATCGGGCGTCGACCCGTTATGCTTCTCTCTCTCGTCTGCGTATGTGGAGTCGCCTGTGATGCCCTGTATCTCATAGTCCGGCTAACCGTCCTTCCCAGTACTGCGCTGGCCTCATCGCGGCCTCCCAAGCCACGACCTACGCTGGGTTGATGGCTGCTCGTGTTGTTCATGCTTTAGGCTCCGGAGTCTGCGAAGCTTTACCCGTGCAGCTTGTCAATGACATTTTCTTCCTGCACGAACGCGGAACCCGCCTCGGCATCTACACCGGTGAGGAATATGAGCAACTAAGACAAGAGTCCATCCACATCTCGCATATGCTAACGGCCCTGTCCTCACAGTGTGCCTTTGCTTAGGCTCAACAGGCCCGCTCTATGCAGGCTATATGCTGGCGGGTGGTTACGAGTGGCGCCTATTTTTCTACGTCGAATTTGCCTTCGCCGCAGCCCTCTTGATCTTCGCCTTCTTCGTGGTGGAGGAGACCACGTACCATCGCAAAACTCCCCAGGATTCGTCGTCCTCCGATTCGCAAACAGGACAGATGGTGGAAGACAAACCAGCCGCCATCGTGACCGAGGATGTTTCCGAAATCCCTCCACGAAAGACTTTCATCCAAACCCTCAAGTTCTGGGGCACATGGGAGAAGGACTCGCCGTTTTTCGTCATGATGATCCGCGCATTTTCTTACTTCCTCATCCCTCACGTCCTCTGGGTTGTAACAACCTACGGTATCTACATCGGCCTTGGTGCCCTAACCTTCAACTTCACCTTTCCTCTTAAGATCACCGCTCCGCCCTACAACTGGTCTCAACTCAACTCTGGCCTCATTACCATCTCTACCGTCATCGGTTATGGGCTCGCCTTCCTCTTCACATCTTCCTCTGATCGCTTAGCCGCTCGCCTCACACGCCGCAACAACGGTATCCGCGAAGCAGAGATGCGACTGGGCGTAATGCTCCCGGCCATGCTTCTCGCTCCAGCGGGACTCATCCTCTACGGCTTTAGTGCCCAACGCAACCTGCATTGGATCGGCTATTTCATCGGAGTGGCCATGAATCAGTTCGCCAGCTACTTCTACTTCACGTTTACTTTAGCCTACGCCATCGACAGCTACAACTCCAACATCAGTGAGATGCTCATCGCTATGAACCTTGGTAAGCAGGCGATTAGCTTCGGCATGGGTATCAACTTGTTGGAGTGGATCTTGCAGCATGGCTATGTTGTTATGATATCGGGCGTGTTTTGCGGGATCGTGCTTGCAAATAACTTGGCCGTGATTCCATTTATGCTTTTTGGAAAGAGGATTCGCAAATTTATGCACTCGACATTCTTGGCCAGGATGCACCGGGAAAGCATTCGCGAGATTGCCACGCACTAAGCGAGGGACTAGCAGTGGCCTTGTACAAAGTAATACTCCACTGGCGGGAGATTGATAACTACTACCAAATCGAGTTTAATAATGTTAATATAATATCAATGGCGCTTCCTTGCTCAAGTGAAATAGAGGAAGGATTTGCATGTAGGCGTTTCCTTCGCATTCGTAGATGTCAGGCCCAAACATAGAGCAGGGACGGTCATGATGATCCAATACTTCATCATACCTTCAAAGGGACCAACTCTCCCGAAAGGAATAATACGCTACCATACAGTACCCTTGCAACCCCCGAGCTAATTTGTATCTCATAGTCTTTTCAGTCTTTATTTAGAATATATAATGTTCAATCCTAACCTCACGTTCGTGACGTTTTCTCTCACGTCGCGTTATTGTTGGACATGGTTGTCGCTAGCCGCGGACGAAGTATGGTTCACGCCTCACCAATAGCCTGGGGATTTTGAATTTCCAAATGTGCAGGCGCGAATTTTGCAGTAGTTCGAGCCGAGACTGGTACATACGAACACAAAGAATTAGGTCAGTATCTAGAAGATCACTGTCCAAACTCGTCACTCCAGCCCAAAGCACCTCTCACTACTCCTCTTGTCATTACCCCACCAATGTGGCATCGACACGACCTTGCCAGCGCCAAAGAATAAGAAGATGAGCAGCATGTTGAAGTTGAAGCCAGCGTCGAAGGCCGCGGCGAGGATGTAGTTCCAGCGGGCCCATAGAGGATAACGGTACCGGTAGGCCCAGAACATGACGACGAAGCCGCCGATGAAGCTGCTGAGGAAGCCGGTGCTGATATTTCCGTACCAGCGAGACATGCACGAGAAGAAAATCGGAGTGTTCCACAGATGGAACTTGTACCGAGGGAAGGTCCGGTGCAGGGCGAAGACGAGAAGGGGTGCGAGGAGGCCAACAAGGAAACCGTATGGGACAACCTTATAAATTGGCTCCTTGAACAGGCGAATGGGTCCCTATATACGATGATCACTATTAGAACCATAATACAATCTAAAGTGTGCCGGCCGGTTGGAGTCTAATACAGTGAAAGACAACGGCGACGCGCTTGACAGGTTTTATGATATTATTTGGTTAGGAGGAGAGAGTGAGGGCTTACCAATAAAACATATTGGACTGCCATGGTCAAGTTGCTAGCGAGACTTTGCCCCGTCCATTGGTGCGTGGGGTCGACAAGCTCCCCGGTCAAGTAATCCCTCTTTGTATTCAGGACCCATCTAACTACTGCATAGTTTATTGGGATTCCCAACAGACTGCCAAACCACTGGGCGAAAAAAACGGTCTTTGGAGGGCAATGCTGTACCAGAGTCAGTATGCTTAGTGGCGTTGTCCGGAGAGTTTCCATCGTTGGAAAACCTAAAGCTTACCATGTAATGCCCGAGCTTTTGGTCCTAAGATTTAGTAAATTTGACGTTAGCCGACTCCATACAGAGATAGATGTGCTCACCTGGGTGTTCTGCATGGCAATTCCGACTTGGCGCCTGCCAAGTATCCTGATCACATCACACCAGTCCCTGACCGCATCAAACGTCTGAGTGGAATGCACCAGACACTTAACGTAGGATTACACATACCTGGAGAAACCATTGAGCACGATACCAAGCGTTGCCTGCTATGCTTCCGTAAACAGAGGCCCCGGTAGGGTTCTTATGACCATGTACTGCATTAACCATCAAACCATAGAGGAGCTCATTCGTTGTCCCAACTTCGATCTGAAAATTGCTCAACGCGTAGAGCCAACCCATGGGCAGAACGATGACAGCGCCGGTCCCAACGGCAACAAGCAGCGTCCACCATGGGATAAATAAACTGTTGGTAGCGACGATGACAAGAAGAGAAATAAATGCGGCCGAGAAAAGAGTCAGATACCACCAGAGTGGGACGTCATCATAAGCGCGCTGCAGAATGCTGAGCTGGTCATTGTACTGGTGGGCAATAGACCTGGACTTGCCCCGTGACCGCGCCCGGAGTTTGATAACCGCATCTTTGATTTGTTTGTAACCGAAAAGGCCAATCCAGACAAGCGCAGAGGTGTAGCTGGCATAATCGAAGAACATGCTGCCTTTTGGTCAGCAGGTGACAACTCAGGGTGGGTAAGGGGTTGGACTCACTTCCATCGAAGCTGCAGACTCGCGTACGGCGGCCCCAGTTCCTGGTAAGCTGTTTCGTTGAATGAGACGTCGGGAGTCAAAAGTTGGGTCATGGGATAAGAAGTCCCATTCTCTATCCCAGTGTTAGCGGCACTCGTAAGGCTAGGATCAAGGCATAACCACTGTCATCCACCCACTGTCATCTCCGGAATCAGAGAGAATGAAATAAGGAAGGCAGCTAAAAAAAAAAAAAAAAAAAAAAAAAAAAAAAAAGAAAAAGAAAAAGAAAAAGACCACACACCTAGGAACAACCGATTGGACATCAATTTCTTGTCCCACTCTCCAAGTCCCTTGAATTTAGCAATTGGGAGCAGAATCCAGCAGTTGACGACGAAAGCGAGGAACATCACCACCTGCGTCCACCACGGCGTGAGGAACAGAGAAATGTACGCGGCGACGCTAGACCAGTCCAAGGAGAAGTTGAGAACGCCCATGCCACCAAAGCCAGCGCCGACAAAATTGGCAGTCGGGTTATTTGGGGCGAACCAGCAAATGACAGCGAGACTGCCCAGCATCGGGAAAACATATTCGGGAAGGAATTGCCAGAGGATGACAGCGAGTAACACCCACCAAAAGACGCGAGTCTGCTTTCTGGATAAAGCTGTCGGGTGCGTGCGCTGCTTTTTCTGGGTCTCGAAGAGGGCGGTTTGACAAAGACTGTTATACCGGTTTGTTTGTCAACCTGGTGATCTATCCTCCGATCGGATGATAACCAAAATACTCACGCCTGGAACCACGGGTAGATGGGGTCGTAAATTAGGAATTGGCGGGCAATCGCCGCAAAAGAGTATCCTGTCCAGACGATACCCCACATGAAGAAGATAGCCACTGCAGGGTTGATCCGCTGGCCAAAGTACAACTCGGCAATCGAGACAGGCGTATAGCCCAAGTTATAGGTGGCACCAGACGCTGCAGTGATGGTGATGAGGACGTGCTCCTTGACGCTGAAGGGACCCGGGTTCGTGTTGAAGCCCCACTGGGTGAAGGGGATACGGACCTGCCGAGAAGGCAGCGCTTTCGCCCACCAGTCGCCGACGTAGCTCGAGGCGAGTTGTACAAAAAAGATTGAATAGGGAGCATAAGTAGTACGGTAGTGGCTCATCTGACTGAGAAAGGCGCCGGGGACAACAAAGATGATTGATAGAATAAAATAGCGGAAGGTAAGGGTCGGCAGCGTTGGGTCATCATGTAAACTCACTACGCGGCGCACATAGGGCGGGATATCGCGAACACGAGGGTCGTCCTCAGAGAACGCAGTTTCTCCAGAGGAGTCGTTATCATCGGTAGTTGTGAATAAGAATGGGGGCTTCTCGGACATAGGAATATCGTCTGCGCTGTTCTTCTCATCATCCCTGTTGGCGGCGGAGGCGTCGCTGCCGATCGGCGACGTCACCTCCCGCGGGTCGGTCGAGATTTCTTTGCTGTGAGTCGCAGTCATGGCGAAGCGTGGTCCCCACAAAAATTAAAGAAGCTTTTGCTAACGTCCAGGCAAGGCCTGCCAAGACGGAAGGCTCGCATGGCCCTTTTATTATTTCGCAAAAGTTACCGATACTACAATTATCATCGGTTACAACCGCAACTCTTGGTCCCGCCCTGGCACGAAGGGCTACCAGAAAGGGCAGGTGGTTATTTTGACAACCCCATGCACGCTGCAAGGAGCGATGATGTGATCAGAACCGCGATCCTATTATTACTCTGTCTGACCATTGATTCGGGCTGTTCTCACGCAACCACCCGGATATTGTGCCGAGCGGCTAGAACCACCGACCACACCATTGATCAACGTGAAAACACTGCCTGTCGCCAGAGAGGATCTCGATAACGTCATTTGTCCAAAAGGGCCCGGGAAAGAACTTTTGGTGCCGAGAAGAACTTTTGGGGTCTATTTAACCAGGGAACTGGCGCGGAAAGAAGAAATATTGACGGATCGGTCCACATGGTCAAGTCCCGGAGCGACTAAAACATTAGCAGTCCCGCCCTGTCAATACTGCATTAGTAATAATTCTAATTTTATAATGTAATAGCGGACTCCAGCTATTATTCGATGTTACTCGACTGGCACGAAAAGGCTGACTGGCATCACGAATGGAAAAGGGATCATAAGAGGAAAAGTTGGGGATGCTAGTTTCGGACGAAAAGCTATCCGCTAGTTTGTTCGGTTTGCGAGGGCTGATCAGAGTAAGGAATGGGTTTCGAGGTGGATACGCTCGTTCCGCCGAGTTAGTTAAGGAACTTCAGCACAGAGAGGATCCCTTTGGCTTCGTTCCCGACTAGCTTCCAACAGAACCAGCGCTCCTTTAGCTCCCAGCACTCGGGCTAGGCTTCAACAGGCCTGCTTCGATTTCAGACTAAGACGTGGTCCACCACGGCGAGAAAAGGTAGAGACGTTATCCAGCCAAGGCCAGGGGGCCGGGTGATGATATTGGCAACTTGCCAAAGCGGAATTTTACTAATTTTACTAATTATCTCATAAGAAAAAAGCACGATTTTCATGTTATCGTCGAACGGATGATCGAGTTAATGGCATTATCGAGCCCCTTGACGTCTGGTATTGACTTCATATTCGACCACCTACGAGAAATGCCAATAGATTCGGGCGCGTCCAAGCTGACAGATCAGCTCAAAGTTACTCCTTTCCCACGCCCCCACCCGGCTTTTGTGCATACCAGAAATAATAGTTAAAGTATCGATGTACCTCCGTGTCCTCAAGGGCCTTCCTCGCCATCGCCAAGACCACTTGACTTTCAACTTGCGACATTCCCAGGGCCTCAAAGGGCCGCCCAGCAAAGGTTGGCATAATGTCGACTACGGCAAGCTTCTGATACATCCCAACGAGACGGAGAGTCTTGTCCTTAGCCCACACGCCGATAGGTACTTTCTTCACGTGGCACTGTATGTTTTCAAAGCCGGCGGCGCGCAGGAGAGGTTCGAGATTCGCGGGAAGCGTCGTGTTCATCCCAAAGGTGGAAAAGGCCTCGCCGGCAAGATCATACATTCTTTTCACGGGATCATTGGGTAGCATGGTACCGTCGTCGCAGAAGGGGGCGCCGTGGAGCTCTTGAAGTTCGATCCAACCACCGGGCTTCAGAGCACTAGAGAAGAATTAACGCGCCGGATATTATTTCAGGAGGAAAGCGGGCTACGTTACTCAAAAGCATTCTTCAAAACTCTGGGCACATCTCTCAGGATGATGACCATGAACCTGAAATGAACAAGGTCGCAATCGCGTATCAACCAGTCCAGTTCACAGTCATCTACAATGAAGTCCACATTCGGAGGGACCCATAGAGGTTGGATAGGCGATAGGTCGATGCCACGCACACGAGCACTGGGATACCTATCCCCGGCTTTTCTCGGGTGGTGCTGGTTATTATTATGGATAAGAAGCGGATGGCGGGGACCGTTTCAGCTGTCACATACCATCGATTGCCCATATCCCTTTACCACCGTCAAAGGTTAGCAAAAGTTACAATCCCCTCACCAGGAAACAGGAGGGGGAGACGATTGAAGAAAGGGTTAATCCTATACCAGTACCAGTGCCAATATCTAATATCAGTTGTGGATCATCACCGATCGGGGCATAATGCAAGACCCCGTCCGTAAGCTCAAGCATCATTACATGTTTCATGTCTTCCCGATTCTGCTCAATATCGTCGTTCGGTACTGGATACCGACTGTTCTTGAAGGAATGGTAGCGTCGCCCATGTTCGTACGTATGCGCATAGACGGTTGAAGTAACTGACGTTGTCGCAACAGATGAGACATCGTAGCCTTCAGCCAAAAATTCGTCTTCTTCCCCAGGCTCACTCGCAGCCTCGATTGGGGGAAGATCCCGTGAGGAGTGGATTGACTCTCTGGCAGGGCTATCGTCTCTCTCTGCGACTTCAGAATCGGCAGGCATCGCGTTAGTGTCGACGCTAGCAAATTTAGCGTCTCTTTCGGGGTTTTGGTTCGACAGGGGTTGATGCTAGGGCGGGCCGCCAGGTCGTTTGGAAGGGGCCAGGCCTGTGGGATGGAGTACTTGGTCGTAGTGTCGAAGTACTCTCAACAGAGACTATGACGAGTTCTTGTAGATCAAACGCAACGAGAAGAGCTGAATATCGTATATTTCAAGACTACGCGGTCTTTCTTGTGCATCAAGCGTGGGTAGGATTTCGTCCCAAGTTTATGCCCCTCCTCCTTGATGGGCAGATTTGAAGGGCTGGGTTGAAGCAGCCTCGGTTGTATTCATTGTATTCACGTGATATATCACGTGCATCTTCTCAACTCAGTGTTGAAAACAAGGTTAATCTAGTGACTACATTCCGAGAGCTCTACTAATTCTTCTCTAGTACATCCCGGCCTATGCGACCGATCCAACGATGCGATATGAGTTAGGCCAATTTCCCGTGTCCCTTCGTGGCCATCAGCATTTTCCCGACAGTCTCGATGTTAAATGAGCGCTCAGCTTCTTGCAAAGACTGCTCCACTGCCTTTGCACCCCGCTCAATTAACTCGGCATCGAACGCCGACATAACCTTCTCTCTCGCGGCTGGATCTGCGCACTCAGACAGTTGGAGGAGGGCCTGAACGTAATTCTTGACGTCCTCGATCGCGTGCTGTAATCCTTGGCCGCGGTCTTCTCGCCCCACAAGACCAACCCATCAGCGACGCACTCGAGAATTGTCCCTACATATTATTGTCCAACTTACATGGTAGCATTGGGTGGGCAGCATCGCCCGCCAAGGTCACTCTACCGGACCGATTGTCCCAAGGAATAGGAACCCAGTACTTCATCTCATCAATATTGCACGGGCTGTGATCAGGGGTCCCATCGATTGCCGACTGGAACGGCTCGCAGAGATCACTGGTGTTCGCCTTGATATAGTCAATGGCCTCCTGGTCTCGTAAATCAACGGGTTCACCTCGCCATATCTTGACCCAGAAGGTAGCCCAGGTCGACATATCGGCAGGATCATCAACGTACATGACTGTTGTAAACTTGCATGTCAGAGTTAATGTCTCGGAATAATGTGCTAGCACGGCGCCACCGCCAACGCAACAATAAAACGCGGAATATCAGGGTGAAAGAGCAGGCTTGCCTCCGCATCCAGCAACTGCATCTGTGCCCATCATTATTGCTGCCACTGGGTGCGCATCCACAATTCGCTTTATCTTCGCGACGTCACCATCGTTAATGATGCCGGTCGCGAACATCAAACCCGAGCGCTGAGAGCGAGCAGCGTCATGCCCCAAGAGTAACTCGCGAACTGTTGATGACGTGCCGTCTGCGCCAAATACGAAGTCCACATCGACGCTATCTCCATCGTGAAAGGCAAGTTGCACGGAATCCGCAGTCGACGATAGTTTTGTCAGCTCCTTGCCCCATCGAATGTCAATTCCTGTCATGAAAACTTCACGAAGTCTTTGACGTGTAATGCGTCTCGCCCCCGGCGTCGGACTCCTAAATAAAATGTCACCCGTGACGCCGTTGAAACAGGGCAGACACTCGATCTCTTCGTTGAAATCCAAGTGTGGGTTGCAGACTGCGCGAGGGAAACTCTGCCAAACTTCGTCGGGAAGGAGATTTCGCAAGATGGGCAGGGCCCAGTGGATGAGGATGGTCCAGTCACGGCTGCGGATGTTGGAGTTTACCTCTCGTTCGAAGACGACAACGTTGGTAAAGCCATTCTACTTGACGTATATTCCTGTAAGCTTCTGTTTTGTTCCAGGACACATAATACAAGCGAGCGGGGTACGATCTTGGGGCTCTAGGACCTTTTTCAATGCCTGCGCGGCGAGTAGTCCGGTGATACCGGCGCCGATAATTGCAACTGGAGAGCTCATTTTATGACCCTAAGAGAGCTGTTCTGTAGAAATGATACTCACGGGGCAAGCAGTCTAAGAGAGTATGATCATTTGCGGCATTAGGGGGGAACTAATTCTAGCGCCAGCGCGAGTTTTCCTCCATTTTTCCCCACCTTTTGTGCCAAGCAGAAAATATGCATTGGGGTATCAAGCTAACCCAACGAAGCGCATCGTCGTTGCGACTTCTGCAAGTCGTTTCGGGTGAGAGGGACCACGTGATGTGTTGAAGAATCACATGAAGAGCTTGATGAAGAATGCAGTGCAATGCAGAATCTGTGAAACCCACATCCAACTCGACAATAGAAATAGCACGTTTTTGTTTCGTCAGTCACAAATGTTCCAAATTACAAGGGACAGCATATTAAACTCGGAAGATGCTTGGCCTCGTGCTCATTCACCCTTGCACGTATCATCAGTGAGACATCGATCGATATCCTGCCCGATGTCTTCCTACGTCCACATCGTCGTATTCCGGCGAACAATCCAATTGATAACCCCAACTGCAAAATCACCCCTCTTCCGCATCACTGGCTCGATCCTCTCTTTAAACTTCTCATCGGTCACGTACCTGGAGGCTGTGAGCCGGCACACGATCTCGCGAAGGGCAATATCCCCCTCAACAACCTTCTCGTAGAGTTCATCCACCGCGTCGGGGAAACCCTCGCTAGTGGCGTAACACATCTCTGCCGCGCGGTAGAATCGATCACGGGCTAGTAGGCGGAGGGAGGGGACGTCGTAGACATGGGCCATGATGTAGACGCGGAGGTGGATAAGGAGCTCCGCGTCGAGATCTCTAATGTAGACCTTCGCATCGATGGGATCACCGGGAGAATTAGGTAGCGGGGTATCGCTGGGACCAAAGTCTTCTGACTCCTCTGCTGGCTCGTCGGCGTCTTCCTCTTCCTCTTCCTCCTCGCCTTCCTCATCCCACTCTTTTCCGTCCCCTTCGTTATCGTAGACCCCGGGTTCTTCATCGAGGTTTTCGGCGACCTCCTCAGGGGTCATCTTAGATGTTTCCGATGGCTTTTCTGGGTTTGGAGTGACCCCGTCATCGTAGTTGCCTGTGTACAGAAACTGGAGGAAGCGGCGCAGGGTTTCCGGATCATCCTCTGGAAGCTGTATTACCCCCGTTGAAGCTTCCTATCATGCTATTACTTAGCCTGCACGTTCACTCAATTAGGAGTCTATGGGTGGGGCATGGTACTTGGAATTGGCCCGACAGCGCACGATCAAAAAAAGGTGACTGAGGACATACGATGGCCCTGTGTGCTGAGAAGGTTGTCTCGCCGCAGACAATCTTCATGTCAGAGAATTTCCCAGAGAGGTACAGCTTCGAAAGAGCCGCAAAAATGCACGTCGTGCGTAGGTGATCAACCGGGTCGTCATCAGGATCGCGATGCTCCGCACCCGTGGAAGATGGTGCCTGTGGAGATGGGGGCCGAGGCATCCTATATCGGGACACTTCAAGGTTGGAGCTTGACACTGGATTGATGAGTTATGATATAAAATGCAGAGAAGGGCCTGAAAACGCGGCCAGATGAAATATCCTGAAGAAGCTGTTCGGGATTGAGTCTGGCGCTGGAGTCGCGTCGCGTTTCGAGAGCCTTCAGGTGCTGCCCAATCGGGCTTAAAACGATTCCCCCCCCGCATTCCAACGGTGGCCCCGGCCAGGCTTCACTCCTCACTCTCCGCGATTAAAGGTTGGAGGAAAAAAAGGTAATAATTCCAAGGTATTTAATTATTTAAGTAATTTGAAGGCTTGGTATCAAACGACCGATCATTTTACCTTCTTCCTTGCTTCCAGCGGATGCCAAATATGCAGTTTCAAAGGGAATTGCCTGGGTATGAAAAGGTAAAGTCAAGAAGAATTTGTTCCCACAAAAAGCACTGAATGAAAATAAGATCTAGGGACTGGAGTACGCTGCGCGCTTCTCGATCCGCAACCAAAATTTCTCGATCATCCATATTCCCTAAGTCGTCCAAGATACGCACATTAGCTGTCGAAAGTTTAAATCACCAGTATCCCATGTTTAGGGAATCTGAACCTACAAAATTCGTTATTTCTGCCGGTTTCTGCGCGTTGGCAATAGAAAAGTCGAATCGCCGAAATAGCTGTGGCGCAAGTCAGCACTCGTCGGAGGATCAGGGAAGTCTAAACGCCGGATCCTTACCTCGACAAAAATCTTGTTGAACTCCATCAAGGCAACAGGCCTCCCCAAACACTGATACTTGCCGTAGTGGAAGACGAGATCAACCGTGCTAGTCATTTTCGCCAGTCGAGCCTGATCCGTCTCCTCTAGCCAGCGTTCCGGTCTGAAGACATCGGCATCCTCGCCGAAGATGGTTTTCGAATGATGGATGCTAAAGGCTGACGAGCCGATCTGGGTGCCAGCTGGAACGAAAATGCCATGAATAACGTCGCCTCCAGGAGGCACCTGCTTAAAAAATGGACCCGAAGCGGGAGGGTTCATACGTAACGCCTCCTTAATCACGGCTTGGAGATATACGAGGTCCTTCCCCTCCGAGTTCTTGATGGGTGACGAAATCTTCGCGGCTGCTATGGCGTCGTCAATTTCCTTCTGTAGCCTTTGATAGGCGCGGGGGATCGTAAGGAGGTTGAGTAGCACAATTCGGATAGTTGTCGCTGATGTGTCGCTGCCCGCCATCACTTGGAGGAGCGCCTCTCCTGATGCTTCTTCCTGCGTAAGTCCGTGGCGGATGAACGAGCCAAGCATGTCGAATTTCTGCTCGGCGCCAGGCTTGTAACGTTCCGCTACGGCCTTGTTTGTCACACTATATCCAGAGACAAGATTGGTCAGATTGGCTTGTTAAAACAGTTTGTGGGATATTCCAAGGAAGAAAGGGGGGAACGTAGCAGAAGAAATGATAACGTGGGGATACACGTACCCTATGAATGCCCCGAATCCAACCTTATCACTGGCCTTGGGAAACAACCCCCGAAGAAGTCGTGAGTGAACTATCCTAGCGAGCCAAGGTACGTGGATGATAACTATCATCGGAGGAATAAAGGCCTTCGTGATCTTGATGTAGTCAAATACGTCATCATCCTTCTCTAGGAAGCCAAAGGCCTGCCCGAAGGCGAGGTCGCTGATGACATCGAGGGTGAAATACTGTCCTTTCTCGCCAAAGTCCATTGGACGATATTCTGTACCGGTTGAGATGTACTTCTTCTCGATGAGCTCGATGAATTTGGCAATCTGGGTATCAATGGTTCCTTCCATCGAAAGGTTTTCCTTGCCAGAGTACTAATGTATTTTTTGGACCCTGTTAGCTTCCACGGGTAGTTCCGCATTCTGTCAAAGGGGTTGGCAAGAGTTGAAGTTACCCCGGCAGCCATTTTGGCACGCAGTTCTCGGTGCGCGACTTCGTCCCGCATGGAGACTAGGTTATCCCGGCTAGGATCTAACTTTTGGGCACCATGCCCTAATGAATGATTGTTAGATCCAAAAGAGCACGAATGCCGCATGACGTCGATATAAACTTACAAGGCCCTCGTGTGTAGGGCGACCTCACAGCCATCATCTTCCGTAGCACCTCGGGATCGTCTGTGAGTAGTTCATTTGGTCCGATCCGAGCCAGCGATCCTGTCAGCCATTAGCGACCATTCCGAAAAGCGTGATAGGGTCTCGGCCGAGATTGGCTGCACTCACCGTATTTATCCGTCACTTCCTTGAAAGAATCAGGCGCCGCCCCGTCGAGAGTCACCTTGATCATCCAATAACTAGATAAGCTGGCCCAGAATGGGCCTGGGATATGCGATAGGCGGTACCATTGATAGACCACGCGGGCGGAATACGCCGCGACCAGCAACCCCAAGAGCCCACCAGTAGCTGTCGCCTTCGGCAGCTCCCGCAGTGAGGAGAGCGCCGATAGGACGGACGTGCTAATGGACGACTGGATATTCATGCTTGTGTTCTTCTTTCTCTCTCCTGTCGTTTTCACGCTGTCCCGTCCTGTCTCCTCCCCCAGACAATGGGTTGGAGGTTGATTTTGAAGCAGCTCAAATCCACAAAGCTTCGGTTTTTGAAGCAAAAGTGGAGACGAGAAAGGAGACAAGATGAGGGAGGGGTGGGGTTAAAGACGTTGGCTGGGCTACTCCATTGTCTCATTTGATCTGTCCGCGCGCGGAGGACGAGTTGGCCCGTCCCGCTGGGCCTTCGACTTTTGGCGCCATTCTACAGACTCAAAGAGGAATGTATTGATAGGCTAGCGGTGTACCCGTACCTTGTCCTCGGAGGCAAAGGATGGAGTTGGCAGTAGTGCCGAATTCCGTGGTGAGGATGTAACTTAGAATCTTACGTAAATATTCTCATTCGACGTATTCATTCAACGAATGGGCAGGTTTCTTCGTATCCATGGAAGGAAGGAAGCCAGGCCGCAAGGGTCCTGGATGACATTCATGTTCTGTCGAGAGTATCCTAAACACTATCCTGTTCTAGGATTAGTTCGGCCACATTCGGGTGGTCTTGGTCCCGCCTCATCCTTGTCATTTTCAAACTAAGGACTTGGCACCTATCAAAGGCGTTGATAACAATCTATTTTCGTCGATCTACCCGCGGACGAAAAAACACCCCAAGCCAAGAATGGAACCGACTTGGTCTTGAGGTGCCAAATCGCATATTCTGAATGGAATTTGAGAAATCGTGTCTTTCACGCAAAGGTTTGGTAAAATAGCATTATCGACATCCGATATGACTCGGGAGAACCGTAATACATTCCTTGTGCTTCTGTTGAAACGCCGTGACGCTTTCCGTTGACGTCCGCCAGATCCACGGTCAACAGCTCCAACATGGAGTGGCACTTCGCAACCCCTGCTTCATTTCAGATCCCAGAGCTCCGTATCCGGGTTGCCATGTCAGAGGACGCATGCCATGCCTCAGCCAGTGGTGTATTTCTATAACCGCTACCCGATAATAGCAGTCACGAGACAGTCAATCAGTTCAGTCTACTTCCAGAAAGATCACGACCACGAAGGGCCCGCAAAACTCGCTCTCAAGTCAAGCATGGCCTTCGGGGATTGCTACTTTCAAGAGCAGAGACGATGGGGATACCGGGTGTGAAAAGAGTTGAGGTTGCCGCCTTGAAGATCGGAACTCGCTTATTAAGGAGGAGAGGGATGTATTGCTGCAGTGACTCCAGAGCGCTCTCTGGATCATTTAGAGACTCGACAGTCTCCTGCATGCCTTTTCCTTAAAATTACCTTGTATTTATTTGTGGACCAGGTAGGCTATAGCTTACTCACGGTTACTACTAGGGATGAAGATACCAAGATGCAGTTGAAAGTACCAAAACGCTGCTCTTCATGTCGTCGCTACCATTATTTAGAAGTTGATGTACACGATCAAGCCGCACCACGTCGAAGGGCCGTCATATTTGCATAGATGATGACACGCAACAGCCAATATTTCCAACGGCTGAGGGCGCCAACATAAATCTTCAAGGCGTATTATTCTCCAAATTCTTCCAACTAGATCCCGGCCATGACTGGCACTGGAACAGAGGTCATCTGTCGGTCAATATAGCCTGGGAATCTTCACCTGTTTCCAAATCATTTTGTTCTTAGGAAGATTGGATTAAGACTATGAGTTAGCATCCTCCTCCTGCGGTATTCCGCTCGACTTATAGATCTTCAAATTCCTTCTTCAACTGTCTTTCCAACTTTTCCCATTGGCCCCTTACTTTGTAAGCCGAGGTCCAGTAGTTGCTTTTACTGTCCTTGCCAAAGACGAAAAACCCATCCGCGGGCTTGACAGGCCCGTGGTTTTCTTGAACATATCAAGGCCTGCAAGGAACATTGCCGCCCTTGGGACCTTGCGTGCTGGTGCAAAATCAAGATTGAACAGACCAGCTTTAGACCAGTTGGAACTGCCGATCTGGGCCATGCCGCCATCGCCAAAGATAATGATTGGCAGGCCAGTGCCAGATGTCCGCACCATCGAGTAGTAAGCTTCGTGCTGAGCCCGCGTCCCCTGTTGATTAATTGCCCGCCGCACCTGGCATGCAAGCCAACTCAGTGGCTTGCTAGCGACGTCCCCTGCGCTTACAAGGATGTTGGCCCAGCCAAAGGCATTGCCAACATATGGGTTTGTAGCAGAGTTGGGAATGAGATCACCCTCAAACGCCTTGCGAAGGGACATGGCGATGGATGCAGCAACCTGAGAGTGACAAGGCGGGGTTAGAGTGTCCTGGGACCAAATGAGTTCTTAGTTGTCAATACATACCGTCCTACTAGGGGTCATGCCCATGGATGTGACGACGGAGCGTATTGTCCAAGCTGTTAAGATATCATTTCCAGTTAGGAAAACCTTGGAGGCGTCCTCACCGTTCTGGATGGCCGAGGAGCGAAGCTCCTCAAGTGCTTTTTCCAGCTGTGGTCGCCAGTATGTCTCAGGAACGCAAACCATGCGGTTCTCCTTGGCTCGGAGGAGCATATCAATCCCATATCCCAAGCCCCACTTAATGATCCACCCACTCCAACTCGGCGATCAGTAAGGACATGTGGCTCTGTGGCGGGCCGCGTTCCTTGGGCCAGTACGTCAAACGGATCCGAATCGGGATTGCACGGCGTGGGGATCTCGTCTTCCCTACCCCAGAGCATAGCGCTCTAGCCCTCAACAATGTACTGCATACCGAGTGCATCAAAGGCAACATGCTACCATTGCAGCACCACGATGGTCTTATCGGTGAAGGAATTGACACGCAGTCCCAACACTAGCTTGTCGGAGGCGAGGTAGTCCTTGATGCCGCCCGGTTGATAACCAGACTCCCATGCCAAGTCCGCGAGGTCATCTGGATCACCAACAACAGCCGGGCGGCTACTTGGTTTTGGAATTCGAGAGGCCGCTGGACGTGATGCCGCAGATACGCCGTGGTCGACATGAGTAAATGTTATTGCGGGTCTCTCAGCTGTGAACTCTACAGGAATGTGCCATTCGATCTTGCCGGAAGCCTGGTACATACGGCGGTTCTCGGTTAGGAAGGGCGCTGCCAACGGTAGTTTTGAAAAGAAACGTGAACCCCAGGAGAGCTTACATTCTTCTTCAGCCGCCCTCCCAATCTCTCCCATCCTTTTCGTCTAACTAAACCTTCGAGTGACAGCCGGAGCTTTTCCGGGTCAAGCACATTGTCAAACACGAGCGATACAGCCATGTTATTGCCTTGAACGAGAAGACTGTTCTCGAAAAAGTGGAGCGGTACCACCCTGTCACCAGGTCGCGGCTCCACGACTTGCCGACGCCTAAGGAGAGTATCCATTGCAATGCTCAGTTGTTCGGAAGGTGGTATTGGTCTGTGCCTGCCAGCACGAATGAAGGATTCAATGGAAAATAACCACGGAGGATCACCAGATTGCCAGCACAAGCGCGGGTGGAAAACCATCAATATAAAAGTGCAGACCCGATACCTCGCCGCTGAAAGCATATTCCCGTCACACAACAACAGCCTGAGCCCAATTACTTACCGACTTACCGAAGTCATTACTCCCTTAGTAACCCCTGCCCCAGTGGGCCGGCTCAGAGGAAATTCCTCCGGACGAAACATATCTTTCAAGGTTGTACCTCAGTAGAAACAGACTTATCCAACATTGGTTTCGAACATTAATTCGTACTTGTAGTTTGCAAAGGATGCCTGGCCAGGGGCGTCGTGCTGCAGCATGTTTTGTTGATATGTAAGTAGTGCCATCATACCATGCGCTGTGTATGACTTGTCGTTTTCAGTTCAGGAATTCCCCTTTTTAATTCACGATATCGTCCTCCCTCCTACCTCGGTTTACTAAGGTAACCCATGCACCGTAGTATGTTACAGATGATCTCGCGAGCAGTGACTAGGGGGGTTGCATAGAGAAGGAGCATACTCTGGTAAGTCACTAGACAATTCGGACATGGTCTGCACCTTTAATTTGTTTTCTGCGCAAATTCCCCGTCCACGAGAGACTAGTATATAGTGGGTGTTAGGTACTATTAGATGTTGTTTTACTTTTGCCAGTAGTAACGCGAATATAAGAAGATATCACTACTTCCCATTTGACTCAAGAGCATTACTCTTAAGTACATAGGTTTGGTTTTTCCGATGACTTTGCTGCGCGAAGCCGCATCACATCACCGACCATGGATCAGCTCGCGATGTCCCCCACCTAGAACCTATAACTCTATATAGATTAGTACGGCGATCGCATTCTACGTCACCTATTTTGTAGCTACTATTCTCCCTAGACTTCGTCATTTCCAAGCTACAAAGCTCGTTAAGAAAGTAGAAGTTGCTCTAAGTAAGTTTCTTAGGAGTTAACTTCTAAAACTTTAAAGGCGATACTCACAACTATATCCATTCGTTAATATAGTCATTCTAACACTCTCTTACGGGTGTACTCTAATATATTTCGTAACCCTAATCAATCGTGAGTTCCACGGCGCTGCTTAAGACAATTCAAGATACTAAATTACACTAGTAATAAGCCATAGCTAAAGAAGGCATATTAGTTAACTAACTATAGGAGATCTCATTAAGTTCAAAAAAGCAAGCCGCCCGGAAAATAATACGGCAAGTGTCCTCATAGTAAGACAGCAGACTAACAGCAAACAGGGCTTACTTCCCAACACCTTAACGTACTTAATAATACTATCTATCACCAAGACGGCCATACTATATATCTTATATTATATCGACCCCTCCCTTATTTATCGCTCCACTGTTATAGTTATCAGCATCGCTATTTTTAACTATACTCTCGTCTTAACTATTATTACCAGAGGTCTATACAGCCCACTAAAGCAGAGAATATTAAAGTATTTAGAAAACATAGCCCTCTCCTAGGCTATTACAATCCTAATACTAGCCTATTAATAGTATTAGGTAGATATAACTAGTAATAAGATTAAGATATTATCTATTAGTAGTAGAGTAAAGTAGTTAAGTAGTATTTATAAGATATAAGTAAGAAGTATATATTTAAGTATAGAGGTATAGTTATATTTAAATTAACTACTAGAAAGTCTTAAAAGATAAACTAGATATATAAAGTAAACTATAGCTTATATAGACATTTCCCTTCTAAGCTCTCCTATATAAGTTAGTTTTTAAGTTAATTAATTAGTTACTTAGGTTTATAATCAATTAGTTACTTATTAAGTTAACTAATTAGTTACTTTTTAGTAAAAGCAACTATATAACTTATAATTCTACTATACTATACTACTTCCTTATAACCTAGTTATAGCTATATTATAATATAATCTCCCCTCTCCCTTAGTCTTTATCTTTAAAGACCTATTAATTCTTAATTTCTTTTCTCTTCTATAAATATACTTATACCTATTCCTCCCTTATTTCCTTAACTATATAGAATTATATTTTTAAATCTTATTTCTCTAGAATAGTTATATTTAAAATTAATTAAGAGTATCTAATATAGGCTATTAATAATATTCTCTCCTAATAATATCTTTTTAAAATACCTAAATACTTATTTTACTTTAATTCCTATACTCCCTATAAGTATATAGTCTAAGAAAAGTAGTCTTATTATAAATACTATATCTCTTTTTATTAAATTAACTATAATACTAGGGGAGTTATAGATTCTACTTATAAATTTTCTCCTTCTTTTAAGTTTTAGTATTTTATTAACCTATTTTTTAATTAATTAGCTAGAGTAGGAGTAGTTCTACCTAAAGTAAAAAGAGAAGGAGGCTAAAGTAGATATTACCTACTACCTTATTATTCTTAATACTACTATATCTTATACTAGTTATCTTAAAAAGGAAAAAGAACTTTATAAGAAAAGGGTATTAGAAGTTATTTATCTAAGGATAGAATAAGTTACTAAAGAGGATATTACTAAGAATGTTATATCTATTATTCCTAAATTAAAGATTAACTAAAGCTTCCCTTTAGATCTAGTATTATTAGATCCTTTAGTTTCTTTAGGTATTTCTAGTAAAATATAATAAGAAGTTACTAGCTCCCTATTAAATATTTAATAGGCTTTTAAGTATTTTTACTATATTTAAAGTTTTTCTATTTAATTAAATATTTAACTTCTTTATTATCTTCTATAGAATTAAAAATTTTCTCTAGCTTCCTATTAAATACTTAACTTTCCTATTATTATTTATTAAATTAAGGATTTTCTTAGCTTTTTAAATATAATAAAAATATTTAGTTAAATAAAAAGTTTTAGAAGTTAATTATAAACTAGAACTACTAGAAAAAATAAAGAAGAACTAAATATTTTTATTATATTTAAAATTTTTTTATTTAATTAAAAATAAATTAAAACTATATAACTAAGTAATAAGTTAGATTATAAGAAATTAGGACTATTTTAAGTTAAATATTAAGTACTTCTTTATTTTTCCTTTTTTTTTTGGTTTCCCCATTTCCCCTTTTAAGGGTTAGTTCTTTAATTTATTTTTAATTTAGGGGTCTCTAGTTTCTAGTTTTTTTAGGTATTTTTAGTAGAATATAGTAAGAAGTTACTAGTTCCTTATTAAATATTTAATAAGGAACTAGTAACTTCTTACTATATTCTACTAAAAATACCTAAAAAAACTTTATAAATAATTAGTAGAAGAGCTATAGTTTATCTAGTAATAAATAAAATATTATATAGAAAATTAGATATCTTTTTATTCTTTTTAATAGTTCTAGTTTATAATTAACTTCTAAAACTTTTTATTTAACTAGAAATAGTTTTAATTTCTTATAATCTAATTTATTACTTAGTTATATAGTTTTAATTTAGTGGTTTTTAGTTTTTAGTTTCTTTTATAGTAATTAGACCTTACTTCTTTTTTTAAGAGTTAGTTTTTTAACTTATTTTTAGTTTATATAGTATTTTATTTATTACTAGATAAATTATAATTCCTCTATTAATTATTTATAAAATTTTTTTATTTTATCTACTATAAGGATAGTTTATTTAGCCTAAGTTTTAATTTCTATTAGTTTAAATCTAACTTAGAGTTTAATATTATAGTTTATATAAAATAATAATATTTTTATACTTTCTAATATATTAGTATTATAGGCTTTCTAGGTTAAAAGTAATAGTAATATTTAATTATTTTATTCTTAGTTAATATAGTACTTTAAGTATATTTCTAATATCTAGTTTATTTACTTAATTTACCCTTATATTTCTAGGTAATATATTATAGACAGCTTATAATTAATTCCTATTCTATCTACTAGGCTTTACTAGAACTTTAAGATAAATAGTAGTCCTCTATTAGAGTTGATTTCCTCTAGTAGATTATAGTTTACTATTACTATTTATAGGAATAGTTTAGCAAACTATAGTACTTATATTACTTCCTTATAAGGTATAAAGTAGGTATACTTTATAAGTTAATCTACTACTATTATAATATTATTATATTTAATTTTTATAGTAAGGTCTTTTAATAGTAGTAGTTTAATAATAAAGTTAATTGTAATCTTTTACTATAGTACTTTTAAAACTAGTATTAGCTATAGTAGTCTATATAGCTTATACTATAATATTTTATTTTATATATACTGTTTATATATATTAGTAAAGTATTAAAGGTTTTTAGTATTTTAATTTATCTAGTAATTTCTTTTAAAAATCTAAAGGGTTCTTTTAAAGTTTAGGTAGCTATATAATATAGACTTATATATTCCTTTAAAGATATGATTAGTAAGGCTATTAGTTACTATTATTTTTCTATTTTTATATTATAGCTTATTCTTCTTTTTTATATTAAAATAGTTTAAAAAGTCCTTATAGTAATATATTTTATATCTTTTCTATTTTTCTTTAATTATCTTAAAAAGCTCTAGGTCTTATTTTATCTAATAGCTAATTATAATTTACTATAAATTACTTTACTTATTATAGTATAATATTATTTAAGCTTCCTTAAGTATTTTCTAGAAATAGTTAAAGTATTAGCTAAGTATATTAGCTTATCTATTCTCCTTTCCTTTAATATATATAATCTTAAAGTTATATTCTAATAGTTTTTTAGTTTATTATATTTATTATTAATTAAATTCCTTAGTTATAGTAAATCTTATAAGATTTTTATAGTCTAAATAGACTATAATAGGGTATTTAGTACCTATTAGGTAATACTTCTATTCTTTAAATACTTTAATAATAGCTATTAATTTCTTATTAGGTATTTTATAGTATAGCTTAGGTCTACTAAGTTTTTTTAATATAAATACTATAGGGTAGAGTTTACTATTTTTATCTTACTATCCTAGTTATACTCTTAGACTATAATCTAATATATCTATTTCTAATTTAAAAGGTTTTAAGGAATCTATTTAATAAAATATAAGTTATTTATATATAGCTTACTTAACTTTTTAGAATACTTTCTATTTTTTAAATCCCTATTTAAATAGATTATCTTTTTTAGTAAGTTCTATAAGGACTTATATATTAGTATTATAGCTTTTTAAGAATCTCCTATAGAAGTTAAAGAATTTAAGGAATCTTCTAACTTTAGTAATATTTATTAATATTAGCTATTCTAAGATAGCTTTAACTTTTAATTTTTATATTTAGATCTTTCCTAGCTAGATTATATATTTTAGGAAATCTATTTATTATTTATAGAACTTATATTTAAATAGTTCTATTAATAAGTTTACTTCCTATAACTTTTAAAAAACTTTATATATAT